GCTGTTGATAATTTTGTATTTGCTCAATATCTTCTCCATTTTAATACTTTGATTCAAAATAGGCAGGTATCGTTGAACCATGGATAATGTTTTATCATGATTAGGGTTGAAGGTAGATACTAGAGTTATATTATTCTCCATATTGTTTTCTTCAGACTTTTCTCTCAGTTTGTATCGTTCAATACTTAGCGCCTTCTGTATGCTATCTTCAATTAGCTTTGCGGGATAATTTTGATGCAGTAGGAAACTCTTAAGTTCAGCAAGGCGGGTAGTTTTAACATCATTCCCGGAAACAATGGTACAAATTGGTCTTGCAAGACAGTAAGGGATATTACGTTTTGTATGATACGGGTGACATGATCCAAAATCCAAATATTGGTGCGTATCAGTATCTTTATAAAAGATATCAGTTTGTATAAATCTCCCAGATATTAAATTGATCCTCACTCGAGAAAAGTTAAACTGGATTCGCTTTTTTCCATAATGAAATTGAGTGAGGCATTATATAATATAAATTTCATGAACAGCTGTAAGTTGACTTTCACTGGTTTTTAATATGATAAAACTGTCGTCTAAAAACCTTTTCCATGAATATTCAATTTGTTCTTTCATAGATTCACCAAGAGCTCTCGGGTCCTCCCACAATTGGTCTAAATGGTAAATCCTCGGATTTTCAATAGAAATAACTTCACAATTTTTATCATTTAATTTCCTTTTGAATACATTTACTTTTATGTACTTTGGGTAGGCCATAAAAATTAGCGGTTTAAGGATCAAAATTGGTAAGATAGTCCTTTTCTTTGTCTAGAATTTCGTCATCATACTTATCTAACAATTTCTTAACCTTATTCTGGACAGATTTTTCTTCTCTTTTACTAGAATTGCTATAATATTGATCATCATTTAAAATGGACATTATCTTTCTTTGATAAAATGATTTATTCATAATAACAATAGCACCCCCTTTATCGGCTTCTTTAATAACGATGTCTGTATTATATTTAAGATTAGTAAGGCCTTTCAATTCACATTCAGATAGGTTTTGAATTTTCACCAGACTTTCACCATTATTCTTATTGCCTGCGTCATCATCCCATTCGAAGTTGTTGTCCTCTTCAGGTTCAAAATATTCAGCCAGTCTCAGTTTTCGAGTAAAGTTCTCTAAGTCTGTTTTGATAGCCTCTGGATTGGGCGTAGGTGTAGGTGTAAACTTTCAACCTTTTGTCAGTAAACTGACTTCATTTACACTGAGGGGATGAAAAGACAGGTTTATAATTTTAGGATCTTTTATGTGATTCCCTGCTTTTCCACCTTGGGAGTCTGCAACTGCATCGGCAAAGGTTTTCCCACATTTAACAACCTTTGACTTGTTGTTTTTTGTCTTAGACATTTTTAACTGGGATGCTTGATTCCTCATCACATCATGTTTATTAACAGATGCAGGGAGGATGTGATCTGTTTGTTTCTTATTTTTGAAGAAAACGTTCACATATCTTTCTTGATATCTCAGCAACCAGTTTTCTTTTTGTCGCGACTTTTCACATGCGTTTCTTCATCTTTGTTGCAATCATCTTTCCAGATTTTAAGAAGTTTATCAAGCACATGCCCTGAATTTCTTCTATGTAGCAATTCGCGCATATGTTCATCTGTGTCATCGAACTTACGGCGATAATTATCCGCGTTTATTTGCATCAGCTTAATGTTACTTCGAAATCTCTGTACCGCTAGCTTGATACGAATATCTTTTGCTTCATCACTCTCACCTTCTATTGGTCGAATGTGATATTTAAGAGGAAGCATAATGTGTTCTTCATTCAACCACGTTTCATAAATGATGCAGTGGTTTCTCACACTTAGATAGTTCCAAAAAGCTTTACTCCGTGCATTATGGATAGATTTCCATAGGTGTTCCATTAACTTCCTCTGTCTATATGCTTCTCTTTCTACCGTAAGATTCTGTATTTCTGCAATGTACGGATTTTGAATGAGCTAACCTTTATTGTCTTGAGGATGTCCAACTGAATCCCGTGAATTTGGCGTTTCCATACGGGTGCCTACGTGTTCACCCTTCATTATCACTGCTAAATCTGTGATTAGCTCACTTGTGATGTTTCATTGTTGTTTCATCTGTGTTTCCTTTGCAACCGTCAATAAATGAACATTTAGATACATGTGGAAGCAGGAACCTTTTAAGTTTTCCCACTATATAAGCTAAATTTTGATCATGAACCTACATTGTTTCAAAAAGAGCAACATTTCATCCATAAATATGCGCCTAAGTTAAATGTAAAGGCGTAAGTTTTTTGTCCATTGTCACCTTGGTATTGTGACGTCATAGTTTCCTAAATCTTATGACGTAATGTAACTACCGTATTTTCTTGAGTATAGTGCGCACTTTTTTTTCGAAAAAACACAGCATTGTAGAAGGGGGTGCGCATTATACACGAATTATGAGTTTGGATGTTTTTTTCCCCCATGGAAAGACATTACCGTGAGCACAAAACACCGGGAATACCATGTCAACAAATCCATACTGAAGTACGCAAAATAATTATGTAATTACACTGTCTGGCTATAAAAAGTGTTCTTTGTATATCTGAACTTATGTTTGTAACTTATGTCATTGATTTTATTCAAAATTCCTTATAATATTGTTTTTATTAATTTCGGCGAAATCGTGTGTGAAGCGATCGGAAGATCGCACAACTCACCGTTATTAACAGCAACCACGGTCAGAATACCGCTATTGACGCCTTGAAACAAACTTTAGTTGACAGAGAATGGATACATATATCATAAATGACATACTTTGACTCGTTAAAAGTCATATTTGTTTTTGTTTGATGATTCTATGTCAACATGAAATTCTCGCGATCACGTGATCATGTGCGCGTGAGCCTTGACGGTGACTGGTCAGACATGTTCCATGTAAAAAATAATGCCCGGGAATAGCGATCAGCTGCTTCGCTTAGGGTTATTATTATTTTAAATATGTTTATTAAAGGTTGCATATAATTAAGAAAATAATGGAATATATTATTCCTGATAAATGAAATAGTTTCAGATACAATTGTTGCCGATCCTTGCATTAAAAATCTTATAAAGTTATATCATTGGGTGTGTCTTGACCGAATCACCGGTCGATTCCAAGAAAACGTATGTACAGCTGATTGCTGTTTCCAGCTTAGTTTACGAGAAAATACGCAAGGTAATCTTAATGCCTAAATATAAAACAATGCCTAGCAGAACAATAAATACTATTTAAACGGTAAATAAACATGTCTTGTGATTTTTTATCTCAAATTTCGAATTTGTACTGACGAAGTTTCTCAGCACCCGTTCGTTTGCCGGACTTCGCTGAAAGGGTATGGTGTAAAAAATTTCTGCGCATAATATTCAAATTTCTTTTTTTCCAAAATATTGAACCCGCTAGAGGGGGGTGCGCATTATACATGGGTGCGCACTATACTCAAGAAAATACGGTATATGTTACTTCTTCATGTTCATTATTCTGTTATGGCCTGATGAGATTCGTAAAAGCGCTAGCCAATTAAAACTGAATTCAATCTTACTCCACTTATTTAATCATTACTATATATATATGGAATATATGACAGACCAATGAAATGACTAACAAGAAGTCAGCATTAGCCAATCAGCAAGGGGTTCTCTTAAGCTTTATGGCCTTAGTGGTGACATCCATTCCAGATTACGCTTAAAGAATGTGTTTTCTAATCGTGCAATGTTGAAGAGGTTAACACAGTATATTCCAAATGACAGCCATCTGCCGTTTCTCGCGTCAATGGGATGAAATTTGAAATGGAAGAAACTTTCCATAGCCAGTGGGAAGTACTGCCATACAAAATCTGCCATCTATTAGAAATTCCAGAAATTTATTTTGTTTCGTTTTCAAATTTTTGCATCGAGAACTGGGACAAAATAAATTTCTGACAGTCACTTTCCCAATCTGATAAGTGACGTTCTGACTTGTTGATAAAAAATATGTTTTGATGTGATCCGTAATGGAATAGCAGTGAGCACTAACATCTGATTTTAATGTGATTGGTACATCTATGTACACTAAGTATTCCAAAGTAGTGGTACCTGTTGATGTATTCATCAGAAACAAGTGCATCTATGTACAGTAATCATGGTAAAGTAGTGGTACCTGTTGATGTTTTCATCAGAAACAAGTGCATCTATGTACAGTAATCATGGTAAAGTAGTGGTACCTGTTGATGTTTTCATCAGAAACAAGTGCATCTATGTACAGTAATCATGGTAAAGTAGTGGTACCTGTTGATGTTTTCATCAGAAACAAGTGCATCTATGTACAGTAATCATGGTAAAGTAGTGGTACCTGTTGATGTTTTCATCAGAAACAAGTGCATCTATGTACAGTAATCATGGTAAAGTAGTGGTACCTGTTGATGTTTTCATCAGAAACAAGTGCATCTATGTACAGTAATCATGGTAAAGTAGTGGTACCTGTTGATGTTTTCATCAGAAACAAGTGCATCTATGTACAGTAATCATGGTAAAGTAGTGGTACCTGTTGATGTTTTCATCAGAAACAAGTGCATCTATGTACAGTAATCATGGTAAAGTAGTGGTACCTGTTGATGTTTTCATCAGAAACAAGTGCATCTATGTACAGTAATCATGGTAAAGTAGTGGTACCTGTTGATGTTTTCATCAGCATCAAGTGCATCTATGTACAGTTATCATGGTAAAGTAGTGGTACCTGTTGATGTTTTCATCAGAAACAAGTGCATCTATGTACAGTAATCATGGTAAAGTAGTGGTACCTGTTGATGTTTTCATCAGAAACAAGTGCATCTATGTACAGTAATCATGGTAAAGTAGTGGTACCTGTTGATGTTTTCATCAGAAACAAGTGCATCTATGTACAGTAATCATGGTAAAGTAGTGGTACCTGTTGATGTTTTCATCAGAAACAAGTGCATCTATGTACAGTAATCATGGTAAAGTAGTGGTACCTGTTGATGTTTTCAAAGCCTGGCATGTAAGCTGCCATCATTTCACAGAAGTGTTCGGCGTCCACATTGTCTTCAGTGTCCCCAAGTTCATCGAGGATGCTGAGGAGATATGTCAGCACAATCTCATCTACACAGCTGGAAACATAATATACCATTTGGCTGACAGAGTATCAAGGTCTCGTTATATACACATACCATTTAGCTGACACAGAATCAAGGTCTTGTTATATACATGTACCATTTAGCTGACAGTATCAAGGTCTCGTTATATACATGTACCATTTAGCTAACAGAGTATCAAGGTCTCGTTATATACATGTACCATTTAGCTGACAGTATCAAGGTCTCGTTATATACACATACCATTTAGCTAACAGAGTATCAAGGTCTCCTTATATACGCATACCATTTAGCTGACACAGTATCAAGGTCTTGTTATATACATGTACCATTTAGCTAACAGAGTATCAAGGTCTCATTATATACACATACCATTTAGCTGACACAGTATCAAGGTCTTGTTATATACATGTACCATTTAGCTAACAGAGTATCAAGGTCTCGTTATATACAAATACCATTTAGCTAACAGATTACAAGGTCTCGCTATATACATATACCATTTAACTGACACAGTATTCAGGTGTCGTTATATACATGTACCATTTAGCTGACAGAGTATCAAGGTCTCGTTATATACATATATCATTTAGCTGACAGAGTATCAAGGTCTCATTATATACACATACTATTTAGCTGACACAGTATCAAGGTCTCGTTATATACATATACCATTTAGCTGACACAGTATCAAGGTCTCGTTATATACATGTACCATTTAGCTGACAGAGTATCAAGGTCTCATTATATACATATACCATTTAGCTGACACAGTATCAAGGTCTCATTATATACATATACCATTTAGCTGACACAGTATCAAGGTCTCGTTATATACATATACCATTTAGCTGACACAGTATCAAGGTCTCGTTATATACATATACCATTTAGCTGACACAGTATCAAGGTCTCGTTATATACACATACCATTTAGCTGACACAGTATCAAGGTCTCGTTATATACATATACCATTTAGCTGACACAGTATCCAGGTCTCATTATATACACATACTATTTAGCTGACACAGTATCAAGGTCTCGTTATATACATATACCATTTGGCTGACAGAGTATCCAGGTCTCGTTATATACATATACCATTTAGCTAACAGAGTATCAAGGTCTTGTTATATACATGCACCATTTTGCTGACAGAGTATCCAGGTCTCGTTATATACATATATCATTTAGCTGACACAGTATCAAGGTCTTGTTATATACATATACCATTTAGCTGACAGAGTATCAAGGTCTTGTTATATAAATGTACCATTTAGCTGACACAGTATCAAGGTCTCGTTATATACATATATCATTTAGCTGACACAGTATCAAGGTCTCGTTATATACATGTACCATTTAGCTGACAGAGTATCAAGGTCTTGTTATATACCATTTAGCTAACAGAGTATCAAGGTCTCGTTATATACATGTACCATTTAGCTGACATGTACCATTTAGCTGACACAGTATCAAGGTCTCGTTATATACATATACCATTTAGCTGACACAGTATCAAGGTCTCATTATATACATGTACCATTTGGCTGACAGAGTATCAAGGTCTCGTTATATACACATACCATTTAGCTGACACAGTATGAAGGTCTCGTTATATACATGTACCATTTAGCTGACAGAGTATCAAGGTCTCGTTATATACATATACCATTTAGCTAACAGATTACAAGGTCTCGCTATATACATATACCATTTAGCTGACAAAGTTTCAAGGTCTCGCTATATACACGTACCATTTAGCTGGCACAGGTCTGTGTCAAGGTCTGGCTATATATATATACACCATATAGATGACACAGTTTCAAGGTCTTGTTATCTTGTTATATACATTTACATATACCATTTATGTTAAGCATACTCATGCTTTAACCATATTTTTTAAGGCAAAACTATATTTTATTACACTAGTTATGGGGTAGAGCAGACGATTTTCCTTAAATTATTAATACATCATAATGTGACTGTGTATCTTTACCTGACAGCTTCATGCAAGTTGTGTTGCTGCAGGAAATCAGATAAGGCTTTCTTCACTTCCTCTTCACGGTCCATTCTGAAATAACATAATTACCATCATCATCACATCCATGCATCCTGCAAGAAAATTATACATATTACAGTAAATTGTATATTCATAAATACTTATCCTCTCTCACTCTATACATTCCTCCTTCTTCTTTCAAACCCTGCGTGGAAACGTCCCTGAACAAAGTTTCCATCTTTTAAGCTTTATTCGCCCAAACACCCTGAGCATCAACATGGCGACCACCTTGCCAATTAGGTCACACACCCAAATCTCGTGCAGCTTGCTGTATGTGTGCTGATCACTTGACCCGTAAAACTTATCCCCTATCACTCTATGCTTTTATCCCACAGTTAGGACAGTGGGTCGCAGATACCCCAGGCTGTCTTATTCTATAACCATGAGATATACACGAGGAAGCTAAACATACTTCAATCCTAAGATTGTTACACATTCGCAACCACATAGTTTTGAAGTAGTGCAACCTATTCAAACACGACTTTTAAACAATCCGGAAGGGGGCTCCAGGAATTTAGCTCTTCAAACAAAATCTGCCAATGCTCGTATTAGAAAAGACCTCAATTTTTTGGCATCTCATTTAATGCCATGTCAAAACTATCTATCCCACTGTGGAGTAAAATTCATTAAGACATGACGAGGAACAATCGACAATATCCATAAGAGGATCTTCAAACCAATACTGAGACATCACATGCTCGAGGCAGAGGTAAGCAGGTAGGGGTTTGGGATACCGCTGAAATGACCTTGCCTTGTGAAGACTTCATAGTTGAAGACTAACGTCTCTACAGATGAGTTATTGCTTCTCCATTGAAGCCTCGATCTGGGACCCTGGTTACTGGTTAAGTACAAAAAATAAATAAGGCTCTCAATTAATTATTCGTGTTGTACACGATACGAAATGCTCGACTGCGTGAGTGTCAATACTCACATTCTATCTGCATTGACAGCCTGTCGTTAATTGTTGAGCCAGGACAAGCGGACCAAAGTGATGTAGCCCTTGGAATTTGGTTACAGAGATATCTCGTAAGTAGTGTGAAGTGAAGACCATGTCGGACTTCCAGAAGCATCCTTCCATGATAGCACTGAGAGAGCAGTTGCTATGTAGAGCCATGGTGGATGCGACAGCTCTCGTCTCATGAGGATGTCTGAGGTAGAGGTAATGCCGCAAAGTTGTAGGTATGGAGAATTGTTGATTGCAACTCGGGAACCTCTGAGGTAACCATCTGGGAGATGGGGATGAACAATCTCTTCTGGGATCGTCGAAAGGTCAATGCAGCCTGCAGGTAGATCCGTAAGGATCGAACTAGACATAGCAGGATGTCCTCAGGATCCTCGGGATGTAGAATAGAAGCCAGAGACGGGATGGTAAATAGCCTGTCCGGTTGCCCAGGGAGCAATAGAGCAGATAGATCTGCCTCAACAGTATCCCTCCAAGGCTTTCCATTTTTGGTCGTACATAGATTTAGTTGAAGTACGATGAGCCTGAGTAATGGTCTTCACTACTTGCCTTGAGTACCTTTGCAACTAAGGACTTCTGGAGATGAGTCAGGTGCATATAGATGTAGAGTGTCCAGCAATGGATGTAGTAGGCTGGAGTGAGGTTGAAGGAGAAGGTTTCTTCGCAAGGGAAGTGGATGATGGTTTCCCTTTGCGAGATCTACCAACACGGTGAACCAGCTGCGAGCTGGCCAGTAAGGCACAATCAAATGAGGCAAAGCTGTTTCGTGGGGACCACCTTCTGTAACACCCGTGGTAGAAGCGCTATTGGTGGATAGGCATAAGAGTTGAGATTTCTCCCAAGATATGGCAAAAGTGTCGTACTTCCATGCCTTTTGATCGGGAATCAGAGAGATGAATTTGGGGAGTTGTGTGTTGAACCTAGTGGCAAATAAGATCGATCTTTTGGCAATGGAAGAGGTGGCAAATCCCCTTGAAGATTTCGGGATGTAGACACCATTCTGTTGAGGATGGTTAATCTTGACGGGACAGGGAGTTTGCTATGACATTTTTTACTCCCGGAATATGCAGAGCTCGGGCGCTAATGTCCAGAGTGTCGATGAGATGAAAGAACTCCATTGTCAGTGACAGTAGGGAGGCCGATTTGGCAGATCCCATTTTGTTGATGTACCAAAAAACTGAGGTGTTGTCTGACTGTATCATAAGTCGAGTTGATCTGTACTTAGTTGAAGTACTTCTGCCCAATGAAAGATCGCTAGAATGACCACCTTGAATTCAACATAGTTGATGTGGAGGGTTGATTCTGTTACTGATCAACATCCTGAAGTCTGACAATTCTGCAGGTCAATCTCATTAAAATCATATCTTAATTCTCGCTATCGCTAAACAAAGATCTGAGGACATCCCATTACGGGTCACCTCAGAACAACCTTTCATCCGACCAATCAAAGCATCGCTTACCAGATCATGAACGTGACAGTCGGAATGTGTTTTCTAAACATGCAACCTCAAAAACGTTAAAACGGGGTATTCCGAACGACAGTTACAACCCGTACGACTGATTCCGACAAAATTATCGTCTGTCTCTCGCCTCCATATGATAAACATTTGAACGGAGGAGGCATTGCACAATATGTGGGAAGCACTGCCATACAATCGTAACCATATATTAGACATTCCGGATTGTTCTTTTGTTCAGCTTTTTATTTCAATTTTAATCGAGAACCGTGTCAATATATTATTCAAGTGTAGTCTGAAATGGAAGTCACCAAGTTGGAATGAGTGCTGTAAAGATCGAGAAAGCTGCTTTCTCATTGGCTGATATCAACTTCTTGTTATTCGTTTCAGTGGTCGGTCAAAGTTTGCGAAAGGTCATTCTGATGTGACCCGTAATGGGATGTCCTCAGATCTCTGTTTAGCTGCAGCGAGAACTTAGATCTGATTTTAATGAGATTGTTCTGCAGGTGTGCTCCCCAACCAACAGTCGATGCATCCACGAACAAGTGGAGGAGACACAGAGGTGGGGTCCTGGCATTTTTCTTTGCAGCAACTGGTCTGCTCTGCGTCGATCTGATCTTTTGAATGACCCTGGGATGTGGTACCAACTTTTAGTCCTTCCCAGGGGGCGCTGAAGGCTTTGACTGCCCAAGCCTGAGAAACAGGTACCAGCAATATGAAGGAAAAGCAACAAATTCCAAGCTCTCTGTTGTCCATAAAACATAAAATGCATTTTTCTATTTCTATCTCTGCAAAAAATGTATTGCTACCCATCTCTTGAATATTGTAGTAACTGCAACTATGCATTTTGTAACCTATAATTGTGGATATAATCATTTAAATATGCCTACCGACAATGACTTCAAAAATGTACTATTCTATGAATATTAGCTTCCACGGTGATGCAGCCATTGAATTGGCTGTTTCAATCAGAGGGGATTATGTGATTTGGCAACCTCTAACTCACCAGTCAGAATCAAGTACGGTAATTTAGAAATTCATGGTAGAATGTAGATCAACATATCACAAGTCTTACCGGCATGAAATCTAAAAGTCGAAAGTAACTTGAAAAATAGTAATAAAATTTTCTGAGTGACAATGTTTACTTAGTACTGTTGCGCTTAAATAAAAGTATGTATTTTGTGGTTTGTATTTGTCACAACTCAAACGAAGCTTAAGCGCTGACAAGGGGTGGCTTAATTACCTGTTATAGTGCAACAAGTGATCGCATCTCATTTTACTTTTGCTCGTTTTCATTAGAAGACAGAAATATTAACCCAAAAATGATGAACAAAATGTACTCTTGTGAGCAAATATTTGAAGAAAAAAAAACCCACCATAATCACCATGCTCAAATACAACTAGAAAAGATGCAAAAATGCATAACCTGTATATATTGTAAAATTCATAGTACATAGTGTTAAAGATAAGCATGTGTAGATTGAATTTGGGGAATAGTCTTTTTCGTCAGTTTGCAAACGACAGATTGATAATAGCATTTCTTTGAGTGTGATACCAGAGATACTAAAAAATGTAATTTGTATAACTTAGCGGTGCGATTACTGGTAAAGTAAGTCGAGGGGAAAGTTCTATTTCCACTGTTTTGACTCCAAACCGTAGCATCATAACAGAGATCAACCGAATCTTATTCCATGGACAAAAAAAGCGCATTTGCTCAAAGTTTCACAAAAAATGAAGTTATTGGAACAGTTAACTTTGTACATGGAATAGGTAAAAAATAACATAAACAAATGGCGATAACTGACCAGTAGGTGCTTATGTTTACACCAACGGCTTCAAAATATCTCATTTATTATTCATGACTAAATGTAACACAGCACGTAGCCAGCAATTCTACAAAGTAATTGCTGTGTCCAGTATTATGATTATTTGTCATATTTATGCAAACTGACTGATAAGGGTACCTACCTAAGTTCTGTTAGATGTTACGCAACCTCCAGTCAGAGTCCCAGTCACAGTGGAGGACGACATTACCTGCACGACAGGCTCGACTAGATAATTGCACGACTTCTTTGTTCTGGCAAATGTACTTGGACAACAGTTTCTAATATGCACTGCTCACCGATGATGCATGTTCCCTTGGAAGTGCAGGACAAACATAAAATGCAACAACGAAATGAGACAGAACAGGAAATATCGCCTGTGCGGTTGCCATTGTTGCTTTCTTAGATTGTCGCCTTTGAAAGACAGAGGTGGCACTAATCACAGCACCATTCCGACTATTATCTCAGACTTTCTTGGGAAGTAATGTTGTCACACTGATGAAGAAAATATCAATGCGAATATCCATTACGCGTTTTCATACCTGCTAGGACCATTTCAACCTTAATTTTTCATATGATCCCGCGGACGTTTATCAAATTAGAAAATCTGAAACGCAAAATGAATGTATCGAGTGTGAATATTTCTAAACAGAACCTACACATCAAACAGACAAGTCGGTACTTTATGCACCTAAGTTATATCAGTTTTAAACGACATGTACATAATCAATGAATTTCCAACACGGCTTCAAAAGTTCACTTATGATGTTATTTCGCTACTGAATTTAAGTTTTGTAAAACTCACTAGGGTTCGCCAAATAAGGGAGATAACCGCGATTTAGTGAGAATGTTTCCGTACTGTTTTAACAGATGAATATATGCAAATTTATGTAAATGTTATTAATATACACCAACAAACGACACCTGTTTCATTTGTAACATAAATCTTGATTTACCGGTGAAACAGTGAACGAGCACTTAATAAAACAATATGTTTGTAAAGGATGTCTAAGTTAAACGTTCTTGCTAAACTGTGATTTAAAAATAGGAGTAAAAGACTAAAAATACATTTTTGAGGATTTCATGGGATCACCGTGGCTATGAACTATTATTACTTTAGGGGTTATGAATTGTACATGGCCTATATTATTTGGCCTGTTACATGTATCATGTATCCTATAGTGACAGGTATAGCACGTGTATATTATCTGTCAAACATGTCAATATACATACATTATTTTTTTTGTTTAACCTCGCACTCAGTAATATTCCAGCTATATGTAAATAATCGAGTCTGGACCAGACACTCCAGTGACTAACATCATGAGCATCGGTCCACGCAATCGGGATACGATGGCATGCATATCAACCAAGTCAACGAGTCTGACCACCCGATCCCGTTAGTCGCCTCTTACGATAAGCATAGTCGCCTTTTACAGCAAGCATGGGTTGCTGATGACCCTATTCTACCCCGGATCTTCACGGGTCCAGTATATGTACGGTATATTAGTGTGTTTATTTCATAGAATTATAGGGTATGATAATTTTCTTTACGGGCATAAGATATAATGAACATAAAGAAACTAGTGCGATTGGTTGTTGGAAATACACCAATCAAGACATCACAATGATTATGAATTTAGTTGGTAGTTGTATTTCAAAGGTAAGTTTTACTTTTTTTTGTCATCGATCGCACGAACGGTAGAAAACTAGTGCCAGGGCTCTTCAGTTCACCTGGATATGGAGTCATCAATCTGAAACGTCTACAAAACATGCTGTCAGTATTTGTATTCAAATATTCAAGTATGTGTGTTGAACCCCACAATAAAGTAAACAAATGCCAAAATTGATTGCATTTTCTACAAAATTGGTCGAGTAATTGCCATAAATAGCTTATTTGATATGTCTGCCGTAACCTGCGATGGTCATATTGAAAATTGAATTTGAAGCTCTTGAGCAAATTCAGCTTTCATTAGTGGTAGGAACAAGCATGTGAAGTTTCAGCCTTATTTGTCCAGTGGTTTCTGAGGAGAAAAAGATTACAGTGCAAGCTGACCAAGCTGATAGATGCCCAGGTCAAAGCAATGCAGACACCACCAAAGGCGGTGGTGATTCACCTTGGTTCGAACGACCTGGGTAAGGTAACCACGTGTCAGCTATATCATGAGATCAAGCTGGCACTCCTGAGGATACACCTCCTCCTACCTGGTGCTGTCATTCTGTGGTCAGACATGCTGCCACGGAGGTACTGGCATGTAGCCAGCCGTGCCCGGGACCTGGACGGGGCCAGGCAGAAGCTGAACAGACGAGTGGGGAACAGGGCCCGTGAGCTTGGGGGGATACGGGTTCCCCACACAGTGTTCAACCGGCAGGAGCAGCAACTGTACCTGCGTGACGGGGTTCATTTGTCACCGGCCGGACTTGATCTTTTCACACAAAACATTGGCAGCTCCCTTTCCGCAGTATGCTTGTAGGAAACATTTTCAGTATAGGATAACACGGTGGGTGTACATGAGCGCGAATGGTCGTGGTTGTGGGGAAGCACCTTGGTGCTTGTGGCGGGGTGCTGGTGGACTGCATTACAAGTTACATTTGGCGTCTTGGGATACATCCCAAATTATAAATTATTTAGGATAGGGTTACCCGCTTTACAGCAGGAACCAATTTATCCATTCTGCTTTACAGCAGATGGCTTAGTGTCCGCTTTACAGCGGATGGTTAGCTTGGCAACAATAGTTGCCCTCGCTCATGGTTTGGCAATGGTACTTGCCTGGCAGCGATAGCTGCATAGCAACATACCGTTGCTTGGCAACGGTATTTGCAGGGCAGCAGGCGCTGCATTGGTAAGCAACATGGGTTGCTTGGCAACGGTAGTTGCAGGGCAGCAGGCGCTGCATTGGTAAGCAACATGGGTTGCTTGGCAACGGTTGTTGCAGGGCAGCGGTTGCTGCAGTTGGGGTTGCTTAACAGGGGTTAAGCTCATTCCTGTAGTCCACCGGTACCTCCACATCCGCGACCATTTCATCCAATAATATCTCTTGTCTTAATTTGAAGCTCCGCTATCATGCATGATGGCGGAGCCGTCATAATGGAGCCATGTCCTTATACAATGACTGAGTAATGGCCATGAACAGTATTTTCAATACGGCTTAAGTCGGATTAAACCTATTGCACAAATTCAAGTATCATCATTGATGGGAACAAGCGCTTTCAGTTTCAGCTTCATTGATCCTGTCGTTTCTGGGGAGGGGATGTTTTCAATACGAGGAAAAACATTTTCCGAGAATGAGTGAATGGGTATTGTTTTGCGACGCTTTTCGCAGTATTCCAGCAGGGCGGAGGACACCTGAAATTGGCTTCATGTTGGGAATCGAACCCGGGTCTTCGGCGTGACGAGCGAATGCTTTAACCACTAGGCTACCCCACCGGATGTCTTTCCATTGTGTCTAGTGTTTCAGTACACATACTTCATTGTTCAGTGACTTCTAATTACTTCCTATCACCCCTGTTTCTAGGTGATACGGAGTTGGGGTAGTCAAAATGGAAAAAGACAATATTTGTTCATTTATTCATTAATTCACTTCTTTCTTTTTTCAGTAGTCATAATTGGGAATAGTCATAATGGGAGTGAACCTCCCACCGCCCCCTAGATTTTCAGAGAAAAAGAGCGTTATCAAAGTGCAAGGGTCACGATTTACAATATCACAAAGGAACATATATATGTTGGATCCCACTATTTACTACATACGTACCAAATTTCATCACATTTTGTACAAAAATGACCGAGTAATGGTTATAAAAATATTTAATAAGACTGCACGTCTTGAACAAATTGGGATGTCACCGTCGGTGGGAACACGTATGTGAAATTCCAATTTCTTCAGCGGTTTCTGAGTATGTTTACGACGGACAAGCAGGCACAGCATAATCTCACTTGACTCTCAGTCAGCTGAGCTATAAACACTAAAACGTAAATATTTATATCTCTATAAATTCTGTCTTGATGATTATATAATTGTAACAGACTTACCTCACAGAATAATACATGGCTCAGTATGTACATGTGTACATGCAGTCAACTATCTGTGACACTATATATTGTGTCTGGCTATCACCAAGCAATGTTATTGTTACATCACAGGAGATGATGTCACAATGTCATGACGTCACATATATATTACATCACAATCGCAGGTTTTACAACGTGAACAATCTCACGTTCGTCTATTTCCGTCAAGCCTCTGTTGGCTGTTTGCAGTGTGAAGCGTTCGACGCAGTAATCCAGCTGTGTGTGGTGTCGGAGGGAAACAAATCAGTTGTTGGCTGTAGTTTTAATTCGTTATCATAATTAGTATGCTTCAAGAAAAACGCGCGCGTGCGTGAGAGTGAAATACTTGTCTTCAACCCCAATCACGGTATATGAATACGTTTCATGCTAAAAAAAAGTAATTGTCTCAGTTGCGAAATGTGATTTTCTTTTTTTTCAGAAGTCACATTGCCATTGTACATTGATGTTTTTTTTGTTGCCACTGCGAAGTTTTAACTGCCATAGCAATCAAGTTAATATTGTATATGTAAACTCTGCCGACGGCGTCTATAGACTCTGCTCTCACATACAGCCGACGGCGTCTATAGACTATGCTCTCACATACAGCCGACAACGTCTGTAGACTATGCTCTCACATACAGCCGACAGCGTCTATAGACTCTGCTCTCACATACAGCAGACGGCGTCTATAGTATCTGCTCTCACATACAGCCGACAGCGTCTATAGACTCTGCTCTCACATACAGCAGACGGCGTCTATAGACTCTGCTCTCACATACAGCCGACAGCGTCTATAGACTCTGCTCTCACATACAGCCGACAGCGTCTATAGACTCTGCTCTCACATACAGCAGACGGCGTCTATAGACTCTGCTCTCACATACAGCCGACAGCGTCTATAGACTCTGCTCTCACATACAGCAGACGGCGTCTATAGACTATGCTCTCACATACAGCCGACAACGTCTATAGACTCTGCTCTCACATACAGCAGACGGCGTCTATAAACTCTGCCCTCACATACAGCAGACGGCGTCTATAGACTCTGCTCTCACATACAGCAGACGGCGTCTGTAGACTATGCACTCACATACAGCCGACAGCGTCTAGACTCTGCTATTGTGCCACCGACGGCATCTGCTGAGAGTAAAGCATCTTGCTAATCATGTTGTAGACTAACATCTAGTCTCTGGAATGAACACATCTTACATAAAAAAACAGTTGTTCAGTTATCTTAATAAAAATATAATAAAAAGGAGCCCAGTGACTCTTCATTTTCAGATACTGCAGTGATCTAGACTTGCCAAACATTATAGACTTGAATGGGCTGTATTTGATATATATTAGTATCAGGGTCTGTAAGACAGACTAATCATATTGTTTCTATTGTAGAATCACCAAAGTTCGAGATACAAGATGCCTCGGTTGATACTGGAGTTTCTAAAAGCATATGCCTGAAGTGTCCAACGTGGTCAAGGTGGGCTTCTTGAAGTAGTTTGGCAAACATAAGTAGTTTACTGATGATTCGTTGACAAAACATATACTGGAAATAAAATGTTATCATTCTCTTCAGTGAGTACTTGTGTGTTTGTTTGTTCTTGTACGCCTCACCCAGCAATACTCCAGCTATATGACGGTGGATTGTAAATAATCATGCCTGGGCCAGACATGTAATCCAGTGGTCGATATTGTGAGCAACGATTCACGCCGTATGGATACGATGGCACGCAATCAACCAAATCAACCAAACCACCGAGCCTGATCACACGATCCATTTCGTCGCCTCCTACGACCAGCATATATATAAGTGCAATAATCTTGGACGCGACGTTAAACAATTTCACCTCACCTCACCAGTGGGTACTTATAGAATTGTTCAAATCATTTCACTGCGTAGCGTAGCTCACCAATAACGGGCTTCAAACAGTATATCCATGACGTTGGGAACCGAACAGGGTTTGGGAGTGACGAGCAAACACTTTATCCACTTAGCAATCCCACTTTCAACTCATTTTGTGTTAGGATCTGTCAATTGACTGAAGGTCAACTGAACTTACATCATGGCAAATGAAGCTTGTTCCCACCAATGACGAAACCTGGAAAATCTATTTATGGCCATTTTCACTGGATTTGCAATGCAATTTTGAATTAAGCTCTATAGTACTGGCGATCGACAAAAAAAAAAATGTATTTTTTAACCTTTGTTTTGATAATGCTCTTAAATTCTCTCAAAATGTATATTTGACTCTGTAAACTAGTTTTCCTCTGAAATTACCAGACTGAGCGGGAGCTGAACTTTGACTTGTATATTTGGTGTCAAATCATTGGAAACCGTGAAGATCCGGGTTAGAATACCATGCTTGCCGTAAAAGGCGACTATTCTTGTCGTTAAGAGGCTCGCTTGATGCATGTCTTCATATCCCAGCGTGGATCGATGCTCATATATCACTTTAAAAAGATACCATATCTTTGTCTCACACAAGTATGATGATATGTTTACATACGAAATGCATAAATCATTATAAAAATATTTTAAAACATTTCTAACTGTAAATTATTACACTAAACACTACACTAAAAGATCAAAGGGACACAAGCTGTGTCAAGGGGACAGGCGGGAATCGTTGACCCAGGTTCAGTGTAGCGAGGTGTGTAAATCTCATGGAGTGGTATTGTTCATGATAACATAAAAAGTTGAACTTTTACTTTGAAAAGATTAATCATGTAGAAATATTAATAACATTTTTGGGACATTGTGTCCCGCATATTGTTTCACTGCCACAATTGTTCATACAATTCTAAACGATGCAACATATATATATGTGTCGCTGACATTTGATGTGCCAAGAAAAGAGTTTTTATACCATTCCATTCAGTTAAGATTTTAAACATGTATTATGTATAACACTATGATTGTGTCAACTTAATATCTCTTGTTTCTTGAGAACAATATCAAATGTTTCAGAAAGGCATTGTTGTGAAAACAAATTACCAGTTTTGTTTTCGTGATATCTTTTTTTTTTTAACATAAATACTTAACTTCAAATGTGGCATGTCCTCATTTCTGGTTCTGAAGGTGCCACATGCAAATTACTATATGTTTTACCTTCTGGGTTACATATGTGCGCTTTATGACAGTATAGGTTCTTGCTTCAGTAGGAGTGAGTGAGTTGCATGGTTTAACACCGCTTTTAACAGTATTCCAGTTATATCACGGCGTGTCGGCTTAATGTGGGAGGAAAGCCCGAAGTGATGCAGGTCTCAGATGTTTACCACTTCGGTGAAACCCACGAGAACGGGTTTGGTGCTGACAAACCTAGAAACATAATCGGGGCGAACCGGGATTCGAACCCACAACCTTAGGTTTCTGGCGTGCCCAAGGGACAACTCTGCACAGCGAATCGCGGCGCCTTAGACGACTGGGCCACCCGTGCCCCCTGCATCAATAGGAAGTTATGCCACAAAATGTCTTCGCGTCGAGTTGAACCTCTGGTTCTAAGTTATCTTGTTAATGGTAACATGTTGGCATATGGTTGTCAACCGTGACCTACTTTACGAACACACCTGTGCAGTTAGCTTAGGTAATCGTGTGCACAAAGTGTAGCTCATCTAAATAATAATAATAGTGAGTGTCGTCCGCAATTTTAAATCCAGGTATACTTGATCCAACGCGGAAAAGGTTTGTTTATGAAGAAAGTTAACCTAATGTGGACTTAAACTATTCGTGAGAAGACAGGTAACCATGTCGCGGTTAGTACGTGTGACTTTGGTGGCGTTTCTTGGTCTGTGTCACTGTCACTGGTCGATCTTGCTGCCGAAACTGATGCTCCGTTTTCTTGGATGAGGCCGGACAAGTTTGACTATATTTATGACATGTTTTCGACCGTAACTGGCGAAAATTGTTGTTCAAAACCAACCGAACAGTTAAATCTCCCCAGAGAAACTATAGCCCAAATCCCAAAATACAACAATCTCTTGAGCACAGTGATATACTCAAACAGATCGGCTATGCTACATATGCACAACATGGCCCTCAACCGAGCCTTCTTCTATAGTTTTATATACCAGAAATTAAACAATACGTGGGATTTCTTAAACCAGCCAGGCTTATAATATTACTATATGTCCGCGGCGGCTGATGTTTCTGCGAGCCCAGGCTTCTTGAACGGTTCAGCCTTGTATTTTGACTTCAACTGCAGCTACCCCAACTGGTTTCGTACCTATCCGTTCAACAATACCATTCCGTTCTTTGGACCATATATGGTCTCTGGTTGGACAAACAAGATGCAAATTATTATCCATGAAAAGTTGGGCTTAACTTGCGCATTTGCGTTAAAGTGATTTAATTGTGAAAAACAACTTTATTGACGGCCAGACTTCGTAATCGTAATGTCATCTTTGAAAAAGAGCGGTTGCGTACAATTGGAATGCTTGCAGTCGGAAATGCCCAAAACGTTGTTGCTCGGTGTTTTTGAATTCGTCGTAACACGTTGACCGTACTCAGGATCACTGGCTTACGCCGATGCAGAGACTTTGAGGAAAATAGCATGACATTCCACGACGACGTCCAACTGTACGTGCAAGTGTTCTGCCACGTCTTCAAATTGCACGCCTGGCATGGTCAAGGGTTGATCAACTTCTGGTTACAGGACTGGCGGTTAGTCCTCACAGGTTTTATCTTGACAGCAGTGATGGCCGTCAGCGTGGTTTTGGACACTGATGTCGACATCGACATTGTGTCTCATGGAACGTTTACACAGACTTCCAAACCAACCAACCGCGAAATGCCTTGGTCCAGATCTGGAATGACATCCCACAAGCCTTCCTCGGCCATCTTGTGTTGTCAATGAGGTCCCATTGTCAAGCTTGTGTTACTGCTAATGGTGGTCATACCCGATGCTGACTTGTGAACAGACAATTAACCCCAAACCACTTTCAGCCATTTAACGACGTTTAGAGAGGACATGTGTTGACACTGTCATGATGAATTCATGTTTCATGGGCATCAATATATTGTTCTGTTGCAAAATCCTTCTTTCTTTATATTTATTTATTATTTTCCATGATAGCCACTGATGCACCGGAACTTTATTTCGCTAGTATACATGCACTCGTGGATATTGCCCATGAGGTAAATATCTATGATAGCAGGGTCACTTCTATTCTCAATGAACTCGGAGTTTTCATCGAGTTCGAAAGGGATCGGAGTTACTGATTTCATTGTGTTGAGATTGGCTTTGAGAGGGGCCACCTTGCACTGATGGAAACCCGTACTTGGTAAGTACACACTCAGACCCATACTTGAATGGGATTTTGGGCAACGTGTACACGTGCATGGAGACCCGTCCTCGAGTGGGTTTTATATATTCACCTCGTACACACGGAGACCCGTCCTCGAGGGAGGTTATGTATAGTCACCTCTTACACACGGAGACCCGTCCTCGGGGGAGGTTATGTATAGTCACCTCTTACACACGGAGACCCGTCCTCGAGGGAGGTTATGTAAGGTCACCTCTTACACACGGAGACCCGTCCTCGAGGGAGGTTATGTAAGGTCACCTCTTACACACGGAGACCCGTCCTCGAGGGAGGTTATGTATAGTCACCTCTTACACACGGAGACCCGTCCTCGAGGGAGGTTATGTAAGGTCACCTCTTACACACGGAGACCCGTCCTCGAGGGAGGTTATGTATAGTCACCTCTTACACACGGAGACCCGTCCTCGAGGGAGGTTATGTATAGTCACCTCTTACACACGGAGACCCGTCCTCGAGGGAGGTTATGTATAGTCACCTCTTACACACGGAGACCCGTCCTCGGGAGAGGTTATGTATAGTCACCTCTTACACACGGAGACCCGTCCTCGAGGGAGGTTATGTATAGTCACCTCTTACACACGGAGACCCGTCCTCGAGGGAGGTTATGTATAGTCACCATGTATTAAAACACTTCAGAGAAAGGAACACACCGTATGCCGATTCAAAGAAAAGTAAACGCAAATGAATAATATCGTACACATGGAGGAATAATGATAGTGGCGTCTAACTCAAGATTGTATGCTCACTACTACTAAAACATTTTATATATACATAGCATTACATGATGGAGTTAGTCATAGAGAGGGGGAGCTATAATTAGATCTGTGATAAACATCGCAGGTATGAAGAGAGTTCCGCATTAACAGCGCACTCTGGCGGCAAGCATGTGCTAATCATCTATCTCTTGCTCTCAGGTGTGCAATGACAAAAACCGAAATATTCACGAAAAATAAATACAAATTGGTTTGAAGTTAATAATAGCTAAGACTCACAAAATATTCATCTATTTATTTGTTGTAACATGTTGGCATGTCGTTGTCAACCGTGACCTACTTTACTAACACACCTGTGCAGTTCGCTTACCTGACCCTTTGCACAAAGCGTCACTCATTTGAATAAGGTGAGTGTCGTCCGCCATTTTGAATCCAGGTATACTTGATCCAACGCGGAAAAGGTTTGTTTATGAAGAAAGTTAACCTAATGTGGACTTAAACTATTCGTGAGAAGACAGGTAACCATGTCGCGGTTAGTACGTGTGACTTTGGTGGCGTTTCTTGGTCTGTGCGCACTGTCACTGGTCGATCTTGCTGCCGAAACTGATGCTCCGTTTTCTTGGATGAGGCCGGACAAGTTTGACTATATTAATGACATGTTTTCGGCCGTAACTGGCGAAAATTGTCGTTCAAAACCGGCCGAACAGTTAAATCTCCCCAGAGAAACTATAGCCCAAATCCCAAAATACAACAATCTCTTGAGCACAGTGATATACTCAAACAGATCGGCTATGCTACATATGCACAACATGGCCCTCAACCGAGCCTTCTTCTATAGTTTTATATACCAGAAATTAAACAATACGTGGGATTTCTTAAACCAGCCAGGCTTACAATATTACTATATGTCCGCGGCGGCTGATGTTTCTGCGAGCCCAGGCTTCTTGAACGGTTCAGCCTTGTATTTTGACTTCAACTGCAGCTACCCCAACTGGTTTCGTACCTATCCGTTCAACAATACCATTCCGTTCTTTGGACCAAGGGCATGGAGAGCTGACGATTACAACGAACCAACCAACTTCCTGCGAGAACCGACCAACAATACTATGGACATTCATGATTACGGAGCAGGAAGAGATTCCAACTACTCCAACTCTGCCTACAAGACCAATCCTTGGTACAGCTTCTGGATGCCAGATATAACAGGAGAAACAGACTCATTGCGAAAGTTTACGTATTCTGTGGGCATAAAGTACTCGAATACTACTGGGCACTTCATCAGTGATGAGTTTGAGGACACATCCTTCTTCGGCCCTCCCCAGCCAAGTCAGACAGATGGAGATCAGTCTCTCCCAGTGCTGTTTACATCCCCATATTTTGACTGTGGAAGGTCCAACAAATGGATTGTTAGTGCCACTGCCCCTGTTGTGGAGTACTTCCCCAGATATTCCAGATACATCCATCTTAGAAGACCCAGGTGAGATCCACGTTGTTTTTATTTCAGCAAGCAGACATGGCATGGTACACAAATAGATGACAGATGAGTAAAACAAAACTTGATCATCTGTTGATTGGCATTTAGATACTGTGTTACCATAAAGAGATGAAACCTTTTATTGATAACTTATTTATAGTTTGTCACAAAGTTTGAGGGCTGCTACAGTGTCCCCACTCGCCATGTGATCATCATTCAGCTGAGGAAGGGACTAGCAGTGACCTGAAAGGTGAACTGTTGGACATGATCAAATTTAAAGTTGGACAAAACTTGACCATTTACAGTCAGATATCGTAGCAACTTTTGATGTGGTCACTCCAAGTCTATACTTCCTTGCAACATTTCTTTCGTGTCTATCATCTTGTTCAAAATAGAAATAACTGATAACCCAAGTACATGTATTAAGAGGACAAGGTTTCCATTAAACTTTGATGCATGTATGATATTAATGATGGGGAGCGGGTCAAAACAGCCTCACAAGGTAAAGTCGAAATGGTCACAGAAAAACTCAAAACGGCCACAACCCATAGTTAAAAAAGTCATAACGGCCATACAAAAAATAAAGAAAACAAATTCAAGTAATGTGTCACATAGTAGTCTAGTGTATATGCTATCGCTGAATGAAAGGGTAAAAGGGTTCTCAAACACCTGCATGTATAGCAAAAAGATAGACAACATCTATTTTACTATTCTTCTTATTGTGAGTGGGGTATGAGATATACTGTGATTAAGATATGATAATACAGTTGGTATATTAAACCAGTAAATGTTTTTAAGATATGCTATGTCTGTATTATATCATGGTTACATCATCATAAATAACCAATCTCGTTAAAATCAGATCACTTACTCTGGTCCCTGTGTGTGTGAGGATGAGGACCCCTCCACAGAAGATTGGGTCGGGTGAAACTTCATTGAAATTTGATTACCCTGTCTAAGTGAAATATGTGTTTGTGTTCATGAGCCAATCAGATGTCAGCCTATTATTAGGCCTCATTTCTTTACCGCCTCAAAATGAAAAAGTTATTTGTATCAAATAAAAACCGGCACAGAACACAGATATGCGCCTCAATGGCACACCCTTTGAGTGTAGATGCTATGGTGCAAGAGGATGTATGAAATATCCACAAGAACATTAACAATGTAATAGAGTGGCTTAAAAGGCTGTCTATGCATTCAGAATTCACTGATCATGTTTACTTTTGCGATACAGAAATATGTTAGATTTGTCTGAATGCTTTTTGCAATCGTACTGTGCCTCAACATTTCTCAATGCTGGTTGGTATTCCCCTAGTGCAGATCTTCCTGCAGGGAGTTACTGTGGGGGAGTAAGCAAGATGGAATAAGTAACAAAATGTTAAATGTCTGTGTTGATCATGAAGTTCTGAAAGCATCTGTTAAAACGTCATGTCACTTTAGCATATTTAGAAAGAACAGAATAATATGGCCGAAGTTAAAGAAATTCTGCAACATTTGCTGTTAAAACCATGTTAACAATAATACGAGTAGAGTACAGATGTTTGTTTGTTTAAGGCTGCACTCAGCAATATTTCAGCTATATGACGGTGGTCTGTAAGTACAGTAGAACATGGATATAGCAAGCTACAAGGGACCAGAGAAATCAGTTTGTTATATACTTTGTTCGTTATATATAAGTTTCTGCTGGGAAATGTCTTCCATCTTGGAGAAAAGAAAACACAATGCACGTAATTGTAGCATATACTTGACACTGAGTGAGATTTCTTAGTTCCCTAAACATGTCACCTATTAGTGGTATTTGGCCTTGTCGGGGATCAGATATCAGTTTGCTACATATGTTAGTTCGCTGTAGAGATTTCGTTATGTATGTAATTTTTATATAATATATAGGAGATAAATCAGGGATTTTGTAACAGTTCGTTTTATCCATTTGTTCGCTATATCCTTCATACATTAACCACCATGTATGGTATTCACGTTTCTTTTGTCGATGAGTATATTTTTACTGATTAGAAAAAACTTTAGAAACATATTATTGTATGAGAAAGACTAAAATGTTATTGATTAAATTTCACATATTTAACAGTGTTTAACATGATTAATGCTATCATTAAAAATATTTGTTTTGGGCGACACAACCCAATAATATGAATTTGGTTAGCTATACATGGTATACAGGTACATGTATACACTTTTACCAGAACTTTACTGCAGTGAATAATAGATTGGAAAAACAAACAAACTATAAACACCCAATATCAATGACAACATGTGACTGGATACTCAATTGCCCAACCCATTTATCTGGAGCCTTGAACTATCTAGTGGTTTATTGTTGATCCGGTCCCTCAATTGGATTTGGAGTTGCCAGATAGTACAGCATCATCAGCGTGTGCCATCAACACGACCCCATTAGCCTGAGGCTCAGGAACTGCTGTCACTTGAACTATCTACAAACTACTAGAGCAATTCTTCTATCTAGTATTTTCACAGGCTTAAAATCCATTCTTTGTATCACTAACAACATTTCCATGCGCAAGTTTGAGTAACTCATAAAGACAACACACAAGGGATAAATATTTGATGTATCTATGTTTAAGGTGTTGAACATGGGCACTTGACTTCATTAATACTAACTGTCTTACACTGTATAAGTCTACCATGGCACAAACTCTGTCTGCAAGGACTTCTACATCATACAGAAAAACATTGCTATGGGCAATATATTACTGGTTTACTGCAAGGGAACACTGAACAATAAGGGGAGAGGTTTTGTGGGTGCTTGACAAGTGTAGCCTGGCAGGCCATCAAAGATACCAGTGTGTTTGTAATTTTAGCAATAACTTTGTGGGCTGTTACACCTTTCATGGCTGTCCCATAGCTTGTTAGGCTGACGATAATGGCAGACACTCATACCTATAGGGGACCACATGACGGTAACCAGATAGGAATTTCCCACCCATGGAAAATAGTCTGAACAGCCTAATTTGTTATAATTTACGCTGTCAACAGTTTTATCAAATAACCATAACCTTCAAAACCCAGGGATTTGTGTAGGTCTCCAAACTAAGTGCCCTAGTCAGGCTAATTGTTAAAATATCTTTAAAATGTGTTTTTTAAACCTTCTTATGTTCTTAATTTAAGATGTATTTTATAATGTTTAACACAGCAGTCAGCGCAATAATGTCAATCTAAGCATTACAGCCTCTTTTGCTTTCTTGGTCCTGTTGTTATTGAAATACAGGTCACTGCTTCAAAGACATATTAACTTCAGTTAAAATGTTTAACATGTTTTACTAATAAACTAAATAAATATTTTATAAACAATTTTGTATTCCTATGTGGGTAGTTTAACTGATATTTGCTGTATTCGTATGTGGGTAGTTTAATTGATATTTGCTGTATTCCTATGTGGGTAGTTTAACTGATATTTTCTGTATTCCTATGAGGTAGTTTAACTGATATTTGCTGTATTCCTATGTGGGTAGTTTAACTGATATTTGCTGTATTCCTATGTGGGTAGTTTAACTGATATTTGCTGCAGCATTGGTGCCGAATATCAGCCTCTGAACAGGTCAAGATATCTCTGAAAACCAAACCCGTATGACATGGAGAATTACTTTTTGTATGTTTATGTATTAAAGTTAGGACAGCTAGTTACACTTATAGTTTCCTTAAGACAAGTTGAGCGGGGCAATGATTCGCTGTTTCCATGGTAATAGAAATTTTTCATGTATATATCATCATTAGTGAATTGTTCAGTAATTTCAACCACAAAGACCGTGAACTCTTGACAAGGTCCTCGACTGATAGTCCCATGACAACCTGCCTGCTAAATAAGCAATACATGGTCCCACAGTTGCTAATGATAGTTTCTAGTGTGCACCCTCTTAACGTGATATGACATGTGGTGAAAGTGATTGTTATTGGCCAGGTATTAGAGGGATGCTGGCAAGCATCTCGGCCAGAGCTGTCTCCACTCACAAGCAGTCAAACAGGGGGTTTCAGTGTGCTAGAAGAAAGAATGTGGTACATAGTCTCATGGATTTTAAGATTTGTGCTCTCCAAGCCATGCATTGTAAGTGTTTTGTTATTTCTCCTGTTCTTAATGGTTTGTAGTGGTTTATAATGGTTCATAATGGTTTACAATGGTTTACAATGGTTCATAATGGTTTACAATGGTTTATAAATGATTTTTTTCAAACATGAAATGCAGTTTGAGGAAAAGAGAGACAAGATGGGTGCTCTGAGTTGGAGCAAAACATTTCACGAAAAAAAGCTGCACTAAACTGCTATTAACTGGTTTCAGTTGTGGTTGATCTCAGCCAAAAGTGAAATGTGCTGAAAAGGTCCTTTATGTAGGAGTTGGAGAAATGTTTTAGCTATGCAGGTGTTGGCTTTGTAGGGTAGGGGGAGTGGGGTAGTCTCGTGGTTCAAGCATTTGCTCATCACACTGAAAACCTGGGTTCTTTTCCCCCACATGGGTACAATGTGTGAAGCCCATCTCTGGTGTTCCCCACTTGGATATTGTTGGGATATTGCTAAAAGCTGCGTAAAACTATACTCACTCACTCAGTGTTGTTAAGTATTTTGTGTTACCTTCTTGGTTCATTATTACCTGTTAGTTTGTATACTTTAATATTCATTTGATTTTCACCTTGTGATTATGTTGATGTTGGTGTGATTGACATAAGCATGATAAGGGGAACAGACTACCATATTTTCTGGAGTAAAGAGCACACTTTTATCCCCAAGAGACACCGCCATGTAGAGGGGTGTGCGCGTTATACACGCCATAATGAGTTTTGATGTGTTTTCCCCCCCAATGCAAAGTCATTACCGTAAGCACATAGCACCCAAAATACCAGGTCAACAAATCCATACTGAAGTACCCAAATTAATCATGTATTTACACTGTCTGGTTATAAAAAGTTTTCATTGACTACCTGGGCTTCTGTTTGTGACCTATTTTATTAATCTTATTCAAAATTTCATTCTTATTGTTTACATTAATTTTGGCGAGAAATGCTGAGTGACCCTGTGTCTGTAAGTGACGTTGTGTTCTGAGTGCCATGTTGGATGTTTTGGGAAGTGCAAGGTTTTCTTGTTTAGTTGCATATAATATTTTTTACATTCTAGGTTTGTGGCCGTGTCAACGATGGACACTGAGTTTGAACGTATTGACATGAACCAGTGTCCACAAGCTGAGGGAAACCCTCCCCCCAACTACTTCGCTGGAACTGACCGATGCAAAGGCACTACCATGGTAAAAACACAAGGCAACTGCATGCTCAGTCACACAGGCCAGCACAAACTAATGTTGGCAAAGTGTGTTGAGTGTCCAACATGTTTACTCAAACACAAAAGTAACTGTGTTCTTACCTTTTGCATTGTAGTTTTTGTTACAACTTGACTTATCATGCTTATACAAGTTAAATCTTGTTTTTTCTATTTTAAAGATTTAGAATTGTTTGTGTGTTTAATTCGTTTCAATTTAAATACATTCAAAATTTCAAATTCTGCTACACAATTTGTGTCCTTCACACAAGTTACTGTGAAATGTATTGCAGTTTGAAGAGAAAGTGAAATTTCATTTTGGCGTAAATACTCATTAAAACAGCATCCAGGTACCCTGGTTCATCTGGACAAACATTGTGTAAACAAATAGAAGATTAGTCAGTTCGTAAGCATAAAGCCCGACATTCAGTTATGACATGATTACCGTGACATGATTAGTAGTAATGTTTTAGTTAGTGCATTCATTAGTTCAGATTTACTTTTGTGTGTGAATATAACAATTTTTTCAACATGTTCAATACAACAAGATATGATAGTCCTAAGACCAATCTCACTTTCCCCTATAATAAATGACCAGTCCCTAAACATACATTATGGGCCTTTGCCTGTTGTCAATCTTTCCGCTCTGAACTCATTAATACATGACTACCGCCAAAGAAAAAACCTCCATCTGGTGAAGAGTAACAGTCTTGAAAAATACCAATGAGACCTTTGTATACAAGTTTTGGCTGAAGGACAAGTTTGCACTTCCACAGCCTCGTGAGCCTGTGTACCTCCGATACTCTGTCATTAAGATTATGGTTAACAAGGTACCTTATGTACAATAACAATATTAATGTAACACTGAGCATGCTGAGATTATCAACCAGACCTTGTTACACAGCCACACTTTCCTTTATAATACTCTTGGACGCGACGGTAAACCCAATTTCACCTCACCTCACCTCCTTTATAATACTTGATGCAAAAAATTTCACCAGCATGAATTTAACCAACGTGCGTTAAAATGAATTTTTTGTGAGGTAGATAATGACACTACAAATATGATGAAATGTTTTTCTTATTTTCATATTATTTCTGTGTTAATGTATTTATCATATATAAAAACATTCTTTTATTGTAATACAATCCAGTAAAGGGGAGGGTATTACAAGAAGCAGTGCATGTGTTTGTTCCCACAGTGTGAGCCCATCAGTGGGTATGGCTTCAAACGGGGAGGCTACCAGTGTGTGTGTCAGCCTGGGTACTACTACCCCTGGTTCCACGATGGCCCCTTCCTTGGATGGGAGATTGAGGAGGCCGCTCGAGATGAGTATGAAGTTGGTTTCGACTGCATTGCTGTAGATGGTGAGTACAAATTCAGATAACAACATGTGATTTATTCATCTTATGTTTTAAATCAGATTGGCCAAGCTCACCAGTTACTTGCAGAATTATCTCTTTGTATTTAGGTCAGGTCTAAGCTACATAAACATTATCAAGGGCAGTATGAATATTTGGGAAGAATAAGGTTGTTTTATCATGTTTACTCTCTGCAGCAATGTTAAACACATTGTTTCCACTTTTTTCAGAGCGTCAAGTCATCCCTAACGTGATGCCTGAGTTTGTTGAGAGGAAGAAGAGATCAGTTTTGTCGAAGAAAACTGAGTTTTTGGAGATGACCCTCCCAAAAGCTCAGAGTCCTCGACCCAGTCCCCGCCAGAAGCGTCACCTAGTTGCAAGACTCAAGGACTACAAAGAGAAGTTGTTAAGGGAGAAGAGAAGTAAGCTGGTTGCTCGCACTAAGAGAGACACATCGCGCAAGATCCATCGCAACAAGCGAGATGCTGTGGATGAGATAGCAGCAAATCGCTTTGAGAACATTTTGCAAAGGATGTATCAAACCAAGCCTGAGAATTGCCAGTCCAAGCAGGCTCATGAGCTGTACTTGCCAGGAGATGCTGGGCACGGCGTCGAGAAGCTTTTTGAAGCTCAAGGTCGCACAGCACTCAGACTCGCACACTTCCTCAGCAACTTCCTGCAGAATGTCGACGAGTATGAAGAGTTTGGTAACCTCCGTGGTGACAGACGTCTAAATGAAACTCACATCTTTGCTGAAGTCATTGCCAATGTCATGAGTGACTTCAAGATAAAGGGCAGTGGGGTCTTCTTTGATAGGTACAAGTTCCGCATGTCACCACCCGTCAACAACACTGACCCCAGATTTACGGACGGTATTACACGAGAGTTCTTCGGACCTTATGCCTACAAACTAGAGTTGAAGGATGAGGGTCTGGATTATTACAAAGCAATAGACTTTGCTGGCTTTAAGGACTATTACGTTGATGCATCCTGGTACAGGGACATGAAAGCAAGATGGGCAACCAATCAGTATGGCCTGAAGAAATTCACAGCTAAGCCCATGATCCGGTCCAATCCGATGGGAACCAGTTTGATCCGCTTTGAATATTACCCCCTGACTTACCGAGCACCTCGCTATGAAGATGGAGAATGGCTAAGACCACAGTTCAAGTGTGATGGCATGGTCAATGATTGGGTGGTTACTTACGTTGTACCATTCTTTGGGAAAAACAGTCTGAAGACAGAGATTGAATTCAAGTAAGGTGCAAATTGAGAGCACGCTAATGTAGTGGTATCGTAGATATTGATGGTTAAATACGGGCACAGAACATAGACATAGGTTTATTGCTGGATGTATGTTGTTTGCTTACCTTTGTACTGACCAGTTTCTGTGTGTCCAGGGGTGTGGTCACTGTGGAGGCCAAGCTTGACTACCTGGATATCAACCAGTGCCCGGCCGAGTTCCATAGCGCCAACTCCTTCAAGAACACAGCCCGCTGTCACTTTGAAAGTCAATATGTAAGTAATACTAGTACCTCAAAGATATACCATTTTCAGGCGAGAGACATCTGGTTGCAGTTCTTGGCACTGGCGGAATAATCACGTGACAATAACAGTGATTATTTTCTGGTGCCAACAATTGCTTCGTGGACCTGGCGTCTTTGTGAGGGAATGAGTTTTAGAATGGGAACTCCTTTATTTGAAAAATCTTTCATGATACTGTACACAAGACATGTTGACAAGTCATAATATTGTAATTAGAAAATAATCAGGCTCATTCATCCAGATCATGTAGATGGTTGCCTCGAACACAACCCTTCATATTTTGTACCCACGCTTTTCAACCCCTGATGTGTTTATATACTGTATTGACCATATTATGCACGATGCTCCAGTAAGCACCCTCAGGTCAACTTCTTGACTAATCGGCAAGTAATCTAAGCACCCCATACTAAGACCAAACGTTTACATTAAATACATCTCTGTACAGTCCGTTTGACTCCAAATGAGAACGATGAATTGCAAAATAACTCCAAATCCAGAAAAGTGTATGAAACATCAATATGGTACTTGACCATGAATACCCGGTACCCAACAAAATCTGAGTTTTGTTTATTTTAAGACCCATGACGGATGAAGTTCTTTAAGAAACTATCATGTAATTTTGTATAGAAATGTGTACATGACACGTAGGGGGGACAAACCGTGGAAGGCACAGCGCAAGCACGCATGCACTGCACGTTCTGTGGTAGGGGAAATGACGCTCATGCCATAGATCTCGTCGTTGGAACTGCTGGTGCCTAAACCGATTGCCACTATTATAGGTTGGACTGTTGCTGGCCGTAGTCCATCTCGTGACCAATAACGTGGCTCTATCTCGTCAACGACTGAGGCCACACAACGCCTCCATGTTTCTACTGTTACCCGACCAAGGGATTCCTTTATGAGTTGTTCAACGTCTTGTAATTTGAACGTTGTGTTCAATCGTCCAACATCTACCTTGACGATGCCCCATACCAATTTGATTGGATTCAGGTCGCAGTGATAAGGTGGCAGTCGTTAGACAGCGTGACCCTGACCCTTGATGTAACTATCAACTTTATACACGGGGTCAGGTTTCATAGTTTTGATGATTTCATAGAGCTGTGGTTTCGTCGCTCGAGAAGGAAAGGTAATGTTCCTCCTTTGCAGCCAAGTAACCATGTCTCCTTTACGGTTATTAGAGGTTGGAGTCTTGCTTTCTGGATCCTGCACACTATAATACGGTGCATTGTCCATGACAATGAGAGACTTGGTAGGCAAAGCAGGGACTAATTTATCTTTCACCCACTCCAGAAATACATTGCCGTTCATTTCTGTGTGGTAGTCCCTGTTGTCTTTGGCCTTGGCTCTAAAGACGAGGTCACAGTCTGGGAGAAAACCCTGACTAGCAGAATCAGCATGGAGAACTAGGAGTCTTTCACCCTTTCCCATTGGTAACTTTCTACCAGACTCCTTACAGTCACCACTGGGTACCCACTGACTGCTGGCTGTGTGTGACGCATTTACCCATGTCTCATCTAAGAAGACGGGCTTATATCCTTCTTCACGTTTCTGCTTGATGGTACGAAGGTAATGATTTCGGAGACGAACAATGTCAGACCGTTCACACAACATAGCCCTATTTTCTCCAGTTATCTTTTTGTATTTGTAACCAAATGTATGCAACAGCTGCCATAGTTTGTACTTTGTAACACGTAAATCATGGTCAGTTTCAAGGTGTTTCTTCAAAATTCTTAGGGACAGGTACTTATTTTCTGAGTGCAGTTTAAAAATTGCACGTCTGACTTGATCCCTCTGAAAACTGTCTAATTTATCAACCTTGCGTGGTTTTGACATGTTCCGTACCTCCTTGGCCTGACTATTTGTATCTCGTCGACTAACAACATTTTAAAGTTTCTGAGGGGAAATACCAAGAGCTTTTGAAGCTCGTTTCAAGAATTTATTAATTGCATAAAAAGGCTTCGCTCTTTCTGCTTCACTTCTTAAGAAATCATACACATTCAACATCAACTGTTTAACATCTGCTGAGTAGCCCATCTTGTCATTGAATGAACACGGTCACTGTGTAGCACGTGCAGACCGTGCTTGCGCTGTTCCTTCCACGGTTTGTCCCCCTACGTGTCATGTACACATTTCTATACAAAATTACATGATAGTTTCTTAAAGAACTTCATCCGTCATGGGGAGGACACGGGTGGCCCAGTCGTCTAAGGCGCCGCGCTTCGCTGTGCAGAGTTGCGTCCCTTGGGCACGCCAGAAACCTATGATTGTGGGTTCGAATCCCGGTTCGCCCTAATTATGTTTCTAGGTTAGTCAGCACCATACCCGTGCTCGTGGGTTTCACCGAAGTGGTAAACGTCTGAGACCTGCATCACTTCGGGCTTTCCTCCCACAATAAGCTGACACGCCGTGATATAACTGGAATACTGTTAAAAGCGGCGTTAAACCCAACTCACTCACTCACTCACTCATCCGTCATGGGTCTTAAATTAAACAAAATTCAGATTTTGTTGGGTACCGGGTATTCATGGTCAAGTACCGTATTGATGTTTCATACACTTTTCTGGATTTGGAGTTATTTTGCAATTCATCGTTCTCATTTGGAGTCAAACGGACTGTAGAAGGAGTGCATATTATATGCTTCCTCCTGATTGATCTTCTGTCAAATGAACTAATGTATGGTTTAAACAATGAATCACCCCTTATCCTGTATTACCATGTCTATTGTATTTTTGTCCATTTTACTTTCAATCTGCTCACAGTGTGTGCCTTCTGAGGGGAAGAGGTTTACGCGTGGTGGCTACAAATGTGAGTGTCGCCAAGGTTACGAATATCCCTTCAACGACTTGGCCTGGTTCTTTGATGGTCAGACAATGGAGGAGGAATGGAGGAAGTTGAGCGCTGGGGAACCCAATAGGTGGGCAGATAACTCTGTACTCTATACAGTCTCTGTGTGAAATTTGCGTCAGTTTCTTGATGTCTGTCCTGGAGAAGACTTGCAACATTTGTAACCTGTCTAAACCAAGACAAGGATCTTCAAAATTAAAACGATTGAAGACTCTGTGTAAAACATCATTTAATATAATTTTTGTACAAAGCCCCCTTTTGTTGATTAGTCTGAGTAGGACTGATCACCTAAACATTTTGCTAAAGTTATTGGGGATGGAAATGACCTATTATGCATGTGTTTCAGGTATGCTACACTGAAGTGCCGTATAGCGGGAGCGTCGTCTGTGGCAGCAAGTGTGGTGATGACACTGATCCTGGCCTGTGCCGTCTCAGCGTGGACAAGGACATGATCCCCTTGTGTGGCTGGCTGGCTGGCTGCACACTGACACACACGGCAGACAACTAGTCTGGCCTCTTGTCTTACCATCTATTTTGGAGAAATTCTTCCCTTTGTTAGTGTTTCTATTGACTGTTCCCTTGCAGTTTTAAGCTGTATCCTATTTTCAACACTATACCCTATGCTTTGTGTCGTCCAGAGCCTGGCACACCATCTTGCCTAAAGTAGCCGAGTTCAAACTCATTGTAGGATTATATATGTTTCTTTGATACGAAAGATTTTAAGGGATTGACAGCTTCCAATGTATTCGAGCAAGAATCCTAAGTTGTTGATGAAACACAGTTCCAGATTGTGCCCAAGATTGTTATGATTTTAGGAGATGACAAGTAATGTGGGACTCTTTGAAATTTTTAGGTGCTTTGATTTACTTTATCAATCATATAGTCCGTCTTCATTCATGAGACTTTTTTTAATAGCTCATAAATTTGATGCAAATTAATTTTTTAAAACTTGTACATATGTTGAATATGTTATACCTTGTACATATAAATATGTGATAGTGATACCATGCTCATTTCCTGCGTGATCATGAACAGGTGATATCATGAGCCACTGAATGAAAACATATCAGCCCTGAAGGGCACCTTGTACATACACATTATATCTATATTTTTTAAATATCTGATTTTTTTATACAAATTTAACATATTTCATGTATTATATTTTATCTTTGTCTTAGGCTTGAATTTCAGGCATTTAGTGTTATAAACGATTCTCTACAATATGAATAGAAGTGCTCAAAATGCCCTTCTTTGACCTTAAGGTTAAATATATTTGACAACATTACATTTCAAATACCCGAGCAGTCAACATCAGTAATGAATCAGTAATACAGTCATTTGGAATTGTTGTGTAAGAAGCAATTAGCAACCTTCATGATTAAAATCATCTCTGTCGATGCACGTTCATTCCTGCCATAGGCACTTCCCCATGTTCCATTTGCTACTATATATATTTCTAGGCTTTGTAAAGAGATTTTGTACATGACAAATCAATAAATGGTTTTTATAGAAATTGAATATTTCTCATGTATTTTCTAATAATAATATATTCATAATTCATTTTGTTCAATCAAGATAAAGCATGTAGTTTTGGTCCAAATGTGCTTCAACTAGGTACAAGTATGGTCAAGAGCAGTGATATGAAAAACCATGAAGTTCTTCCTCTTGGGCTACACATTTGTATGCCTGGAAAACGTATCGTGAACCAGACCAGCTATAGTCCAGCTACCAGCTACAATGCACATAGGGGCACTGTACAGTACTGGGGACCAGCTATGGTACACACACACACACAGGCACTGTACAGTATTGGGGACCAGCTATAGTACACACACAGGCACTGTACAGTATTAAGGACCAGCTATAGTACACATAGAGACACTGTACAGTATTAGGGACCAGCTATAGTACACACACAGGCACAGTACAGTATTAGGGACCAGCTATAGTGCACATAGAGAGGCACTGTACAATACTTTTGGCCAGCTATAGTACACACACACACACTGTACAGTATTAGGGACCAGCTATAGTATTGGGGACCAGCTATAGTACACACACAGGCACAGTACAGTATTAGGGACCAGCTATAGTGCACATAGAGGCACTGTACAATACCTTTGGCCAGCTATAGTACACACACACACACACTGTACAGTATTAGGGACCAGCTATAGTACACATAGAGGCACTGTACAATACTTTGGGCCAGCTATAGTACACACACAGGCACTGTACAGTATTGGGGACCAGCTATAGTACACATACAGGCACTGTACAGTACTAGGGGCCAGCTATAGTACACACACACTGTACAGTATTAGGGACCAGCTCTAGTACACATAGAGACACTGTACAGTATTGGGGACCAGCTATAGTACACACACAGGCACAGTACAGTATTAGGGACCAGCTATAGTGCACATAGAGAGGCACTGTACAATACTTTTGGCCAGCTATAGTACACACACACACACTGTACAGTATTAGGGACCAGCTATAGTATTGGGGACCAGCTATAGTACACACACAGGCACTGTACAGTATTAGGGACCAGCTATAGTGCACATAGAGGCACTGTACAATACCTTTGGCCAGCTATAGTACACACACACACACACTGTACAGTATTAGGGACCAGCTATAGTACACATAGAGGCACTGTACAATACTTTGGGCCAGCTATAGTACACACACAGGCACTGTACAGTATTGGGGACCAGCTATAGTACACATACAGGCACTGTACAGTACTAGGGGCCAGCTATAGTACACACACACTGTACAGTATTAGGGACCAGCTCTAGTACACATAGAGACACTGTACAGTATTAGGGACCAGCTATAGTACACACACAGGCACTGTGCAGTATTAGAGACCAGCTATAGTGCACATAGAGGCACTGTACAGTATTAGGGACCAGCTATAGTGCACATAGAGGCACTGTACAGTATTAGAGACCAGCTATAGTACACACACAGGCGCTGTACAGTATTAGAGACCAGCTATAGTACACATAGAGGCACTGTACAGTACTGGGGACCAGCTATAGTGCACATAGAGGCACTGTACAGTATTAGGGACCAGCTATAGTGCACACACAGGCACTGTACAGTATTAGGGACCAGCTATAGTGCACATAGAGGCACTGTACAGTATTAGGGACCAGCTATAGTACACACACACACACTGTACAGTATTAGGGACCAGCTATAGTACACATAGAGGCACTGTACAATACTTTGGGCCAGCTATAGTGCACATTGAAGCACTGTACAGTATTAGGGACCAGCTATAGTGCACATAGAGGCACTGTACAGTATTAGGGACCAGCTATAGTACACACACACACACTGTACAGTATTAGGGACCAGCTATAGTACACATAGAGGCACTGTACAATACTTTGGGCCAGCTATAGTGCACATAGAAGCACTGTACATTATTAGGGACCAGCTATAGTACACACACAGGCACTGTACAGTACAAGGGACCAGCTATAGTACACACACAGACACTGTACAGTACTAGGGACCAGCTATAGTACACACACAGGCACTGTACAGTATTAGAGACCAGCTATAGTACACACACAGGCACTGTACAGTATTAGGGACAAGCTATAGTACACATAGAGGCACTGTACAGTATTAGAGACCAGCTATAGTACACACACAGGCACTGTACAGTATTAGGGTCCAGCTATAGTACACACACAGGCACTGTACAGTATTAGAGACCAGCTATAGTACACATAGAGGCACTGTACAGTACTAGGGGCCAGCTATAGTACACACACAGGCACTGTGCATTATTGAGGACCAGCTATAGTACACACACAGGCACTGTATAGTATTAGGGACCAGATATAGTGCACACACAGGCACTGTACATTATTGAGGACCAGCTATAGTACACACACAGGCACTGTACAGTATTAGGGACAAGCTATAGTGCACACACAGGCACTGTGCAATACTAGGGGCCAGCTAAAGTGCACATAGAGACACTGTACAGAACTAGGGGCCAGCTATAGTGCACATTCAGACACTGTACAGTACTGGGGACCAGCTATAGTACACATAGAGGCACTGTACAGTACTGGGGACCAGCTATAGTGCACCCACAGGCACTTGTACCTGATCCTTTGAGGATGCAACTGTTTACTCAACATACAGACAATGACAGATGTACCGTATTCGACGTAATAAGCACCCATGGCGCTCTCAACATTAGAACTATGGGTCTCTTATTAGAATATAATTTTGGTGAGAAAAAATAGAGTTGAAAGATTGTCAATATTGTGGTTTATGCTGACAGCCTGGAACGATACAAAAGAAAAGTCTGTGCGTATTATACACGACAAATATACTTTTTCAGAATTTAATTGCCCATAATTAAGGGTGCATATAACACACGAGTGCACATGTTGTTATGCAAGCATCGTGGCATACAGGTTCAGAAATAATAAAGCAAACATGTCAAAGCATCATGACATGGTATCATTGCAATCTTGGCCCCTCTTGGACAAAGTGGACAATTGTTAGAAATGTCGTATTCATTGTCAACAGATGCAGTCCTGGCCCCTCTTGGACCAAGTGGACAATTGTTAGAAATGTCGTATTCATGGTCAACAGATGCAGTCCTGGCCCCTCTTGGACCAAGTGGACAATTGTTAGAAATGTCGTATTCATTGTCAACAGATGCAGTCCTGGCCCCTCTTGGACCAAGTGGACAATTGTTAGAAATGTCGTATTCATTGTCAACAGATGCAGTCCTGGCCCCTCTTGGACCAAGAGGACAATTGTTAGAAATGTCGTATTCATTGTCAACAGATGCAGTCCTGGCCCCTCTTGGACCAAGTGGACAATTGTTAGAAATGTCGTATTCATTGTCAACAGATGCAGTCCTGGCCCCTCTTGGACCAAGTGGACAATTGTTAGAAATGTCGTATTCATGGTCAACAGATGCAGTCCTGGCCCCTCTTGGACCAAGTGGACAATTGTTAGAAATGTCGTATTCATGGTCAACAGATGCAGTCCTGGCCCCTCTTGGACCAAGTGGACAATTGTTAGAAATGTCGTATTCATTGTCAACAGATGCAGTCCTGGCCCCTCTTGGACCAAGTGGACAATTGTTAGAAATGTCGTATTCATTGTCAACAGATGCAATCCTGGCCCCTCTTGGACCAAGTGGACAATTGTTAGAAATGTCGTATTCATTGTCAACAGATGCAATCCTGGCCCCTCTTGGACAAAGTGGACAATTGTTAGAAATGTCGTATTCATTGTCAACAGATGCAGTCCTGGCCCCTCTTGGACCAAGTGGACAATTGTTAGAAATGTCGTATTCATGGTCAACAGATGCAGTCCTGGCCCCTCTTGGACCAAGTGGACAATTGTTAGAAATGTCGTATTCATTGTCAACAGATGCAGTCCTGGCCCCTCTTGGACCAAGTGGACAATTGTTAGAAATGTCGTATTCATTGTCAACAGATGCAATCCTGGCCCCTCTTGGACCAAGTGGACAATTGTTAGAAATGTCGTATTCATGGTCAACAGATGCAATCCTGGCCCGTCTTGGACCAAGTGGACAATTGTTAGAAATGTCGTATTCATGGTCAACAGATGCAGCCCTGTGCAATTACATTTTTGTGCTAAGTAATAAATTTTGCTTGAAGGTAGTTACAATCCATTTCCTACCCTATAAACCATCTTCTGATTCTTATGAAGTCACACAATTAACATGAACTGGCCCTTGCCTTCACAGCAGATTTCTCTGTTGAATGCTGATGTTTCTAACTTGGTGATGTTTATGGTAATGCTGTTCTTGTTATTTTATTATCTGCATCTCCTCTTTTCTTATGACACTTTATTGCCAGGTTAATGCACCTTGGGTGAAGCTATGGTTCAATCATCGACGAATGTATTAATTTGCCACCCTATTACCAGCAACGTCCTTTAATTCAACGTTGAAATTAGATAATGTGCAAAAGCTCGCGTAATAAATAAATCTCTAAAAGGAGTATCAAAACGTTTTCATCCTTGCCTACATCCAACTGTAATACTTTTGTGAGCTTTAGTTATTTTTCAACAAAGTCCCCTTGCAGGCCAGGACATTTATTCCATGTCAGTCATCGCCATGTTGCAGAAGGTGAAATCTTAGTCTGTAACCAGACCTCTACAGCAGCAACAAATTATTGGTCCTCATTAAATCTCCGACCACAAAAGTGTTTTACCCAAATCTGAAAACAGGTAGCAATCACAAGAGGTCAGATCTGGTGAATACGCTGCATGAAGTACAAGCCTGTCTCCACATTCCCATACTGCAACATGACTGGTGTTAACTCATGCAATCTTTTCAATAAGTTAGCATAACATGCGCCATTCATAGTCCTTCCCCATGGTAAATAATCAATGTGTATTACTGTCCTAAAGCTTAACGCAACATGTTAATACACAATGTGTACATTATACATTATCGAGCGATCGAACTCGCTCTATTCGACTTTCCGAAAAGTGTTGTTATCTCCCTTTGCAAAGAAAATTAGAGTGATGTCCCCTTTTCACGTTCACTTCCGTCGAGTAAACCTTCAAAATTGCGTGAATACCTACGGGAACGAAATCAAAAGGTGACTGGGATAAGAGCACAAGTTTTAGCGCGAGCAAGAGGGGCGAAGGCACTTCGTTTGGATGCAACCACCTTAGTACAACCAAGTAAAGGCGTTATATCCTTGCAACGGAAGCTCGTCACACCCAGCGGATATCGAATGCCAGACCCCACTACATTAATGATTGGATGGAACGATGCTGTTGAATCATTGCCGGAATTCTCAGAGAAGGAAATCTACAATTATATGGTACTTAGCAACCATAGGACTTCAGACACGAAACCCATGATGGCTAAACGACAAATGAAGGCAGTGGTGTTTTACCAAGATAGACATGTTCACGGCGTAGCTCTACACAACATCCATCACAACTGTGACCATATGTTTGTCAGATGCCGTGTCATACCATCACTACCAACAGCGGATCCTAAGAAAAGCCCCGATCACGAAGTTTGGGCAAGTCTCTCAAAAGTTACAGGTCGTGTTCATTCAGCAAATTGTACTTGTGCAGCTGGGTATGTAGACTTTGCATTTATATAACTACAGTCGTGTCATCTATATCTAGATCGCTGTTTTTTTACAAACAAAACGTTTAAAAACCTTTTCAAAGAAAATATGTTCCAAATATTAAGTTTGATCAAAAGATTTGTAAATTATTAATTCCAAATACCAGCAAAGTAATTGATACATTTTAAAATCTCTTCCTTTGTGGGACCTCTCATTCACTTTTGTTAATTTAAATAAATAAACAGATTATTGATATTGTTGCTTATTAATATGTGACATCTTTAGCTGATTACATTAAAAATAATAATTATTTAGGGTGAAATAGAGGAAACATGACTGTGTCATTTTATATGCATTTGATTGTTATTTCATAATATTAAAGCTAGAGTCCAAATAATATTAATAAATATAACTAATTTTGTTTTTGCAGTGCCGGGGAGGCTTGTAATCATGTATCAGCCCTGCTTCATGCCCTTGCAGAAATTAGTCAGAAGAAAAAGGATGGTTTGCTTTCATGCACATCAGTTGAGTGCAAGTGGAAAATTCCCAGAAAAAGGAAGTTGGATCCAATGAAATCGGATGACTTGAACCTGATGTCAAGTGGCAGGAAGAGTCAACAAAAAGGTACTGGGACTACACAAGGTACTGTCGGAATACAGAATGGAACAATCAACAAAAGATCAATGTGTCCCAACAGCAACATGCCACAGACAACAATAAATCTCACAAGATTTAATAAGAAGTTAATTGGTCATGAAACAAAAAGTAAATGTGGATATGTTGTTAATACAACTACTGTTACTCAAGCTCCTGAACCTATGCCAGAACTTCCAAAAATACCATGCATTGATCGTTGTATTCCTGACTATGTTGATATTAAATCGCCAACCTGTCAAACTACCTTTCAAAATTATTTTGATTCCATGAAAGTGTCAGAAAAGGATGTGAGGTCAATAGAGAGAATGACAAGAGGACAACATAAAACAAAGTTTTGGAAGGAAGCCAGATTGGAAAGGATAACAAGTTCACAGTTTGGCAAAGTATTTATCCGACAGACATCTACAGCTCCAGATAGACTTGTATGTGACCTAATGGGATATCGGGGCGAATTTGGTAACAGACATACCAGATGGGGACTTTCACATGAATCGGCAGCAAGGCGGCAGTATATCAACAAAATGGCAGGTCTTCATCCACAGTTGAAAGTGTCTCAGTGTGGACTAATTGTGAATACAGACTACCCTTACCTTGCAACTAGCCCTGATGGACTTGTGTCATGCACAGATTGTAGTACATGTAGTAATCAACATGGCTTAGTAGAGATTAAATGTCCATCTGTTTTCAGAGATCTAACACCAGAAGAGGCTGCATCAAATACAAATTTCTTCTGCCATATTGTGGACAAAAATGTGACTCTAAAAGAAAACCATGCATACTACTTTCAAGTACAAGGACAGATGGCCTTGACCAAAAGAACTTGGTGTGATTTTGTGGTGTGGACTCTCAAAGGGATATCTATTGAAAGGATTACATTTGACGAGAACAAGTGGCATCAGATGGTCACAAGGCTTCGCAGCTTCTATCTGTCAGCCATTATTCCTGAAAAATATACCCTACGTGTCCAGTGAGGTGTTTCACTGTATTAGATTGACCGTTGCACTACCATCTTACCAGTTGTTTTACCCTATGCTCACTCAGTCAATTCAATGTTTCACTCAATACCATATCATATCTTTCTTTGATAGTCATAGATACTTACCATTCAATGGGTGAATTGTTACTTAACGCCGCATTCACGGCGACTGACCATTCAGATAGTATGTCGCTTAGACATAGGATATCTTCTTCTCCTTGTAATTTCTTGAACCATTCTATTAAGCCATAACATATAATAACATATTTTCTGTAACGTCTTGAAATGACAACATGGACAACATGATTTAAGAAAATCATCAAGCTTTTATTTCTTTCATTTTTAGTTATTGTCACAAAAATTAGAACCATGGGACTATGATCCTGCTGTCACAGCTAAAACATGAAATTGTTTATGTTCTTATATGAAGATAAACTCACACTCATGAGTACACAAAAAGAACTTTTAGAACGCCAGCTTGTTTCCGTCAACGAATCAGTGAAACTGTTGGAAGATAAAATTATCTCCAAAGCGGATCAACACTCTCAAAACATCATCAACACTGCTTGTCAAGCAGTCAAAGACAGAGAGCACAAGTCCACACATGAAAAATTCAACACCAGATTTGTTAGCCTACAACAGGCGGCTATCAAATCTGACCCCTTCGCCGCCAAACTATACGTGCAAGGGACCCCGACCCAGAAACGGGCCAAATCTCCCAAGTTTCGCCCCTCGAGACAACCATCACGTGATCGAGCTCGTGGACTACGCAGACCACGACAGAACTTCCGCCCCGACAGGGGCAATCAAGGAAACAATTCGCGGGACCTCAAACGGGCCCTAGAGCTGTTGTCGAAACACCTCAACTTCAACAACAACAGTTTGTGCAATAAACTTTCTAATCTGAATCTGAACAATAACTCAGATAATAAAACTGGTGAATCTTATCATGACAACTTTGTTATCAATCTTTCCGATTATGACCTTAATCCATCTGAATTAGAGGTTCTTAACAAGGGACTCACTTTTAGCCCCACCCCTAGATTTACTGACAAAAGTAAAACCTTTTCCGACCTGAAACAATTTTTCAGAAAATTATGTCTCACTCATTTTTTCCATGATTCTTCCATTGATGGCACTTCACACCCGCTCCAAAACACACTGGATCACAAATTCGGTCCCAAAAGCACTTGGACCCCTAGACCTTATACCGACCCAACACTAGAGTCGTTTATCAAAGCAGTCTCCAATGATTTTAACAAACTTGGTAATATAAAATTCACATCAGTCTGCTTGTTTACTCTGCTAGTTACTCTGTGTTCATTAGTCATCCACTGGCTTCCAATTAGCTTAATCACCTCTCTGTGTCCATCAACTAGTCACTGTAACAACTTAGATGTCAATAAGTGTATATATACCTATGTTGTTTAGCCCTATCCATCACTTGCTTGATAAAGGTGTTAGGATCTACACCGAAACGTCGCACTAATTGTAATAAAGAAGTTGTTCATCCATAGAACTTGTCTTACTTCAGGACAGTACTACACTACCCACCCACCCACCAAACCGCAAATTAGCGGCAAGGTAGTCAACTTCGTAAATGAGAGTTGCAAAAGAGAAGGATGCAAAATCTGCAACTCCTTAGGTAAAACACATACGTTTCGCAGCTCGACATTAGGCAAAACATTCAAAATCCACAAGTTTGAATGTACAAGTAAAAACATAGTTTACTTGCTAACTTGTAACAAATGCAAGAAACAATACGTTTGAGAATCCAAAAGAGAATTTCAGACTAGACTGAAAGAACACTTTGCAGACATCAGCTACAAGAGAGACAAACCTGTAGCTAATCACTTCAATAGTGATGATCACAGCACCAAAGATGTTAGATATAACATCATAGCACAGCTCAAGGAAAACCCTGAGTCTACTGACACCACAGTTAAGAGGAGAGCACTTGAACTGAGGTGGATATTTGAGCTAAAAACGTTCCACCCGCACGGTCTCAATGACAGAATGGTTGGCTGATTAATTTTCCCCCTTTGGTCAACTTGCTACTTATATGAAGAGTCAGGATTTTTATATCAATGCTTTGATTCAATAAGTAAAACAAAAATAGACAACCAGTAGGTGGTCATGTCAATAGTCATATTGGACAAAAATAGACTTATTTGTCTAGACTTATTTGGCTCAATGTTTTCAATACAAAATTGTTATCATGATACCATGATTATTAAGTTTAAATACAGCAGAAAATATCATGTGACCATTCACATCTGGAGCTGCAATAAGATTATGCTAATCCTACTAATTACAGAGCAAGCAAGGAACTGTCATCAAAGAAGTAATTGTCATCAATTTCTTGGTCATGAGGATAAAGAGGGGGAAGCAGAGTAGTCAAAGCATTACAGATTTTCCAGATTTTGTTTACAGATTTTGAAATTGTAATTGTAATTATACCCTGCAAAATTCTGAAATTCTTGACACGTTCCATGTGCCTTTCAACATGGATTCTCAAGTTCGCTATTCTCCTAGTTTGTTCAATTTCTACAGCAGTCAGCTGTTTTCTCTTATGTTTCTTTGGTGGAATTATTAAGAGTATACCTCTTGGTGTTGTCAAGTCTGAGATTGTAAATCCCTTATCCGCCATGATTGCATCACCTACATCACACAAATCTAAAAGTCCTGATTCTACTGTTATTTGCCGGTCACTTATAGCTCCTGACCACAAGTCAGAGACAAAGCTAACAACACCATTTGGAGTGACACCAACAAGCGGTTTAAATGTTATGTGACTTTTATAATGACTGTACATTTGTGACTGTTTACCAATAGAGTAAGGTTTTTCTGTAAATAATTCTGTACAATCTATAACAACCCTTGTATTTGGATACAGATCTTTAAAACCTTGAGGCATAGTTGTATTAATAGTATCCATTGATGGCCAGACAACTAGGAAGGATAAACTGTTGTACAAAATATCAATCCATCTATTAATGATATCAGCACAGCAGCTTCTGGAAATATGAAATCGCTTTGATAAATCAACAACTAGGAGTCCAAGTCTAAGACGCATCAACACTAGAAAGAACTCGTCTATCAAAGACAAAGATTTAGGGCGTCCGATATTGGATGTTGGATAGTCCCTGTCATGAACCTCAGAAAACTCGTCAAATAAACATGAAAACTTTTCTGCATCCACAAGACCTGTATAATAGGTTACCAATTCTGAATCATTCTTCACATCAAAAAATGTTAAATCAGGAAGTTTGACTTGAGTGGCTTGATTGCGAAAGACTTTTTTATTTTCAGTCTCAGTCTGAGTCATTGCACAGGATGTTTTCACAGGATTTAAACACTGGAACATTACATCGTCAGTTTGAGTAGACATGCTTCTAACTTCCACCATTTCTGTTTGCGATGATCCATATCTTTTGCAACTGATGTCGTCTTCACACACAGCCTCACAGTAGTCATGCAGCATAATTGATGCAACGTCATAGGATCTGTCAAAATAATAAATAGCTTTTCATCACATTAAATATATAGTTTTTTTCCGATATTTTGAGGTTAAAGGAATTAAAATTAATAAAAAATAAATTAACATAAATCTGTTAATACAAAAGCTAATATAAGAAGTGTATTATCAAGTTTATTGGTCAATGCTCTATTATATTTTATGCTCTCTATATATATTTTATGTTCTTTATATTTTATTGTTCTGTAAGTAAGAGAGACTACACCATGATTTTTATATTTTGTCTTGTTAAGCATAACTTCTCATAATAATCAACAAATTCAAAAAAGAGAAAAAACTTATGTTCCCGCTGTACCTGGCACCTTGACTGAATGTTGTGGAATGATGTTCAATTTCATCAGACTGAGGAGTCCCTCCATGTACCTGCATAGTCACTTTGGGAGATTCAGGGTCACAGGCCTGCTTGAATGGGCTTTCATTTGGCTTCGAGGTATCAACAAAGTCAGCATCAGACACCTGCAACAAATTATCAACAGACACTGAGACATTTTTTTTCTATTTATTCAAACAAATAAGATGAAAGAGAGGATACATAAAATTTTAAGATCAACACAACTTGAAACGTTTTTGTTTGTTTTTTTCATTTCAAGTTTTAATCATAGCACTTTTTTCACAATCACATAACATTCACAAACGATAAAACACATTAAATACACCAACAATAGCATAAATCTTATAAGAATCAACATAACTCACTGTGCAAGTACTGTAATTTTTCTTCGGAAAAATCGATGGAACATCATGCCCTATGCCTGGACCGTTACCACCCACGAAATGTTCTGAGCAAATTTCCGTGTGCTTGGTCACTGTGAGGTCTTTTCTCACTAACCGAAGTCGCCTTATCCACGCTTGTCGTAGGGACTTGCTTACTGGAATGACGTGTAGAGATACTATTCTTTCACCGACTATCTTTCCCCTAAAATTGCTACAAATACAGCAGTATTGCTTCCCCATTTTGACAGCTTCGAAGCAGCGCGCTGTTTTCGACGGAAGTTGACAGTACTCGGCGGAAGTTCATTCAACCAATTGAAGAGTTCCAACTCAAGACGGATAACTCTCATTGAACTTGACTTTTCGGAAAGTCGAATACATGTATATATATATGTGTGACGTCAGACGGTGAGTGCACGAGGAATGACGTAATACATTGTGCACCTCGGCATGCAGTTATCATATACTATACACAGCGGAACAAGCCGATTTAACTCGGAATGTTTTACAAATTGCAGCGCCATCTGGCGTTCTTTATTGTCAACGTCCTTTCGTGCTCACTGACGCTCTTTATTGAAAACGTCCTTTCGTGCTCACTGTCGTTCTTTATTGAAAACGTCCTTTCGTGCTCACTGACGTTCTTTCGTACACATTGTTCTTTCTTTTCTTATGACGTCTTTTCGTAACATTTGACTATTAATATTGTATTTTGACCTTTAGTAGTAACATTTAGTTCTTTATTCGTAATATTTGACCTTAATTGCGTACTTTTATCCTTTTTTTCAACTTTGTATTTTTTGACCGAATGGCCGCCCATTATGGTGGACGAGAGGGGACATCGCTTTCTCGCTCTATCGCTTTATCGCTTTATCGCTTTCTCGCGGTTAAGCAGTATCCCCTCTTGACCACTACAGGGGCCGCATGTGATATCAGCTGCAATTGGGAGGTAATGTTGAACTTTTCCCACTATTTACTTAAAACATAATTTAACTGTACAGACGTAGGTGATTTTAAAACAATCCACCGATTTTTGCGTAAAATGTAATTGATTTATTTATGGCCCTATTCAGTTGTATGTGACCATCTCGCCGAAAGCGCGTGGCAGATCATGGCCATACGCTCTAAATAAATCAGGTTAAAATCTAAATATATACTTTTCAAAAGAAGTTAAGAAGACTATGGTTAATTAGTCATGGCTGATTGTTTTGCAAAAATACAATCTTATAATTGTTGGTGTTCTATAACTTGTTTTCGGTAGTATATGATTTACAGTGTGTCATAAGGTTGTCCGTAAATGTTCTTTTTGACATTTGATGTATGTTTAACTTGAATTGTGTTTCTTGTCTTGTGCAAATCTACAAATATATGTACTTGCATATAGTAATTTGATAAACACCGCTGTGAGTGAGTGAGAATGGTTTCACGTCGCTTTTAACAATAATCCAGTTATATCATGGGTAACACCAGAAATGGGCTTCACACATTGTACCCATGTGGGGAATCGAACTGGGTCTTCGGCTTGACGATCGAACGCTGTAACCACTAGGCTATCCCACTGCCCCCATCGCTGTGGCGTTACCACAGTTAATATGTGTACTTGTGTAAACTACACATATGGAGAGACATAATTAGTATGGCCACATAGTTAAGGTTGATAACAATATGAAATGAATTACTATGATTATCTATAACATATATTAAATCAGCTATCATTGTGATATGTTATGTATATCTTAAGTATAGTTTTGTCAAAATTATGTATGTGTGTGTGTGTGTGTGTGTTTCCGACTCATTGTCTGTGTAAAAAGGTAGTAGATAACAACATAACTCATATCAGAACGCACAATTGTTAACCATACATTTTAAATTGATAGAGAATTGCTACATGAATATGTATATTCCTGCCTGAGCCTATACTATAATTGGATATCTAGTCTCCCCTGGCGGGAAAGTTAAACTTTATTTTACAAGCACTTTAGCATTAAATTTAATTCCCGAAGACAGTTTGATCGAAAGTCATTATAAGAAACGAGTTGTTTAAAAAAAATATTTACAACGCATTTCATTTCTATTGTCCAAGGAATGGGGGTTACGGGTTAATGACGCTCTCGAAAGTCGTATATGTGACTTAAGGTAGAGACATATATCTAATTCATCTGTATTTTGTAAGGGAAACATAACTGTGTACATGTATGCATAATGTACATGCAACTTAATGAACATAATTGTGATCCCGAAATCGGACGAGCACGTATTCGGCTTCAATTCCAAACTAATTACCGAACAAAATAATTCTTTGGACGTTGCAAACAATACAAACTGTCTAATAAAACTGACATATATGATCTCCTTTTTATCAGTTTTAAGTTTGATGGAGAAATGGGGGGGATACTATGAACAAAATGAAAATATGAACAGTGACTATCTGTATTCTTTGAATCTTGCTTATTTATTACACTACAAGAAAATATGCAAGCTAAACGAGAAAAAAGTACGTGTGTATTTTGTAACATATTTATCTACTACAAGATGTTTAAAAAATATAATCATAAGAGGCAAAATAGCGGTGAGAATTACAGGATCACTAAATATCAGCAAAAACCGTTTTAATGTACGGCATTATGGGAGATATTGCTTTCTCGCTCTATCGCTTTATCGCTTTCTCGCTCTATCGCTTTCTCTCGGTATAGCAATATTCCCTCTTTGGGTTTTAAACATAAAAGAGAGCTGAGATTTTTCCAGTCGCATTTCAAATTATACATATGGACGGAATGTTGAAATTTTCTCACTATCTACTGAAATATAATTTAACAGTACAGACATATGTGCTTTTATAACAATCCACGTATTTCTGCGTAAAAAAGAATTTGATTGATTTATGACCCTATTTAGCTATTTGATCCCCCGCCCCTAGGCCAAGTTATCAAAACAAATAGCAAATAACACCGCTCAATAGCGATGAGTAGTACGTACTTCCTAAAAAGCAATGGTGTTTTCCTAAAAACAACGCTTATATCAACGTTTATTCTGTTTGCGGAGTAGATGTCATCAAAGTGGAAGTCCTCATCCAAGCAATGGTAAATACTACCGGATGTCCTTTATGTAATTTCTAGTTTTTGGATGACATATTGTTCTCAGTAACCGTAATGTGAAAATAGATAATTGATTGGTTTTATATTCAAGTTGGTATTTCCGCTATTCAAAGTGTTCAGTGAGGCCGTCTTATCAACAGTCATTTCTGAGACATAAATGCAAAGTATAATTACCTTATTCGAAAGTAATAAGCGCCCCGCTCTAATCAAAGCCCACGGCGATATTTGCTAAAATATTGGCTAGTGAACAATCCCAATTAGCACCCCTTGCGATTGATTAATGTACACAAGACTTATTTATTCGCGTATAATACGCACTCGTGCGTTATATGCACCCTTAATTATGGGCAATTAAATTCGGGAAAAATATATTTGTCGTACATAAACATTTCAGGCTGTCAGCATAAACCACGAAATTTATCTTTCAATTCAACTTTTTTTTTCCGCAAAAATATTATTCTTGAGAGCGCCCTGGGCACTTATTACGTCGAATACGGTAATTATGTCTAAGCTAATTTTTTTGCATTTATAATTAACGTTAATTTCAAGATTTACAGCACATACTATTCAAAAGAAGTTAAAGAACACCCGATTCCTTCATATGACTATGGTTAGTCATTAGAAGAAGCAATAGGGCGAGAAAGCGATAGAGCGATAAAGCGAGAAAGCGATAGAGCGAGAAAGCGATAAAGCGAGAAAGCGATAGAGCGAGAAAGCGAGAAAGCGATGTCCCCTCTCGGCCACCATAGCCCATAGATGGCCACAGCTTCAACCATTCATGAATATTCCGTGGTGATTGACCCTCCATGGTAAAACATTTGATGACTGCTATACACTCAAGCTTAAACCATTTCAATGCTAAGGAGTTGGGTACATTAGAGTTAAAGTAAATTATCGGCAAGAAACATGCCAAACTGTGAAAGATTACTCTACAAACACAGGTCAATACAAAAAATATGTGTCACACATTAGCATCATAAAACCCAGATATATACTGAACAACACACGTTCCTGTGACATTGAATAAGATTTAATGCAAAGTTATATAGTTATATTTTTTACCAAATCTGCAACAATTTCGGTTTGCAACAGATAAAAGACTCTGTAAGTGTGCAAACGGTTTAATTTGACATACTGACCTCAGAAAATGCGTGATTTCATAAAAAACATGAACATGCCAAAATGTCAATATTCAAATCAATAGCGTGTGTGTCCACCTCTGGTTGCGATGCAAGCAACACATCTTCGTCTCATGGAATGGACCAGGCGCCGCAAGTCCTGTGGGATATCTGTCTATATCTGCTGGAGCATGTTTCGAAGTTCCTGGAGTAAATGTGGAACACGTGGTTGACGTCGAAGGCACCGATCCATCTCATCCCACATGTGCTCGATTGTTGAGAGATCCGGGGAACGAGCCGGCCAGGGGATGGCTTTCACGTTGTTTTGTTGAAGAGAATCCTGAACAAGTCGAGCAGTATGAGGCTTGGCGTTGTCATGTTGAAAGGAAATGTCTGGGCCATGACGACGCAAAAACGGTAGAACAACAGGGCCGATGATCTCATCGCGGTAGCGCTGTCTATTGAGATTTCCCTCTACGACAATCAAACGGGTCCTCTGTCTTGCTGTAATCCCACCCCATACCATACCGCTACTGCCCCCGAACCGATCTTCTTCCATGACACAATGATTGACGTAACGTTCACCTAGACGTCGGTACACTCGAATCCGTCCATCACTGTGGCTGAGGTGAAAACGAGACTCGTCAGTGAATAGAACTCCCCACTGCATGGCCGCCCACTGTACACGTGTTTGACGGTGGTTTCCTGTCAAAATGGGACGTCTGGCGGGTCTACTGGCGACAATCCCTGCACATCTGAGGCGACGACGTACGGTTTGTGAAGATATTCGTCGAAGAATTGTTTTCGTAGGTGTGTTGTTCGAATCCAGTTGTCTTGTCGATTATTGGTTACGCGTGGCCTGCCACTCCGAGGATGGTCTCTGACTGCATTCTTTTGTTGCCAACGTTGTCATAAACACTAAATGGCGTTTCTGTGGACGTTAAATTGTCTTGCAACATCACGTTGACTCGATCCTGCTTCAAGTATACCAATGGCTCGCAGACGCTCATTTTCGAACAGGCGTGGCATTTCGTAATGTTGAATAATTGCATAATTTTGTTGTTTTTCTGAACGGTTGTTGTCAGCACGATGCTAAACAATGCATATGGAATCCCCTTAACGCACATGTTTTTATACCCATTCTTTGGTAGTGAAATGCATGGGGCTTGCATAAAAGTCAACTTTTGCATGGAATGCATGCTTTTCTGTAGCAGTTGCGTTTTTGTGGCTTGATTCCATACATATACTACAATTTTGAAAACCAAACTTTACTTGTTTGAAAAATACACTAAAATATTGGTGTCACAGGAACTTTTGTTGTTGAGTATATATGCCAGGTTAAAAACTTACTCATATCCCTTTGTGCACTTGTAAGATACACCTTATGTTACAACAATCAAAACAGTGGAAGCATATGTGCCTCATCCAAGATAATTTAGTGTGACAAATAGTGGACATTCTGGACTCCACCGACATTTATAATACGGCCTGTTATTAGTTATTGGTGCTGCCAAATATTTTGACCCATTGTATTACCGTGTATGATTGTAATCCAAATACTGTGTAATTCAATATAATTTGATAACTGTTCATTGAACGTGTGTGCCTATTTACTGATTTCACAATTTAGTTCTGTACATTGTGATTTGAATTTTTCAATCAACATGTATCAGCTATGGAAAGATCAGTTGCATTTTAATTTTTTAACAAAATGATAATATAAATGTAATAATGTCATAAAATGGACAACATTATTTTTGAGAGGGAAGTGTGAAGTGAGTTTTTCCCCATAGATGTAGCTGGGCAACACAGATGAACGTAATGGCCAAACGATCGCATTCAAAAGTGGGAGAGATGACAATTGGTATATAGAGAAAAGTTACTGCAGATCAACGTTAAAATTCCAGGAAATACCAAATGTCCCCCCCTTCATAAAATGGACTTGTCTGACATTGCCGAGGTCGAATTGTATTACGTGAGTAATCATTATTTATATACAGGTAAATACTTTTAAAGCTTACATATTTCATTAACATCCTTGAAGAGGCTGTACAAAATGTTCATATCTCATGTAAAGAAAACACTGTAGGGAGAATAAACCATTAGCGGCTTCATTGTAAACTCTCCCTGCAGAGTTTTATTGTACGATAAACAATGACCATGAGTCTTTCATTTCTATGATTAGACTCAAGTGCATTTGGCATGGATTTTAGGAACGCTTCTTTGTGACACTTTAATGACGTCTACGGTCAAAGGGGGGCGACTCTGACATGAACATCGATCACACCTCTTTCAACAACTAATTATTGTTATTGATTTATCATTAATTGTTAAAGTTGATTATATCTTGAATAAATGTTTGAAGATTTTATCACGTCTCCTTCCTATTTTGCAGGTGGCTACATTTTGGCGAGCGTGCCAAGATCGGCTAGGAACTAGAAAGTGCGATCAAGGGTGACTCTACATCATGGCCACGGAAGAGGTACAGGACCTTCTACTTGACATCTAGTCAAGACTGTATTCCATTACCGTAGAGAGAATGAGACAGGTAATTGAGAGCATAGACATTCCTATGAAGACAGTAAAGACCGACACCAGATTATTGCAATCGAGAGATATTTGGAGGTCCACCACAAGGATATTGATGCTCTCAATAGGACCCTGGAAGTAATCGAGTCACAGTGCAACACCAACACAAAAGTCTCAACATCATCAACTGAGAACCGCAAGGAACTAAAGATAACCGTCTAAAACAAGCAGCAGAGGGAATCAGCTTCATAAACCTTGTCCGACAAATTGATATGGCCAAACAGAGGAGATATAACAATACTGAAATCGTCTGGGCAGTGGTTAAGGCAATTCATCCATCCCAACAACTGTGGGGATATTTAGAACTATAACATCAAGAGTCCATAGTGTGGAAGCAGAAGAGGATAACTCAACAATGGCTGGCAAGGACATTCTCAAGGAGCTGAATGCCGAAGTTGCAGCTCTTCGTCAAGAACTCAGAGATCAGAAACAGAATGTGAACGGTTTGTCAGGAAATGTGACAAGTGAGAACAGTCAGGAGCGAGATGTGGACACTGCTTCAAGTGTGGTTCTGAGGATCATTTCTAGGCAGGATGCAAGCAGAATAGACATTTGGGAAATGGAACATGGTCAGTGCCCAAGGGAAACCATTGACCAAGACTGTTAGTGACCCAAAATGTAAACAGTGTGGTCGAAAGTGTGAAAAAGTTTGTAGTGGGTGTGGTGTGACATTCCATTTGTAATCAGAGATGTCAACACGTAGACTGGTCTAATCATAAGATTTTAGCTATAAGTTAGATAGTGAGTCTGTTAGTTTGGGTACTTCATTGTCAGCTAAAGATCAAAGTTGTATTATAGAGTTAATTGGTAAGAAATGTATTGTGTTGTGTGTTCTAAGTGGCAATAAGACTGAGGTTCTATGGGACACTGGAGCACAGGTTTCCTTTGGCCATCAACGTGGTTGAAGAAGCACTTACCAACTGAACAGCCAAGACCCATCACAGAACTGCTAGCAGATGTACACCTCAACGTTCGTGCTGCAGATGGTACTATAATCCCCTTCAAAGGTTGGATTCCCTTGACATTCAAACAACTGAAAGGACAAGAGAAGCAAGTCCCTGTGCCCTGTCTGGCTTTCTGATCACCAACTCCCCTGGAATAAACAAACCTCTTATAGGATATAATGGCAACGAGCAATACCTTCTTGGAACTCCATCGAGCATTGAGACAACTGTGGATGTGATACAATCAGGCATGCCAGCAGTGGAACACAAGACCCAAGCTGCTCTAGTAAACTTCCTTGGGAAGGACAGAGAAGATGTGATAAGTTTGGTGTCTCTGGGAAGAGTGAGTGAGTGAGTGAGTATGGTTTTACGCCGCTTTTAGAAATATTCCAGCAATATCACGGCGGGGGACACCAGAAATGGGCTTCACACATTGTACCCATGTCGGGAATCGAACCCGGGTCTTCGGCGTGACGAGCGAATGCTTTAACCACTAGGCTACCCGACCGCCCCCTCTGGGAAGACAAGGAATCAAGATTTCTAAAGGAGAGACAGTTGAGGACCAACTTGAGGGAGAAGACAACTGCTGTATTCAAGCCTAATGTGTGCAATGACATTCCAGAAGAGATTGAGATCTTAGGAAACAGTACAGCTGAGGCAAGGTATGATAACTTCTGTGAATGTGTTCATCACTAATACCTCAAGTTGAGACATTTCCCTCAGATGCAAGACCAATGTAGGCAGCCTCCACAGTGTAAAGTCAGTGTTTCTACTGGTTGACAGAGATGACACCCAGGATCAGGAAATAGACTTGAAGGCAACCACAGTCACAGACATTCCACCTCCTAAAAGGGACAATGATGAAGTATTGTGGCAACCACCTGTAGACATCGGACAGGACTTCACTCAGGAACAGCAAGAGCAGATCAAGAAATTCTTGTTTGAGGAATCAGAAGCATTCTCTAGGAATGATGATGAAATCAGAAAGGCAACAGACTTAAGCCTTGAAATTCGTCTGAAAGATCACGAGCCCGTTCAGCAGAACTACATTGCTATTCCAGGAGCACTTTACAAGGAAGTCAAAGAGTAGCTGCATGATCCTATCCAGAAGAATTCCATCAGGAAAAGTCGATCATCATACTCAAGTGCCATGGTGTGTGTCAGAAAACGAGATGGATTCCTACGTCTATGCATAGACTACAGGAAGCTCAACCAGAAGACGATCAGTGACCAGCAGCCGATCCCTAGAATACAAGATGCACTCAATGGCCTGAAAGGAAAGTCTTGGTACACGCTACTTGACCAGGGAAAAGCCTATCATCAGGCATATGTGAAGGAAGAATGTAAACCTCTCACAGCCTTTGAGACTCCATGGGGCCATTACGAGTGGAATCGGATACCGTTTGGATTGTTAGGAGCACCTGGCCAATTCCAAAGATTAATGGAGGAGACCCTAGGAGACTTGCGAGACACCTGCTGCTGTCCTTATCTGGATGATATCCTTGTAGTCTCGGGATCTTTTGAGCAACACCTGGAAGATTACGGGAGGTGCTCAAGAGACTCAAGGAGAAGAGCATCAAGCTGAAGCCAAGAAAATGTGCGATTTTCAAGATACAAGTCCACTACCTTGACCACCTTGTGTCCAAAGATGGATACCAGCAGTCGAGGCTCTGAAAACCAAGGAATCAAGACTATTGGAGACCTTCGTAGATGATGCTTGGATTTCTAAGTTACTACAGGAAGTACATCATTTTTCTATCATTGTCAAGCCTCTGTACAACCTGCTGAAAAAGGAACCAGTCTTACAAAGGAAAGAGAAATTACATTGCAAAGGACAAGTGAAATCATCTTCCAAAGTAGTGTGGACCAATGAGCAACAACAGATCTTGGAGCAAACCATCAACATGTTGCTAAAGCCTCAAGTCATGACATGACTTTGAAAAGCCATATATTCTGCACACAGATGCCTGTCAGGAGGGTCTTGGGGCTGTATTGTACCAGAAGTCAGAAGATGGTAAACTACGGACTGTGGGATATGGATCCAGGATACTAACTCCTTCAGAAAAAAACCTACCACATGCACTCTGGCAAACTTGAATTCCTGGCTTCGAAGTGGGCAAAAGTGAGAAGTTCAGAGACTATCTATACTACGTTCCCAGCTTTATTGTATATATGGATAATAACTCACTCACATATACATCTTAACAACAGCAAAACTGGATAGCACACATCACAGATGGCTTACAGAATTGTCAGACTTCAACTTGGAGACTAAATACAAGCCTGGTACCAACAACAAGGATGTCGATGGACTATCAAGAATGCCACTAGATATCAACAAGTATATGACCGAGTGTACAGAGACTGTCATCACAGAATGCAAGGAAGCCATAATACATGCAAATATAACCGGAAAACGACCAATTACCTATATGGATATCTGCATTTTGCAGTGATGCATCAGTATTACCAGAAGAAGCCATCATTACACAGTTGCATAACGGGTTGTCTCAAGAGAAAATAAAGAAAGCTCAAGAAAAGGATAGTGTAATGAAGCCAGTTCTAAGATACAAGATCATGAAGAAAAGACTAAAGATGGATGAATCAAGTTCCCTAAATCTGTCCATTGATGAGAGAATGCAAGACTTACCTACAAGGAGTAGAAGAGAGAACACAGCTTGTATTACCTGCAGTTTACAAACCACTTGTACTCCAAGAACTCCATGATAATATGGGACACCTTGGAGCCAACCGAGTTCTTGCACTAGCCAGAGAGAGATTCTTTTGGCCTAAGATGAGAGAAGATATAGAATTCTCTGTGACAAAGAGATGTACATGTATCAAGGACAAAACACCAACTTGCCAGACAAGAGCACCAATGATACCAGTCCAGACTACAGCACCATTTGACCAAGTATCTATTGACTTTCTTCACCTGGAAAAAAGCACAGCAGGATACGAATACATTCTAGTAGTTGTCGACCACTTCACTTGATTTGCTCATGCGTACCCCACAAGAAACGAAAAGGTGAAGACGGTAGCAGAGAAAATCTTCAACGATTTCATCATGAGGTTTGGATATCCAATACATCTCCATCACGACCAAGGCGGAGAGTTTGAGAATAAGATCCTCTATGAACTTCAGAAACTAAGTGGTATTCAGAAGTGCAGGACGACCAGCTATCATCCTCAGGGGAATGGAAAAGTCGAGAGGTTCAACCGGACATTGTTAATTACGCGGAACGATTCCACTGGCTTTTCACCATTTTACCTCATGTATGGAAGATCACCTAGGCTACCCATCGATCTTGTCTTCAATCACCATGAAGAAAAGAGTTAAACCATCCAGGACGGTACCAACAAGTGGAGAACAAGAATGGAGGAGGACTATCAACTGTCATTTGAGCACTATGACCGGAAGGTAAAGAGTGCGCAGCTGCTACCTGGTGATCAAGAACTTCTAAGAAACTTATCAGAGCAGTGAGGACCAGGCATACTGAGATCACATTGGGTTGGTTGGTTGGTTTGTTGTTTAAAGCCGCACTCAGCAATATTCCAGCTATATGACGGCGGTCTGTAAATCGAGTCTGGACCAGACAATCCAGTGATTAATATCATGAGCATCGATCCACGCAATTGGGATTGATGACATGCATCAACAATGTCAGCGAACCTGACCACCCGATCCCGTTAGTCGCCTTTTACAACAAACATAGTCACCTTTTACGGCAAGCATGGGTTGCTGAAGACCTATTCTACCCCGGAATCTTCACGGGTCAGATCACATTGGGGAGACCAAGTGTACACCATTACCAAGAACATTGGCGATGAAAGCCCAGTTTATGACATAACTCCTGAAGATGAAACTGGGAAAACAAAGGTGGTACACAGGAACTTACTCTACCCATGCGATTATATTTAGACAGACCTCAAGAACCCATCCAGAAAACAAGACAGAAGATCAAAAGAACAAGACCAAAGTCAAGACAAAGGACAAGACAAGGACAAAGTCTTTGGAATTTAAAGTATCTCAGTTTTGTTCAAAGTAGCAATGTTGACTATCCAAAAGAACCCATATCTAAACCACTTCCTGCCAGAGATATCCTTGAACAGACTGATAGAATTGCCCAACAGGACAGAGAAGAACCAGGAGAGGCTACTGACTTTGAAACTGCAAGTGAATACAATTTTGAATCAGAGTCTGATTCTGACCAAGACTTACCGCAAGAAGCTGTGGATCAAGATGGAGATGGAACGAGACAAATTGATGGAACTGAGGCTGCTACTGCACCACCTGATGCATCAGGAGAAGTTCCTCCTCGTAGTGCAAGGATCCGTCGACCCCCAGCACAGCTGACCTGTGACACTGTAGGCAACCCATCCAAATGGCGTCTACATCCTGGAGTTCACTTCTTCCAAGCAATGCTGATCCATACCTACCAGTACCAGTACTTCAGGCAACCCATGATGTTCAGAGTGAGTGCCTACCCACAGATGTACTCAGTTCCAGTAATTATGTTATTCTACCAGGGAAAGATGATAACAAGTGCTGAGAACTGAGATAAGAAGTGATGACTGTAGACATTTTTTGTGAATGAAGAGCGTGATAGAGATTATAAAGTGTGGGGCTGTTTGTTCTTGGTGAGATTGCCATTGTATACTACTATTGAATTTTGAAAGGTGTATTAAAGGTTGTGTGATTGGATAATTGTCCATCAGAATTTTGTAGTTAAGTCTGTCTATGGATGAGATGTAACAATTGTAGATCGATCACAGTCACAAGGTTTAGTAATGTCATTGTTGTGGTGAATTAGGGGTATCCAGCTGTATTGTTAGTGAGTACTGGTATGACCAATGCTTTAAGCCTTTGCTCTTGAGTGAAAGTTTTAAACCTTGTTATTATTTACATCACATTGTAAGCAATATCATGTCACACTTAAAGTGTTGTTATTTAGTGTAGCTAGTATGTTTTACCTCAAATTGATTGGTAATCTAGGGTGATAGATAAGTATCATGTTTGTAAATATGTTTAAACTAAGGTTAGTGGTGATGTGTGAACTGTTGGTAGTAAGGATACCTGCTTTGTCTGATGTTAGGATAACATCAATTTTTGTGGGGGAGTGTGTAACAATATGATTAGATTAAAGTGCATTCGGCATGGATTTTAGGAATGCTTCTTGTGACACTTTAATGACGTCTATGGTCAAAGGGGGACATGACATGAATATTGATCATGCCACTTTTACGTGATAGCAGAATGCAGCCTTCTGATTGGTTGCGGCCTGAACGTCCTTGTACCATGTTGATTATATCTTGAATACAAGATTTCATCGCGTCTCCTCCCAATCTCATTAAAATCATATCTTAGTTCTCGCTGCCGCTAAACAAAGATCTGAGGACATCCCATTACGGCTCATGTCAGAACGACTTTTCGCGAACTCTGACCGACCAATGGAATTACTGACAAGAAGTCGACATTAGCCAATCAGAAGGCAGCTTTCTCGTGTTTTACAACTAATTTCAAATTGGCGACCACGCTTCAAAACATATTTTGACAAAATCTCGCTTAAAAATTTGAAACCTGAACAAAAGGACATTCCCAAATGGCTAATATATGGTCTAGAATGTATAGATTCAGTCGTTAAGCCCATAACTATCGTTCGGAATACTCCGTTTTAAAGTTTCTGCGGCTGCATGATTAGAAATCACATTCCGACTGTCACTTTCATGATCTGGTAAGCGACGCTCTGATTGGTCGGATGAAAGGTCGTTCTGACGTGACCCCTAATGGGATGTCCTCAGATCTTTGTTTTGCGGGAGCGAGAACTAAGATCTGGTTTTAATGAGATTGGTCTCCTCCCTATTTTGCAGGTAAATATAATTAACTAGGTCTTTAAACTTTGGACATTGTTAGATAATGAATCACATTTATGTAGGTTTTATATCACATATATTTAATCTGAATTTGTGGTTAGATATTTCACGGCAAATGCCGAAGGTCAATAGTGCCACTCAGAAACGGTCTAGTCACGTTTTAGTCATTTATCTTAAATAAAAACAATTTTTGTAAGTATATTTTGAGTAGAAGGTGTTATTATATACTTTGCTAACAATCTTACTGTTCAAATGTGATTATGTATTCTCCAACTTTGTAAACAAGAGTCTTTTGGACGTATGCTTTAACCTGTATAAGTTACATTCGCTGTAAGATGTGTTACTGTAAGTGCTATGTAAACTACACAGCAAAGGGAGATAACTACTGTGGGGTCATGCATAACATCGCTACGTAGTATCAAAGCTATACTGGGTTGTTTTGAGTAGGAATTTCGTTGTTAAAGGGGCACCCATCTCTGGCTTCTTCTCGGGTGTCTAACAATGACAGCTAGGGCTCACTAGCTGCTGTGAGTCGATTTGCTCACTAACGCAACTGAGCGTGACAAGAGACTGGGCTACCGTCTGTAAGCACAGCTAAATAAACTTTAAGGAAATATCTGTTTTATGCATTTTTAAACACTGATTGGTATCCCGTGAGCTATAAAGATTTTGACAAAAGGCGCAAATTTATTAATTTCTTCAGCCTAAACAGACAAAAAGAACGGTGGAAGCTCATCGGATATTGTTATTTGGAATTCCCCCGATGGTTAGAGTTTAATTTTAAAAGTATCCCTGCAGTGAAAGCATTTTCGGATTTGGGATTGCGTGGATAATACGATTGCTACTCCCTTGTTGTCATCCATGTTTTCTGGTATAATCCTACACCCCTGTCTTTGTCGTCATTCACTTGATACTCAGTTAATGAATTTATTACAGGTATAATTAGTGGTAGCACCACTCAGATTACCTAACGGGTTCTCATTTGCATTTCTTGTGTCTGGGGTAATTATTTAATCTAATTGCATGTTTGAAGTGGGGTGAAATGTATGTTACGTCATCTGCACGTGGCAGCCCAGCAAGAGGAGTGATCAGTCAATTTACTTTTTTCTAAATCAACTGATCATTCCTTGCCATCAAAGGATCAACAGAAAATAAGTTGATTGGTTAATCACTGTTATCTTACAGTTGGATTTGTCAAAAGTAAGTGTTTACATGTGTAGGTTTACTACAGCAGACGGAATATACTCACATCATGGCGCGAAGTGCCAATGTAAGAACAACATACTTTGTTCAAAGGATAAACCGATAATACGTTGAGTGATAGCTCATTGTCACGTGGGCTTTCTCAGCTGACCGTTGAGACTTTACACCTAAACAACTATAAACTTAGTGATCAGTTGAGAAACGAACACGGGTCATATTATCCAGAAACGCTATATATATTCTAAAATATTTGATTGTTACAAAGACACCTGACAAGTTTCTGTGTACAGCTGCAGATGTATGGGATATTGTTCCTTTATGTGGATAATCACAGATACATTCCTTGAACATGATAACTGCCTGATATTATACATATTACTTTGGTAGGTTGTAATTATGATATTTGCATTTTGTTTTCATTCATTTGCTGTAGCATTGAACAGATTTATTCTTGTTCCTCTACTTTTTATCCCCCCGGCATATAATGCGGGGGGATATGGCGATCAGCCAGTCTGTCTGTCCGTCCGTCCGTAATCATTTCCTTTTCCGGGGCAGAATTCGAAAACCATTCAGTGTATTTGATCGAAACTTGGCAAATCTATCAGGCACATACTGAAGTGGTGCCTTTTGATATTTGGGAATTTTTCTAATTTTTATTTTTTAAATTTTTTATGGAATGAAGTTGGACATAGACTCAATTGGGGATGGGGTTCGTTTCCGGGGACGAATTCGAAATCCATTCAGTGTATTTGATTGAAACTTGGCAAAGCTATCAGGCACATACTGAAGTGGTGCCTTTTGATAAAAATTTTTTTTACGAATTTTTATTTTTTACAATTTTTATTGAAAGAAATTGGACCTAGACTCCATGGGGAATTCTCCATAGAGAATTGCACATTTACTAGTGGTTACTTTACAGACAGCTGCCGGGGGGATATGTCATCTTTCTGATGACTCTTGTTTGTTGGGAAGTTCTTCAATGCGGGATAGACGTTGTTTTCACAAGCCTTTTCGTTTGTAGGCGTGCATATTTTATAGTCAATGTATAAAATGTAATTCACTCAGCAATCTATAAAATATCTGAATATTTCAGTAATTTACAAATTGACTGAAACATCTGTCCATTTATTTAACAGACTGACTAACAATTATTACGAGGTTCAAAAGGGTTTAAAACATCACAATAGACTAATTATGCTAGGATTAGAAGCCAAAACTATAGAAATGTACTGACTTGTGTTTTCTTTTAATCCTATCACTAGGTGATGAAATTAAAACATAAAAAATGTTTGGAATTCATTATCATAACATCATAAATGAACAGATTTTTCAGTCAATTTGTAAAATAACTGAATATTTAGGCGTTTAATAAATTGCCTAAGAGAAAGTTTTACAGATTTTGACTATATAATATACACACAATAAAATGAGCAATGCTCAGGTGAAATATTTACTTTGTGTTGCAAGTCAAAACAGTGTACGAAAATCGCACAATACCAAGCAAATGACTTCAAAACTTCATCACCATTACCGATGCTACCCACAAAGATACCTACATTTCCTTATTATTTTCATGACTAAATTGTATTTCATTTTGTTGATCAATATGACCATATGCCCTTATACTATAAATGAAAGCGGCAAATGCGCTTACGAATGGCACAGTACAGGTCGTGAACTTGTCTAGATTTCTGCTCTATCATCCGGGTACTCACAGGGAACAAAGGCATCAACCAGTCCCGGGAAATTTCTGTAGATCAGTGCCCCTTTAATATTAACAAAAATGTTTTTAGCAAAGAATATTACTTTATTAGTGAACTGTATTGATAGATATGCACTTTTTATGATCTTTTTGACGCTTTGAAGAAATTGTTTGAACAGATGTGTATTTTGCAAATGTAACTATTTTATTGTGCATGATTTTTACAAATTCATGTCAAAAACTTTAATAATTTATATTTAAAATTATTTCCTTTATTTGCATGTCAATTCAATTACAAAACTTAGCACAAATAATTATTGAAATAATTATTTTTACCTTTTGTTATTATCAATACATGTTTATAGCAATATGTAATTGTACGACATTAATCTTTTAAAGCTCAAAGAATTATCTGTAAATACTGTAAATATATTAAGGCCACCTTGTTTAATCCTCTTGTACTTTGTTAAAACATGGAGTAAGATATCTTCTGATCTATTGTATCTATTGCGCCATGCTTAATAGCATTACAAACTAATTATTGTTAATGATTTATTATTAATTGCTTGTGCCATGTTGATTTTATCTTGAATAAATGTTTGAAGATTTCACCACGTCTTCTTCCTAAATTGCAGGTGGCTACATTCATGCACTTATAACTACACACTTGCTGGAGGACAGTTTGTACACCATGTACACGCAGTACTTAATGTAACATACAAACACTTCTGTATGCAATAGTCAAATTTGAAATACAAATCTACAAGCATACTGTTACATTCAACATGCACACTGTCAAACATAACATTGATAGTAATACAACCAAGTACTTCACAATCACCTTGCCAACAATGAGTATTGTTTCAGGTTTTAACAACAGTAGACTCAGACCACAGATCAAGGAGCTACCCACCTAAAATAAACTGAATACATTCTTCCCAGTTTCTACCAACTATTGAAATAAGAATGAGCTGCTTCTCTTAATTCTATACATTTTGGTACCATGGCTGTTTTAGAATTGCAAGGCATAGCTGTTCCCCAAAGCAACAATGATAATGATGATGATGATACTGAATGCTGTAAGTTAAAATAGCAGTTTCGGTGCCACACAGTACTGACAGAATTAAGTGATTGATCCATTAGCATTAATCCTTATTTCCAACGGCATACATTTGGCACGGGTGGATCCAGGGAGCAGATATTTGGGTGCTGATCCAGATGGGGGATGTTGGGGTGCAGATCCAGAAGGGGATGTTGGGGTGCAGATCCAGATGGGGATGTTGGGTTGCAGATCCAGATGGGGATGTTGGGATGCAGATCTCGATGGGGATATTGGGATGCAGAACCAGATGGGGATATTGGGATGCAGAACCAGATGGGGATATTGGGGTGCAGAACCAGATGGGGATGTTGGGGTGCAGAACCAGATGGGGATGTTGGGGTGCAGATCCAGAGGGGGATGTTGGGGTGCAGATCCAGAGGGGATGTTGGGGTGCAGATCCAGAGGGGGGATGTTGGGGTGCAGATCCAGATGGGGATATTGGGGTGCAAAACCAGATGGGGATGTTGGGGTGCAGATCCAGAAGGGGATGTTGGGGTGCAGAACCAGAAGGGGATGTTGGGGTGCAGAACCAGATGGGGATATTGGGGTGCAAAACCAGATGGGGATGTTGGGGTGCAGATTCAGAAGGGGATGTTGTGGTGCAGATCCAGATGGGGATATTGGGGTGCAGATCCAGATGGGGGATGTTGGGGTGCAGATCCAGATGGGGATATTGGGATGCAGATCCAGATGGGGGATGTTGGGGTGCAGATCCAGATGGGGGATGTTGGGGTGCAGATCCAGATAAGGGTATTGGGGTGCAGATCCAGATGGGGGACGTTGGGGTGCAGATCCAGAGGGGTATGTTGGGGTGCAGATCCAGATGGGGGTGTTTGGGGTGCAGAACCAGATGGGTGTTTGGTGTTGGGGTGCAGATCCAGAGGGGGGATTTTTTGGTGCAGATCCAGATGGGTGTTGGGTGTTGGGGCACGGATCCATATGGGGATGTTTTGGTGCAGATATAGGGGGGATGTTAGGTGGGATGCAGATCCACAAGGGGGATGTTGGGGAGCAGGTCCAGTGGGAGATATGGAACCAGAGGGGACATGTGGGGTGCATATCCCCCCTTTTCTGAACAGTCAAAGTTTATGTATTAAGAAAAGATAGATACAGAGTGCCTCGCTCCCACACATGTAAAGCTATCGAGTGTTTTTGCTCGCAAATGACTTGGTTAGAGTGTGCATCCCATCTTTTGTCAAAATTCTGGATTCAATTGTTTTGGAGAGTCAGCACGGACCAAATATGTCTGTAGTGCCCATTTCACGTTTCCTAGTGAATCAGATAGGATGTACAAGAACATCAAGATGATTGTCCCCTTGTATTCTGCAGCAGCAGGACAGCATATTACCTTACTTTCTGTCACTGGTACATATCATTGTCTAACTTTTTTAGTTCTCAGACTGGTACATATCATTGTCTAACATTTATAGTTCTCAGACTGGTACATATCATTGTCTAACATTTATAGTTCTCAGACTGGTACATATCATTGTCTAACATTTATAGTTCTCAGACTGGTACATATCATTGTCTAACATTTACATGATGAAAGTGAGAAATATCCAGTACTTGAGCGGATCTCTCAGAATTCAACCAGTCATTGTCTTTCAATGCACTGCAGCTGTGTGTCACCGGTCCTGCCTCTGATTACGGAGACGTGCACATATACCAGTGGTGGTGTTCATGTTGATGTTGTCATCACGCACAATATCGATCTCAACCTGTGGGTCTTGGTCCAGTGTGCTGAACAGGTTCTCCTCACTCCCCCCGAGCCCTTGGGTCCCCCCCAACTTGGCGTTCTTGCAGCTCTTCAGGTGCCGGGTCAGGTGGTACTTGGAGTAAAAGGACTTGCCGCACTCAGTGCAGGTGAAGTTGCGCTCCTTGTTGTGCACCAGCATGTGTTTCTTGTAGTTGGCTAGCCTGTAGAAGACCTTCACACACAGGGCACAGGGATAGCACTTCTCCTTAGTGTGCTTCAGCTCATGAGACTTCAGGTCGGAGGGGCGAGCTATCTTTGCTGAGCAGAATCGACACTGCAGTCCCTCTCCACCTGTGTGGATAATCATATGAGACTGTAGATGGGCCTTCTGACGAAATGACTTGCTGCAGATGTCGCAAGTAAACTTCCGTTCACCTAAAACAAATATGACATTTTATTCATTTTTTAAATGTTTTTTATGTTTTACTTGAAAGGAAAAAAGAATCCCAAAGTTCTATCTGTCATTTTAAAACAGGGAAACATGAAATGGTCAAGAAAAGAGGTATGACCAGGGTCATGTTACTGCAAAATCTGATGTCCTTGCTGTTATGAATCAGAGTAAATGTTACCAGCAACATGTCTTGTTATCAAACTTGATACAAATAAACAACTCTCCCTGAAACCAGTTGATCCTTTATATACTACATACTGTCGGCTGACATTACCTCATCCATCCTCAACATTGGGCAGTCCGTATTGTGTATATATATACATCATGTGTACAATGACCAGTGACATCTTGCAGGCATAACTCCTATGTATTCTATGTATGGCTTAGTTACCTATAGATTTAACTGTCCTAAAGTAAACTTAGAACTAAACGTGCAGGGCAGACTTCTCATAGAGGTATTTATTGTCACTGTTAGAATGAGCTGCAGTACCAGAATCCCATATGCCCTACTTTGTCGCAGCTGGATTTCCAACTGCCAGTTAATCTGTACAAATTCACTGGCTTGAATTTCTCTTTTTGGTTCACAAACATCCCAGAACTATGTGAAAAGCTGTCAATCCCTCATTTAATTATTGGTAACGTTTGGTAAAAATTCAAGCAAAAATTCCAAACTTTTACTTGTATCCACAAGTATTTTCTAAACTGACTCCATCCCTCCCTACCTGTATGTATGTTCTGGTGCTGGCGGAGGTTGCTCTGGTCGGAGAACTTCTTGCCACAGTGTGGGCAGGAGAAGGGCTTCAGCCTCATGTGCAGGGCCACCATGTGGGTCTTCAGCTTGGTGGTGGAGGTGAAGCGTCTGTTACACATCTGACACGGCCAGCGCCGCGAGCTGGAGTTGGGGTGGTCCGTCTTCATGTGTCTACTGAGGCTCTTCCAGTCACTGAACACTTTACTGCACACATGGCAGTAGGGACAGTTGGAGGGCCAGAGCTGGCTGGGTTTAGCTGGCAGACCTGTATATGATGCAGTAAACTGGGGTGAGCATGGGGGATAGCTCCTGCTTCAATAATATTATATATTAACAGCTAAAATAGTATTGTAAAACTATTGTAATAGTACTGTGAGGCTATGGTGAGTTTGTTTTTCTTCCCATAATGTGTACTTCCTCTGTGCAGTATTGTGTCCCTACGTTCTTAATACGAGGGTGGAGTCATATGTTCTGAGCCCCACATATGTAGCGGCCATAAAATTCCCGTGATGGGATTCGAACTACGGACCTTCTGATCAGATGTCGAACACCTTGTCCACATGACCAAAGAGGTTAACTCCATCAGCAAGCAGACAAGGTAAGGATGTCATCCGTTGGATGACTCCACGCCCTGCTCCATATGGAAGGAAGTAGGTAATCGGGAAATATTTTGTGGTGGACATTACAATCAATCTTTATTCATAAAGCAGTGGATGCCATAGGCCCATGCTGCAGTTACATCATTGCTTGAGAGAGTAACAGCATATACATTGGTACATTCATATACATTGTTCACCCAAATGTCTTAGTTGCACTGATTTATTTACAAAAGTTGCAAGATTTGTAACAGTTTCTGTTTGTTTTTTTAAGTCATTAGTAACTTAAATTTAAGTAATGTTGGATATAAGTAGAATTCTGGGGGTATATACACGCTCCTGAGATTGTCATAAGCATAACACACAAGTACACAAGTATTTGTCGCATTGTGACAATGCCCCCAACCGCTACAAAATAATAACATACATAAGTTCCCTAAATTTAAGTAAAGTAGTCACACAATATTTCTCCATGATATCCACATAAATTTGAGCTACAACACTTTTAATTGCTTTTATCGAAAACCGGAAGTTGTGATTTCATGTGTTGGACAATATAGAATATCTTCAGAAGGATTTCAATTCAAAACCTACAGAATCAACAAGCAGTCCAGGCATGAAACAATATCCCTCCCTGAAATTTAAAAGTATTTTAGTTTATTGGTGGAACATTTTCACTGCAAGTAAAGTAAGTAAAGTTATGCCTCATGAGTTTACATAGCTGCTACATCTGCTACATCTTCCCCCTACACAGAAAGTTCCTAAGTGTGCCTGGAGGTTGGTTTACGACAACAACCAATACAGATGTCTCTGATGTGTAACCATAACTGCCATTATGTTGGATGTTGGACAATGAAGCTGTGTGTAACTCAGATCGCTCTAACCCAGTATTGCATCCGTGATCAGATACCTTGCGCAGGAATGAATGAGAAGGGAGACAATCATATCAGTGTATTTCCTCATCTTGGAGATGGGTTTTTGTGAGGTATAGCACTGACATTGTATTGGTGAATTCTTCTGTCAGGAGGTGATTGTAATGTGTATAGAGATTAGACATAAGACATTGAGATGTCCAACCAGAAGTGAATCTTGTGGGATGCTCAGCAGGGAAGACTTTCAAGAGAACAAACCATCCTCTTTCAGTCACTCCATTTCCTTAAGAGCATCCTTACTGACTTTATATTCTGAGGATCAAAGCCAACTAGATACAGCCTTTGTCTTGAGGTAACCCTACTAAGCATTGTGCACACACAAGTCCTTGCATAATAATATTGGTGTGTGTTTTTCTGTTGTCAAATCACCAACCATAGAACTGTATGTGCTGCCTTGTGACTTGTGAACAGGAACAGTCCATGGAAGAACACCAGGATACTGTTTTCTTTCCACTGCAACAAACTTTCTTTTGGCAATGAAACATTTGACTATAACAGCCTGTATAGGAGTTGCTTCCTTCAGGTGTGGAGGATTTCCTCTTCTAGCTTGCAATTCTTCATTTACATTGTCTGAATGAAATATACCCCCTGGTTCTTGAGATATTGCGCAAAAAAGATCGCATTTCTTGCCCTATAAAAATCCACCCAGATCGGATAACATTCATTCGTTATTAAATTGCTACCACATGCCAAGACAGACAAGAAATCAGTGACACCAAGCCCGATGCATTTCAAGTCCACCTAAGGACCATATACAGGCTCCAGCAATGGTATCAGACCACCAACACTACAGATGAAGTGGAAGACCAAGGGTACCACCCGACGTCAGGATCATCAGATTGTGCGACAGCATCTTCAAGATCGTTTTGTTACTGCTGCGGAAACTGCTCGACAGACCATGGGGACACACCAGCGACACATTAGTGCGGACACTGTGCGTTGACGATTGACGAGCAGACACCTTCACTGTCACAGGCCACGGGACCGTCTTCGGTTGGCAACACAGCACCAGCATTGGCGCCACCAGCAGTGGAGAAAAATCCTCTTCTCACACGAGAGCCGTTACTGTATCTCAACAGCAGATGGCAGAGAGAGGGTCTGGCGACACCGTGGGGGACGTTATTCACATGCTTGTGTTGTTGAGAGAGACTCGTGGGGTGGTCCAAGCATCATGGTGTGAGGTGGAATTGGTCTTGCACAGAGGGTCGGCCCTGTGGTCTTCCAGAACATGGCTCCAGGGAGAGGCAATGGTGTCACAGCAGCCTGGTACATTTAGGTCTTGAGACCACACGCCATACCTCATTTGGCATGCCGAAACCACGAGTTTCAGCATGATAACTCCCGTGCCCACACTGGGAGAGCAACAAGAGTTGTGCTCCAGCAGAATGGCATCAGAACTATGCAGTGGCCTAGCTGCCCTCAGTCCCGATTTAAATCCCATTGAGCACCTGTAGGACGAGATTCAAAGACGGCTGAATGACATCCGACCAAGGCCGACAACTGTAAGTGAAGTGCGTCAGGCGTTCCTCAGAGTGTGGGCTCAAGTGCCTATGGCCTTCATCAACTGCCTCATCTATTCTATGTATCGAGGTTGCACAGCAGTCGTCAATGCACATGGCAGAAACATTTTCTCAGAGACTGGGGTTGTGTTTCACTTTAAGAACGTTTGACACTTTAATTTCAACCTCGTTGATCAGTTTCATCTTTTTAATAAAAAAAGTACTGCATGCCAAAATTGCTCGTAGGATGATTTCGTTCAATATACAAACTCAGATTTCAAACTAGATATGTTATATACATGTCCTTGTTTCCACAGACATATCAAAACCAAATACTCACAGATTGGAACAGTTTCTAGATGAGTGTCATATAAATACCATTTTTCAGGTTTGGATAGTATACCACCATTTTTAAAAACAATTTTCGATTTTTCTAAATTTACAGATAACTGGTGACTTTCACTGAAACATCCCAAAAACATTAACACGTTTTTGTAAATCATATGCAGAATCTGCGTGAAGCGCAAATAATAATAGAAATAGTTGCATAATATCTGGATGCATTTGTATCCCATGTTCACAGTTTGATTCGATTTGTATAGCTGACTCATTAATAAACATGGAAAATAAAAGTGGACTTAACACACATCCTTGTCTTACCCCCAATGGACAATCAAAATCTTGTGACAGATTATTGTATTCCCCCTTTACATACTTACAGATGGATGTGACAGCATTTAGCATTTTCGGCGAAACACCTCTATGTTTCAGTACAAACCACAGTTTTGATCTATCAAGTCAGATCAAAAGCCTTTCTGAAATCAACAAATATGGCATAAAGCTTACCTTTCTTTCTTGATAAATGACACTGAATAATGGCTTGGAGGATGAACATGTTCATTACATTACAAGATCTCTAGAGGTATATTCACAAAAACTTGCTGTGATCAAGTGATCTTGCAAAAAGTGGGCTTTGACACCAAAAGCCATCCATGAAGTACAAAACTTGGGAAGGACTCTCCTTCCTATGGCAAAGTGATGAGGTGGGTAGCAGAGTGGCAGAGAGAGCCTTGAAGACAACCCGTCCTGGGTGGCCTCTCACATCAGTAACACCAGAAATGATCTCGAGAATTTATGACATGGTGATACCAGGACATGACTGAGCATTATGTTGCTATTTCATAGGGCATTTCCCAAGAGAGAGTAAATTCCATTTTCAACTTTGTCAATGAAGAAAGCACCAGCTCATTGGGTCCAAAGCTTCTGTTTGTTTGTTTGTTGTTGTTTAACGCCGCACTCAGCAATATGCCAGCTAATTGATGGCGGTCTGTAAATAATCGAGTCTGGACCAGAGAATCCAGTGATTGTTATCATGAGTATTGATCTCTGCAATTGGGATTGATGACATGCATCAACCAAGTCAGCGAGCCTGACCACCCGTTCCTGTTAGTCACCTCTTACGACAAGCATAGTCGCCTTTTAAGGCAAGCATGGGTTGCTTTAGACCTATTCTACCCTGGATCTTCGTGAGTTCCAAAGCTTCTGATATCTGATCAAACAGGCAACACATGTTTGGAGCTGATCCAGAAAGGTTCTTGCAAAGATTTGTGACTATGGAAGAAATGTGGGTTGACCACTTCCAGCTTTAGTCCAAACAACAATCAAAACAATGGAAGCACTTGACATCACCATCACCATCACCAAGAAGGCAACTGGAAAGGTTATGGCCTCTGTGTTTTTGGATGCTGAAGGTGGACTATGTTCCAAAAGACCAGAGAATAAATGGAGCATATTATGCTGCACTTTTTAGGCAATTAAATAATGAAATTAAGACAAAATTAGGCTGAGAAAAGGTGTGCCCTTCCACCAGGACAATGCAACAGTGCACAAACCAGTCTTTGCCATGGCCACAATCCATGAGTGTGGCTTTGAACTCATTTAAGCACCATCTTGTTTTCCTCATATGGCTATGTCAGACTTCAATCTGTTCCTAGACACGAAGAAATTTTCAGCCGGAACCATTTTGACTTGAACTATGATGTCATAGCAGCTGTGGCGAACTTAATGGACAGCCAAAAGGAGCACTTCTATGAAACCGGGAAATATTCCCTTCAAAATCGTTGGCAAAAGTGTCAAATGAAAGGAGATTATGTTGAAAAATAAATCATTTTCATGTCCTTAGGTCAAGTGTTTCTATGTGAGGCTAAGAACATATCAATCAAACCTGGTACTCAATTATTATTTTCATGACATTAAGCTTCACTATGCTCAAGCAGGATCACTAACCTAAGAGTTTTGCGTAGTCTTTAGCAAACCAGAAAAGCAGCTCAGACCCAGCCTCCATATCCTTGTTAGTTATGAAGAACAGCTCCGCGCCACGCTGGTAGACCACCACATTCTGATCCTGCAGTGTGGGTGCCGGCTTTACGTACATCAGCCAGTTACACTCAGCTTCATCGCTTACATCAACCACACTGTGATGGTCACAGTAGAATATCTGAAATAGACAACGCCTTATACATCAGCCAGTGACACGCTCATCACTTTCTTCAATCACACTGTGTCTCCCACCAATATATTGCATAAACATTTGTAAGACATGAATCTTTCTCAGCCATGCATTTTTAAGCCATGTGACTGTCTCTAAGCCATGTGTCTATAAGCTCTGCGTCTATAAGCCATACAACTCTCTCTCTAAGCCATGCGTCTATAAGCCATGCAACTGTCCTTAAGCCATGAATCTGTAAGCCATGCATTTATAAGCCATGTGACTGTCAGTATGTCTTGAGTCTGTAAGCCATGCAACTGTCTTTAAGCCATGAATCTGTAAGCCATGCATTTATAAGCCATGCGGCTGTCAGTATGTCTTGAGTCTGTAAGCCATGCGGTTATAAGCCATGCAACTGTATTTAAGCCATGAATATGTATGGCCATGCGTTTATAAGCCATGCAAATGTCAGTATGTCTTGAGTCTGTAAGCCATGCAACTGTCTTTAAGCCATGAATCTGTAAGCCATGTGGTTATAAGCCATGCAACTGTCAGTATGTCATGAGTCTGTAATTTGTGCATATATAAGCCATGTGACGATCTTTAAGCCTTGTGTCTGTCAACCGTGTCTACAAGCAGTGAGACCATAAGGTAAGTGTTTGTAGCATGTGTGTCTGCAGCTGATGTATCTGTAAGCCGAACACATGCACCTGTAATCCACTCACCTTCCAGGTGAAGCTGCTGGTGTAGGTGTAGGTGTCTTCAGAAACTATCTTCCCTACAAGGGGACCAAACTCTGTCTTCTTCAATATCTTCTCATTGGTGAAAACACCTGCAATATTAAGAAAAAGTGAGGCCTAAAAAGAAATAACCTTGTGGTTCCGATTACCTCACCTACCAACCCTAAACAATGCTTCCAACCTAATGTTCTTTCACTATTAATTAACTTGATTGACATTTGTTCCGCTGTTTTCTCTTTCGCCAGTTTCCCAATAACAATGAAGCTTGCATAACTGCATGTATTGTCTGTGTCAATGAACATTCGATAGCTCCATGCAGTGATGCGAGTATTCGGTTACACAAAATGACTATACAGTGGGCAGTGCATTGAGTTTACAAACTTCTCACATGTGTACTCTGTCCTGCATTACTTGACATCATGCTGATTTACTTTCCACCCAAACGTGAGAGTGTAAATGATGAAATGGTGACCTGGAACATAGCATTCAGTTCAACTATCTTTGTTGTCCTTTAAATTGTAATTTTGTAAATTAAAAAACATACCTATGAACCTACCCTAATTCTAAACTTGCTGTAATCGGAACCACAATTTGTGTGTGTCTTTATTAATGAGGGTTTTTTCAGGAATACAAGACAGCTGGCTATTGAAATGAATGTGTATGGATTTAAGCTGCTTTTAGAAATATCCTAGCCATATGATTGTGTGGGTTACAATGAACAGGAATCACTACTGAGAATACTAGCTCTATTACATATCTGCCATAAATCCTGTATTTTGGCTTCAATCTCACTAACAAAAATATTCAGATTTTCAACAGATGTCCTCTTCACTGTGAATTACACAGAACTAGTTATCGCCAAGTAGTCTTGTAACTACCCAAGCCATGATGTCATAATGGCGGCAACCTCACTTTTTTCCCTCATCTACTACAAGAGGTAGATGAATTGGAGAGGTGGGAGGGAGTAGTTCGCATGTAATAGAGGTAGTATTCTTGGAATTATTAACAATAACTATTGTTCGTGATTCTTACGAAAATTCCACCTCTATTACATCTCTGCCAGAATAAACGGGAGGGACCCAGTGGGATCTGCCTCTAGTAACTCGCTGTGTAATTGACAGCAATCCTCTTCTGGAAACCATTATCTACTGATTCTCATCCTACTGAGATAATTTCCTCTGAACTTGGACTTGAAAATCAGAAACTATGTCAATAATCAGTGAAATATATGATATTATCACTAGATTTATTGTTATATTTGCTGATTTTGACCATAATAAACCTGGATTAGTGACCTATAATACCGACAATCACATCACTTCCGGTACATCACTTCTGGTTCTGACATCACTTCCAAATATGACGTCACTTCCAGTATGTCACTTCCCTATTTGGTAATGACGTCTCTCTAGGTCTATTTCCTGGTTAGAAGGACTTTGTTCAGCTGTTTCCGGTGAAGACGTCACTTCCGGTCAATGGTGATAGATGACATTCCCTCTAGGTCCGACTGCACGTCACATAAGTAAAAGCTGGTGAAGGTGTTTTGTGAGGCAGGAGGTGATATCCTTGTTCAAGGTGGTCTTACAGGATTGAAAGAGTATCCTTCTGTGGTGTCTTTGTGGGTCTGTAGTCGAGAGATAAAACTTAAGAGCTATGATGGGACATAAGAGTCTGTCTGGTTGATCCACTGTTGGTCCAAATGCCGGGATTGTATACTGTCTATGACCCAACGGTCCCATTGTGGTAGATTGGTTCTTGGCTATGAATTCTGGAATCGATTTTATATTAATAGAAGTCTAATGTTGATCATGGTGGGTAAGACTAGAATAGTCTAAGGCATGGTACTCCGAAACTCTTGCTGCTGTACCATGGCTAGCAGAAACGATGTTTTCCTGGCTTTTTTAAGTAGGATAGCCTTCGCCATGGGTTCGTAAGGTTCCGTTAACAGTGCCTATAATAGCACAGAGAGATTCCAATTGGGGAAGATACATGGGGTCCTAATATCTTCTAGTAGAAAGGATTTCATTAATCTGTTGAGGATGGGATGGTTTCCGATAGATACAGAATGAAGGGCTGATCTGTAACCTTCCATCGTCCCGTGTCTGAACTTATTGTCTTGAAGTAGATGAAGAAGGAAGTCCGCTATCATAGGGATTGATACAGCATTATCAATAATCCCAAGTCGTCTTCTCCACTGGACAAACTTGTCCCACCTGTTGTCACATATAAGGGAGAATGAAGGTCCACAGCATCCAAGGCAAGCTCAGAGTAACCGGATGTTTGCATCTTCTGTGCGATGACTTCCAAGCAGTTAGATGGGCAGATTTTTGTGGAATATCCTGGCCCTGGGCTATCGTAGCAGATCCAGGGGCTATCTGAAACTGGGGCTATCAGTTTTATTACGCAATCTGTCTCCTCCACCTTGTGGATGACCTTGTCTAGGGCTGATCATGGTGGGAATGTGTAGCCAAATAGATTTGTTCAATCCATCGAAAGAGCGTCAATCTGGTGAGCTCTTTGGTCGGGAACTGGACTGACATAAACTAGAAGTTGGTTCTGGCAGGTGGGGAATGGATCTATGTGAGGTATGTCCCAAATCTTGGTTTATCCTTGATGATCTGTGGATGTGATGTCCATTCTGTTGCCACTATTCTCCCCCGATGTGAGAGGCTGTCGGCCAGTATGTTCAGCTTCCCGGGAATATGTCCCGCTTCTATCCGTCAGTTGAAGGAGTCTGCCAAGGCAAAACATCGTGTAGTCTCCATCATCAGAGAGTTGGATCTGGTTCCTCCCTGCTTCTGAATATAGGCCACTACTGTGGTGTTGTCCGTGGCTATGACAACTGATGATAGATGAAGATGTATCCTCCATTCCAGGATGGCATAATAGATGGCCTTCATTTCCCTGCAGTTGATATGAAGGATCTTCTCCTCTGTGCTCCACAATCCCTGTACTGTGAGATTGTCCATATGAGCTCCCCATCCCGAAACTTGATGCGTCTGTGAATAGATGATGGTGTCGGATAAGTCAGCGGGATGCCACTCAACACATGTTCTCTGTGATTCCACCAATGGAGGTCTTGTAGCAAAGTTGGAGGTAAGTGAGACTGGAATTCTAAGCCCTTCGATCTACCCTCAGCCTTCCTCCAAAGGTCATATCCTGTAGAGATGTCAGGTTGCCTAGCAGAGACATCCACCACCTCAGCGACTTCTTGGGTTGACTTGAGATTGATTGGATCATCTTTACAGTCTTTGTCGAATCGATCCTCTGGTGGACATAGATATCCTCTGGCTAGCTGGAATCTTGCCCTGATGTATATAATGTCTTGGACCGGAGTGATCTCTGACTTGGCTGGGTTGACTAGGAAACATAGGTAAGTCATAAGGTGGACCAAGAATGTTCTGATGTAGCTGATTTTTCCCTTGGTCTGCCGTTAAGAAGATAACCATGGATTAGAACTAGCTGGAGATGGGCGAACTCGATGACTGGCACTGTAATTCTGGTGAATAGCCAAGGTGCTATTGCTATCCCGAATGGTAGGATTTGGAATTTGTAGCGTCGGCCATTGATTTTGAAGCGTAGATATTTCCGAAATGATGGGACGTGAAGATATGTATCTGTAAGATCTAGGCTGATAAGCCTTCTTCAACGTTGACAGCAACTTCCGTATGGACTCCATCTGGAGTTTTGGAGGCGACACCAGACATCTCTTGTTGAGGGTCTTTAGATCTATTATCATCCTCATCTCGATTGTGTTCTTCTTCGGGACTAAAAAGACTGGTGAGTAAAAACCTTTGGAGTTATTTGACTTCTTTAGTTCCCGAATGGCTCACTCCTTTAGTAGTTTCCTGACGGCCAATTCTGCAGCTGCTAACTTGGCACCGGTCAGGTGAAACCTTCAACCCATGGTGTGTATGTTCAGGCTCCGATGTTTCCTGAAGTGTAGCTTGTAACCGTGAGCCACGACGTCTAGAATGACCTGGCCGTGGCTTGTCGGCTGGCCGTGCAGCTCAGCTTGTAGCTCTTGTGTAGCATGGCCTGGTGACCTACTACCAGGTGCTAGATTGTCACTACTACTATTGTAGGTGTTGACTCTAGCACACACAGGAAAAAGTGAGGTTGCCGCCATTATGACATCATGGCTTGGGTAGTTATGAGACTACTTGGCGACAACTAGTTGTGTGTAATTGACAGTGAAGAGGACGTCTGTTGAAAATCTGAAAATTTTAGTTAGTGTAATTGAAGCCAAAATACAGGATTTATGGCAGATAGAGGTATAAGATTCGTAAGAATTAGTTTTTTTTCAGATGATATTTTTGTGTATAAAGCTTGTATCATCACATCACTCCATAGCACAAGCCTTCAAACTATGACCTGCCATATCCTGTGTCTTGAAAATATTGTACAACAAGCATGAAATACTCACAAGTCGTTGCCATGGAAACTCGAAATTTATTTTTTTAAAATCCCAAACTATCAAAAGGCACCAGTTCACCACTAGATCTATCTATGTGCCAAGTTTGATGAAGAAATATAGTACGGTTTACAAGATCTGCTCCGGAAACGAGGACTACCACCATTTTCAGTCTAAATCAAAGTCGTTACCATGGAAACTCGAAAAATAACTTTTTTAAAAATCCCAAACTATCAAAAGGCACCAGTTCACCACTAGACCTATCTATGTGCCAAGTATGGTGAAGAAATATAGTATGGTTTTCAAGATCTGCTCCGGAAACGAGGACTACCGCCATTTTCAATCTAAATCAAAGTCGGTGCCATGGAAACTCGAAAAAGTTTGTTTTTTTAAATCCCAAACTATCAAAAGGCACCAGTTCACCACTAGATCTATCTATGTGCCAAGTATGGTGAAGAAATATAGTACGGTTTTCAAAATCTGCTCCGGAAACGAGGACTACCGCCATTTTCAGTCTAAATCAAAGTCATTGCCATGGAAACTCGAAAAAATGTCTTTTTAAAAATCCCAAACTATCAAAAGGCACCACTTCACCACTAGATCTATCTATGTGCCAAGTTTGGTGAAGAAATATGGTATGGTTTTCAAGATCTGCTCCGGAAACGAAATGTGACGGACGGACGGAAGGACGGATGGACGGCACCCATTCCTATATCCCCCTTCCACTTCGTGGCGGGGGATAAAAATCAAGGCTTATCACTCAACACATGCAGCCAGCTTCTATGCATAGAATGATCTCTCATTACAAATATCCTTTACATCCTGTTGAGTAACCATGGAAGCCATACCCACCCAGGTTGTTGACATTGTCTGCAGTAATCTTAATGCGGGAAGTCTGCAGGATCAAGCATGTTGGCAGTGTCAGTTTGGCTCGAGGTAGCACTGGTCTGTCAGCTACGTAGGTGTAGTTCATCTTATGGTAGGTGCATCCGTTCTTGTAGCTGTTGTTACACTCCACACAGTCTTGAAAAACAACACAGGTCAAGTTCTTACACCCACAGACTGTAACAACACACTGTCTCAGGTCAAGTTCTTACACTACACAGGTCAAGTTCTTACACTGCACAGGTCAAGTTCTTACACTACACAGGTAAGATTCTTACACTACACAGGTCAAGTTCTTACACTACACAGGTCAAGTTCTTACACTACACAGGTCAAGTTCTTACACTGCACAGGTCAAGTTCTTACACTACACAGGTCAAGTTCTTACACTGCACAGGTCAAGTTCTTACACTGCACAGGTCAAGTTCTTACACTACACAGGTCAAGTTCTTACACTACACAGGTCAAGTTCTTACACTACACAGGTAAGGTTCTTACACTACACAGGTCAAGTTCTTACACTACACAGGTCAAGTTCTTACACTACACAGGTAAGGTTCTTACACTACACAGGTCAAGTTCTTACACTACACAGGTCAAGTTCTTACACTGCACAGGTCAAGTTCTTACACTACACAGGTAAGGTTCTTACACTACACAGGTCAAGTTCTTACACTACACAGGTCAAGTTCTTACACTACACAGGTCAAGTTCTTACACTACACAGGTCAAGTTCTTACACTGCACAGGTCAAGTTCTTACACTACCCAGGTCAAGTTCTTACACTGCACAGGTAAGGTTCTTACACTACACAGGTCAAGTTCTTACACTACACAGGTCAAGTTCTTACACTGCACAGGTCAAGTTCTTACACTGCACAGGTCAAGTTCTTACACTACACAGGTAAGGTTCTTACACTACACAGGTCAAGTTCTTACACTACACAGGTCAAGTTCTTACACTACACAGGTCAAGTTCTGACACTACACAGGTAAGGTTCTTACACTACACAGGTCAAGTTCTTACACTACACAGGTCAAGTTCTTACACTACACAGGTAAGGTTCTTACACTACACAGGTCAAGTTCTTACACTACACAGGTAAGGTTCTTACACTACACAGGTCAAGTTCTTACACTACACAGGTAAGGTTCTTACACTACACAGGTCAAGTTCTTACACTACACAGGTAAGGTTCTTACACTACACAGGTCAAGTTCTTACACTACACAGGTAAGGTTCTTACACTACACAGGTCAAGTTCTTACACTACACAGGTAAGGTTCTTACACTACACAGGTCAAGTTCTTAGTCATTCACACAACCATGAACTGTTGAAACTCAGCCGATACTCAGACACCACCACAGAGACCACCCACTCTGCATGAAATCTGAACAGGTTCCTGAGTTATGGGGCAGCCCCTACAAGGTAGACCACTACAGATGTACAATTGTAGTGTATTTCAGTGACTTCTACTCACACAGTCCCGATAGTTTAGGTGTGTTGTCCAGAGCTGGTGGAGGTTCCGTTGTCTCCTTGGGAGGGAGGGTGGCTCGATCCATGTCTGGGACATCTGTTGGCTGCTTCAGCAACATGTCTATCACTGTTGGCAACAACATCAACAACAAGCATCATTGGGATAGTTCTAGATTATCTTGTCTGGAAAGAAGCTGTAGACCTGTGTACATAATGTCATTCCTGTAGCATGCCTATGTCAGTTGTACTGATTGTATTTGTTAGACCTGGGCAATACAAAGAATCCGTGTCATTGAGTTGTTCCTGTAGCATGCCTATGTCAGTTGTACTGATTGTATTTGTGAGACCTGGGAAATACGAAGAATCCGTGTCATTGAGTTGTTCCTGTAGCATGCCTATGTCAGTTGTACTGATTGTATTTGTGAGACCTGGGAAATATGAAGAATCCGTGTCATTGAGTTGTTCCTGTAGCATGCCTATGTCAGTTGTACTGATTGTATTTGTGAGACCTGGGAAATACGAAGAATCTGTGTCATTGAGTTGTTCCTGTAGCATGCCTGTACTAGGAAACACGAAGAATCTGTGTCATAAGACAAACAGACATCAAACAATGTAAAGAAATTAAGTATGTGAGTTATATTTAATGCCGCTTTGAATAGTCTTCCAGTTATATCAAGGGAAATCAACTTTATATGGGAGGAAAGGATGAGGTGATGCAGGTCTCAGATGTTTACCCACAAGCATGGGTATGGATGCTGACAAACTAAGAAACATAATCAGGGCAAACCAGGATTTGAACACACAGTCATAGGTTTCTGGCATGCCCAAGGGACGCAACTGTGCACAGCAAATTGCGGTGCCTTAGACAACTTGGCATTGAGAATTAAGCATGAAAGTGAACAGGTCCATGTCATAAGAGCTTAATTGTTAAAAGTAAAAACTAGAATCAAATACTATTGCAGCAAACCTCAAGGATACAGGACCCCACTAATTTTGAACTCTGTTATACTATTTACAACAAACTGGAAACGAAGTGTAATTTATTTGTTTGAAATGTTACATTTAAGACCTATGCTTTTTCACATTTAATATACATGCAAACATGTCTCTTGTTAATTATTAATGGTAGTCAGTATTTTATTTATCCTACAGAACAGTAATAGTTCAGTGCTGACACAATGAAATGTCATGGTGCTGTGTGGATGCTCACCGGACATGTTGGCCAGGGTGAAGGCCGGGGCTGCTGGCTCTTGCCCCTCCACCTTGTCTCGGCCCTGGGGGTCATGATTTAGAGGCACCACAGTGAGGGGACTGGTAAGGTACAGACGAGTCGTCAGGTTCTGACTGGCAGGGTCGGAGGGAGACAACACACCAGATGTCTGGAAGTGATTGGACAGATGCATCATGGGAGAGAGACTGCTTGGGGGTGGAGCTGGGTAGTTCTCCCCAGACACCTGCGTGGAGGCACCGGTAGCCACAGACACATGAGCAGACATGGAGTTGGCTATCAGTGATGACTGGTCATTAGATTCCGGCAGGTGACAACCAGACTGTCGTAGAAGGTGCCCCGGGGTCATCTGCTGTGTGTCCACAGGGGTGAGTTGGGGGAAGGATGGTGATGATGTGCCCTGCGAGCGGGGAGGGTTGAAGACAATCTGACTTCCAAGAGAGGTGACTAGATTGTGGTGAGTGAGAGACTGGATGAAGGGGTGAGACAGGCAGGTCTGAAGGGACTGTATGTCACTGGCAGCCAGAGTGGAGGACTCCTGTGTAGACATCACTGGCATTGGCATCGGGAACTGTGCTGGACACAAACATCACACTGATTAGTAGACATCCCTATCACATCAGTGGGAGTTGTTTGTCGTAAACTAAAACACCTCACAGAGAATAAACCATGAGGGGCACAGCTCTGAGCCAATTATTCTCCCTGCAGTATTTTATTTACGATAAACAACTCCCACTTGTCGTTTCTTAAATAGACCTTGATTATCGATCATATCATTTTAACTGGGGGGCCCCCATTTCGTTTGAAGAAAATGAAAGTGATATGGGAGGTGGAATCTGATTGGTCAAAAGGGGGGACATAATTTGTAACAGCCACTGGTGGCCCCTACAATCAAGACACAAAATTCCAGCCTAGTTTGCCAAGGGTGGAAACTGCACTTTTTACAGTCAGTTGGTGGGATACACTGGTGTGTGATACTCTAGGGTTGAAGTCACCAAAATATACCGCACACCAAACAGACACATACATGAGTAAGATCATAAATGGCAGAGCAAGCATGAATATAGTTGAGGTGAGCTAACACATGGATTATGTGACGCCCTTACATGAGAAGGTGGAGGCAGCCTGGTGGTGGTCACTGGGCAGTGGCTGTCCAGTGGTCGGCTGTGAAGGGGTGTCCGCAACTGAAACACCTTGACAACACACATGTTTGAAAAAGTACACTCCCAAATGCAATGATATTTGCACAATCGATACAGATGTAAACATGATAAATATTGTCAGGTATTGTTTATGGTTAATAAATCAATCTTGAAATTAAGAATCCATAAAACAGACTTTTGTGGCATTAAAAGAATTTCAAGACTCAAGACTCTTTTATTCTGTAATAAGGCCTCCAGCCAAGAGTACATGTGTATATAATCAAGTCACAACAATTTTAAATTACAAACAACAATTACAATCATTAAGAAAAGATCTACTATAATCATCAAAAGTAAGTGAAGCACTCGTAAACTATATATAAAGTTGTCTCCCTTTAACCTCTGAGATAAACCTGCCTTGCCTGTGTGCATTTAACAATATACAGTGCTAAAGATTCTGACAAAGAATTATCTGTCATAACTTTCTCAAATTTGTCGAGAGTACAAAGATTACTGGTGCAAATACTTGGCAAAAGCATATTTCTGAATTTGTTACACAAGTAACATGATGTAATAAAATGAACTTCATCCTCCACAATTGATACACTCAGATTATCAAAACAATATTTACATACTCTATCCTCTCTAGCAACTCCTCCCCACCGCCCAATTTCAACAGCCAGTTTGTGGTTACCACATCTGAATCGACTAAGAACAATTCTTAAATTTTTACTCTTCATATTGTGCAAATACCTTTCAGGCTCCAACACTGATTTGATAATGGAATAATTATTAAGCTTACTTGTTTCACTTATAGATAGTGCCCATGTTTGTTTCCAACAATCCTGCAACCTTTCCCTACAAGTTCTAAGGAAATGGGTTATGTCACCAACACCCTGAAAGAATTTCATTTAACATGAATGCCTCTTAGGCCTTAATAAATTAATTATAAAATTCTCATCTGGCAGGTATAGTTAATGTACACAGATGTTGTGAACATTTTATTCATACAATTGTTTAATAAAAAAATGCCTGTCGCCTCATATAATTTATTGAGACCATAATACATCCTGGTCCAAGACACAAGAATATATAGAGAAATACTAATCATTGCCCATAGCCCATTAAAAGATCACCAACTAATTTTCATCTTGCAAATGTGACTGGTTTACCTGAGTCTTTTTTCTCTACAGAAGTTTTCTTGTAGTTGCATGACTGACTTTACCCCTTATCATTAACATGATGCAAAATACACACAAGTCCTTGACCATCTTCAAGACTAGCTGATTGTTTATGAATTGACGATATAAATTTTTTCACACTCTTTCCAAGACATACCTTGGGTTCCAACAGGCAACATTGTCTGTGATGGTGTTGCAGCAGACACAGCGGAAGATGTGACCACACTTGCTGCCATGGTTACAGGACATGGCAGTGGGTGCTGAGGGGGCACAAGTGACCCTGAAGCTGGAGCAGTAGACGAAACTGTGTTGATAATGTGGGGTAGCAATGTAGAGTCCATCTGGGCTACGGACTGAGAGGTGGCAGCACAGTACACAGTGGCCCCTGACAACACTGCTGTCACTGGGATATTGCTGCTGGGTGTAGGCACTGTGTCGGGGCGTTTGTGTGTATCTGGCAGTATTCTCTGCAATACCGGAGAAAAAGGCAATGCAACGGAATTGCCACAACTAGATGCTGAGTTCATGGACGACAGAATGTTCTGGTTGTGGACGATGTTCGTTGGAATAGCTTGAAAGATGGTGGATGTAGGTGGTGCTGGTGCTATAGGGACCACATTCTGGGAGGGGTTGCCAACAGAGTTCGTGGCTGGAACCTGTGAAGATACTGATGACTGTAAAAGGGGCAGGCTGGCAAGAGCTGCCACCAAGTTTGCTGGGAAGTTTAGTGAAATAGCCTGCTGAAGAATGTTGTTAGGAAGTATGGTTGGCTTGACAGTGGGTGTGGGTTGGAGAGGAGCGGACATTGGAGGCTGGCTGTATGCACGTCTCGACTCACTGACACTGTCGTATGTACTAGTTGGCTGGAATGCAGGTCGAAGAAGTGAGCTGATGGGTACAGTGGTTGTGATATATGTTGGCTGTGCATTGTGGGATGAATTCTCAGATGCTGACACTGAGATCTGAGGAGAGCTTACATCACACGTCAGCTGACTAGAGCTGGGAGTTAAAGTAGCAGACAGTGAAGACACAGACAGGTCACATTGAAGATTGGAGTTCTGTGCTAGGGAGCTGATGGTGTTTGAATTTGCAGTGTTGTATCTCAACTGGGTGGAACTGTGGCCCAGGTTCTCAACAGAGAGAGATGTCTGAGAGCTTGATAAATCACATTGTAACACTGAGTTGCAGTCCCCGGCAATGAGCTGCATTCCATGAAGCTCTTCATTTGGAATTAGAGATTCTTCCGAGCTCTGTGCGTGAGGCATTGTTGCCTGGAGCATGCCAGACTCTGTGTGGTGAGACATGGATTGTTGAAGGATGCTTGAGTCTGTCTGGTGAGAGAGAGATTGTTGAAGCATGTCTGACTCTGCCTGGTGAGACATAGATCGTTGAAGTATGTCTGATTCTGTCTGGTGAGAGAGAGATTGTTGAAGTATTTCTGATTCTGACGGGTGAGAGAGAGATTGTTGAAGTATTTCTGATTCTGACGGGTGAGAGAGAGATTGTTGAAGTATTTCCGATTCTGTCTGGTGAGACAGAGATTGCTGAAGAATATCGGATTCTGTCTGGTGAGACAGAGATTGTTGAAGTATGTCGGACTCTGTCTGGTGAGAGATAGATTGTTGCAGCATACTCGCCTCATGTTCTGCCTCTGCTCCATTGACAGGCAGCAACATGTCGGTGTGTGTTGTGTCATGACCAGTTGTGGCAAGTCGATCACTCATTGTCTAATCACATACCATCTAGTCAAACTCAGGTACAGGGCAGCATACTCATCACGCCTCCTGTTGTTTCTGACATATCTGAAAGATAACAACAGATGTTTCAGACTAAAGCTCCATCAGAGTATGAAGCATGAGTATGACTCAACAAGTACTAGCTAGCAAGTAGACATGTCCTAAAACATCTTCATTTTGTATACCTTAAAACTGGAGTCCTTAATTTGTTTCAGTAAAGTGTACTATAGGTACATCATGGGTTTGGGAATCTCACTTAGACATTGTTAGGACGCGTACACAAATTTGGATGACCTGTACACAAATTTAGATGACCTGTACAAAGGTCTAAATGATCCGTACACAAATTTGGTGGACATGTACCCATGTATTTTCATATTTCTTGCATTTCTAACAAGTTAGTATAAAGCACGACGTTCGAAACCAGTTAACCAGTATATATTCATAATTATTTAACCACGGCACTAACTAACACTAACATATCCAAGCATATGTTTTGGGCACTTTTAATTTTATACACTTCATAGACATTTTCAAACCAATCGTTAGCAATTAATTAATATCAGTAGTTTCACACATTCCAACATTTTGATCACTTTTATTTCAATAAAACCCATATCATCATTTAGAGTACATTTCAAACATTCAATTTACATGTCACTCACTGTGTTGATTGGAATAATTGAAGATTCTCACTTGGACTGAACACCAACAACACATTCAGTGTCACACATTGGCAGTTCACACAGTGATCAGTGGTCTGTGCCCTCTTCCAGGAGCCTTGTTACCAAACAATATGGCTTAAGCAACAATGTTTTAATTGCAAACATGTTTTAATCAACGTTTTGCAGCAGAGCTGATACCTTTCAGAAGCAATTGGAAGTACTAAACCGACTTTCCAGAATTTAAGTTATTGTCTCACGACAACATCAGATCAATAAAAGCTAATAATCTTTAAAATCATATAAATTTTACAACTATGCTTTTTGGGTACGTGTCATCAAGTTGATTAGGTATGGGTGGATGCGGGTAAAACTTATCCAAACTCTGTGTGGGAGTCCGCCAAAATATACAAGGTGTGGATCTCTCTGCATTCAGATTGTCCAGTTCCCTTTGTATCACTGATCATTCTCCACTTGGGTACCATAATTTTTTAACCAGCTCTTATTCTGCCTAGCTAAATGTACCATGAATTTTCTTTAGTCATAGTATGCAGGTCATCTGCTTGCATTCAGCATATGCTCAGCACAATCTGAGACTTTCACAAAATATTGCTTCAAATGTGCACAATTCTATGTGTGCATGGTATGTGAAAATACAAACATACAAACCTTGGTATATGACTACAGTGTGGTACACGAATGTCGACAACAACCCTACAACTGGCATGAGATCTACACTAGATGTATACAACCATGGTAATATTCAGGAAATCAATTATGGAACAGCATCCAACTCTTCGTGCCAATGGTGTCCCACAAGAACAAATGAATGTAGACTCGGGAACACTCATGCATTAAACCACAATTTTGATCTATGTGAGATATGTTAGGTCATGTTTATAAGAATAGGCCATTGGGTGATTGACAGAACGCATCTGTCTATGAGATCGATGTTTCTCGACCATCTAGGCACTAATCAACTGCAGATCCCAGACATCGCTAGAGACACATATATATGTAATTGTAGTTACACAAACCTTGATAACACTTTGCACTTTATTTGACGTTGAATGTTCTTTGGTTGCGATGTAAACACGTTATGTTAGTCCTCATCGAGAAACATTACATTTTTTAACTTCGCTTGCACAAGAGTTCCCGAACTCAATCGGAATCCGACCAAAACGGCACTCTGTGAAACGTTCACTGACCAAAACGGCACTCTGTGAAACGTTCACTGAACAAAACGGCGCTCTGTGAAACGTTCACTGAACAAACGGCACTCTGTGAAACGTTCACTGACCAAAACGGCACTCTGTGAAACGTTCACTGAACAAAACGGCAACTGAGATTTCAGGTGAACACGGAACAGAAATGTTTTGTCCATGAGCGTTTGGTTTAAAAGTGTGAAGACAGTTTGAATGAATACCCACTTGTCTCTCCAAATAAGGTGCTGTATTTCACCAGAACGAATTGCCAGCTATGTGGATGTGGTTTGTTTGACATGGGGTTCAAAATACCAATACAAATGTATTCGAGGAAAAGAAAATAACACTCACTTCTACCAAGGTTCTAAACAAGCAAAATATGTAGAACTGAGTTGAATGTATATTGGGTGTATTGGGTAATTCATTGTTTAATACAGCCTACAAGAAACCATACTTATAAGAGGCGCACATACAATAATGTTAGTGAGCCATAAAGCGGGTCCACTGCCTCTGTCTATACATTGTACTTAGCTTCTCATTAAGGTTCTCATAAACTCCATAATACACTTTTAATTCACAAACAAAGTTAGGTCACTGTGAGACTGTGGGGCTCTTAAATCGCCCGACACCTAGTCGATCTCCCAGACACCAGAGAATATATCAAGAAACGAATACAAATCAAGTCTGTAGAATGATTTGGCAAATCTAGACTGCCTCAGCCCTGAATTAAGCATGGTTCTGGGCTCCTCTTGGATTGTATTTTATATTTCGTAGACATATATTTTTAATTAACATAACTAACTTTCTGAGACAGTCAGACTAAAAGTTGGTCTATACCACAGCATGTGTGGGCGTGTACCAAGGACTTACTTCCAGCAGAGACCATATAATAGATCTATTATATGGTCTCTGCTTCCAGAAACTCCTCACAGCGCGAAAGGTATGTTAACGCTTGAGGTTTGCCAAGCAGGGTTGCTTTTGAAATGGTACCAAGGCCGTAGTTAACCTTTTTTGACAGGGGGGTGCAAATATTTGTAGAAGTATCACTTGTCCCCAACTTGTATTTTCATGATTCAAATAAAACTGTTTTTTATATTAAAAAAACGGGGGGGGGGGGGGGGGGGGCGGTTACAACAAGCTGCCCTTGTCATTCAGCTTGGCATGAAAGTCGACGGTGTGTACATTAAGATTTCAGCTATGAGTCGCACTTTTCCTTTGAAAATAACAAATTTATTATTTGATTTTCAATTAATATTATGCAATGTGAAATATATGCATGTATATATCTAGGAATTTACACGTCTGATAGGTGACGTTTTAATCATAAAAGAGGCTCCACCCTTTTGCATATATTGCTGGCTTCACCTTTCAAAATGTTTACCCTTTTGTGTACATAACAGGCTTCTCCACTCCCGGGAAAGTACATCTTAATCTACTCTACTGTATAAACACTGCCTCCTACCTGTATATATGGGATCGGGTGGTCAGGCTATCTCCACAGCTCCAAAACCCAAGCACATTCAGTCATTATTCACGGCTGAATTGGAGGCAATTCATCATGCACTCAAACTCATTCCGGAACTTCCGGAAGCAAAGGCAGTCGTCCTATCAGACTCGCTAAGTGCACTTCAGGCCATCAGTGGCAGAAACTCAAACTCCTGGCCAAACACAGTCAACAATATTCTATACGAATATACAAAACTATCGGACCAAGGGCAACAGGTGGAGCTGTGTTGGATCCCCTCTCACATAGATATTCATGGAAATGAAAAAGCAGACTCACTGGCGAAGCTAGCTCTAGACAAAGCGGATATACAGCCTATTCCCTTTAGTAAACTAGAGATAAAAAGCAAAATCAAAGCCTCCATAGCAGAAAGATGGCAAGCCCAATGGGACGCAAGTAAGATCGGCAGATGGCTATACAAAATTCAACCCAAGGTCCAACAAAAGCCAAACTCATACTCAAATGAAAGGAAAATTGAAATTGCTATCTCACGCCTCAGACTCGGTCACAAAAAGCACTATGACAAAGTTTGTTCATCTTGCAATCAGGCTGAAACCATTGATCACGTGTTACTAGAATGTCAAGACCATGCCCCAGCCCGGGCTAGTTTAAAACAAGAATTGCAGTCAGATCCGCTATCTGTCATAGATCTGCTAAAGCCAAGAGATGCAATAGCGAAGGCCAAACTAACTCTATTTCTGGTGACGGACAGTTACTCGAACGTATATAAACAGAGCAGCCAAGGATAGAAATGAAATCATATCAATATAAGAAAATAGAAATCATATCAATACAAAAACAGAAATTATGTGAACACCAAACTCACAATAGATAGGTGTACCCTACTCACACACATGAGTCCCAAAAAGGGACAGGTCAGCCGAAATTGCCTAGGCAGAAGGCGACCTCCTAAACACTTAATGCAACAACAGGCTAGCTGACTTGGTTGAGGCATGCCATCGATCCCAATTGCGTGGATTGATGCTCATGATATCAATCACTGTATTATCTGGTCCAGACTCGATTATTTACAAACCGCCGTCATATAGCTGGGATATTGCTGAATGCGGCGTTAAACAACAAACAAACTTGGCAACGTAAATCCATCTTCCCGAGGCACGAGAGTTAACTGACTTTAAAAGTCTAAGCCTCTCCTATGGACCAATCAGATTTCCACCTCTCGTATCGCTTGCATTTGCTTCAAACAAAATGGCGGCGCCAAGTCAGGACGATCTGCTCGATTATCAAGATCTATATTGTGATAAAACGGGTCTTACATCGCGAAATGCACCAAATCACATGAGTACCTTGATGAAAAACATGAAAAGATTTTTAAAATATCTGTTGACAACGCGTTGGCGGTGCAGATGCTTTGAAAATCCTGCAATCGACCGAAATCTGCACGACAGATTACGAACCGGATTTCGATTTTGATGCGCGATTTTGATTGGACTATGCATAGACTCGTTAGTCCAGCCAAATTGTAACTCCATAATACCAGCCTAGTTCGGCAAGGGTGGAAACGGGACTTTTATAGTCAGTTAACTCTCTTGCCTCGGGAAGATGACGTAAACCATACTCTGTTCATCACATGCTTGATAACAGTGTTAGAACCTACACCGAAACGTCGCTCCCAATTGTAATAAAGAAGTTGTTCATCCGTATATCTTATCCTTACTAATAAAAGATAGCTGAGATTTTTCCAGTCACATTTCAAATTATACACATGGAAAGAATGTTGCATTTTTCTCACTTTCTACTTAAACTTAATTTAACTGTACAAACGTAGGTGATTTTAAAACAAACCACGGATTTCTGCTTAAAAAGTAATTAATTGATTTATGGCCCTATGAGGAGTTTTATGGGATCCCCCGCCTACAAGCCCAGTAATCAAAACACACAGCAAATAACACCGCTTATTTGCGCTGAGTAGTGTACTTCCTAAAAAACTATATCGTATTCCTAAAAAACAACACTTAGGTTATACCAGTGTTTATTCTGTTTGCAGAGTAGATGTAATCAAACTGGAAGTCTTCATTCCAGCAATGGTAACACTACCGGATGTTCATTTTCACTCCCAGTGTTTGAATGACATTATGTGGAAATAGATAGTTGTTTGTTTTTATATTCAAGTTGGTATTTCCGCTATTCAAAGTGTGCAGTGGGGCCGTCTTATCAACAGTCATTTCTGTGACAAAAATGCAAAGTTTAATTAATTAAGTCCACTCGCATTTTTGCATTTAATTAACACCAGCGTTAATTTCAAGATTTACAGTACATACTATTCAAAAGAAGTTAAAGAACACTCGATTCTTTCATATGGCTATGTTTAGTCATGACAGAAAGCTTTAAAGCGATAGAGCGAAAAAGCAATATTTATTTTCTTGTAGTGTAGTAAATTAGCAAGATTCACAGACAACAACTTAATAGTCGTTATTCATATTTTCATTTTATTCATACTACTACCCCATTCTTCCTTCAATCTTAAAAATGAAACTTTAAAGGATACATTGAACAAGAACAAATAATGAATTACATATAGACCATACATTGACAAATAATTGTCAGTATTTTCAGCCACTGTTTGTATTGTTTGTAGTGTCAAAAGAATTATTTTGAAGGTTAACAGATTTGGAGTGAAGCCGAATACGTGCTCGTCCGATTACGGGATGACAATTATATTGATAAAGATACATGAACATTATGCAGACAAAAGTTACACTGTTATGTTTCCCTTAAAAATACAGATCGACTAGATATATGTTTTCAACCTTAAGTCACATATACGTCATTACCCGTAACCACATTCCTTGGACAATAGAAATGTAATGCGTTGTAACTATTATTTTAAAACAATTCGATCAAACTGTCTTCGGGAATTACATTTCAAATGTTAATGTGCTTGTAAAATAGAGTCGAACTTTTCCCACAGGTGTGAATAGGTATCCAATTATAGTATAGGCTCTTTGTTCAAGCAGGAATATTCATATTCATGTAACAATTCTCTATCTATTGAACTGTATGGTTGTCATCAATTGTGCGTTCTGATGTGAGTTATGTAATTATCTACCACATAGACCCACACACTAATTAGGATGTCTCTCCATGTGTGTAGTTTACTCGTTCGCTCGTCACTCCGAAACCCATGCAGGTTCGATTCCCCGCATGCGTACAATGTGTGAAGCCCATTTCAGGTGTTCCCCGCCGTGATATTGCTGGAATATTGTTGAAATCGACTTAAAACCATACTCACTCACTCACTCACATCGGTCTTAATCAAATTACGTACATATACTTGCAGATTTGCACAAGACAAGAGACACAATATACAAGTTGATCATAAATCAAATGTCAAAAGGAATATTTACGGACACCAGGACGACACACTGTAACATCATATTCAACTAAAAAAAAGTTAAAGAACACCCACAATTATAAGATTGTATTTTGCAATACAATCAGCCATGACTGATTAACCATAATCTTTGAAACTTCTTTTGAAAAATATGTGTATAGATTTTAACCTGATTCAGTTAAAGGTATTGCACTGACCCGCCACACGCTTTCGGCGTGATGGTCACATAAAACTAAATAGGGCCCCAGATCAATCAATTACATTTTACGCAGAAATCTGTTGGTTGTTTTAAAATCACCTACGTCTGTAAAGTTAAATTATAATTTAGTAAATAGTGAGAAGATTTCAACATTCCCCCCAATTGAAACAACAAACACATGCAACCCCAACAGTGGTCAAGAGGGAATATTGCATTACCGCGAGAAAGCGACAGAGCAAGAAAGGCATGTCCCCTCTTGGCCACCATATATATACGCCCACGGGGAGTTTGTCAGTGTTTTCCTTTGATGTTTAATGCCTCATTCTGCAATATTCCAGTGTTATAACGGCGCCTCGAATCTTCACGGGTGGGGGTTGTAAACTGCCAGGCAAAAGAAATTATACACCCACGTTTGATGGTGGCTGAATTAAAACAAACAAGAAATGGTGATTCGCTGGTGATGTATTTAATACCAGGTATCAGAGTTGTGGTTGGACCTTAAGGTTGCTGTGTTTCGGCGACTGTGTCAAGCCCTAGTGACGTTTTGAAAACGTTTGTATTTTTTCGGTCTAATCCAATTTAATCAGAAATATATACACTGTTGCGGGAAGACTGATGGGGTATGCAATTCTACGTTTGTCAGGACCATAGTTATTCTGGGCAATGATTCTGTTGGGAAGCTGAGGGTCTCAGACCAGGCCCCATCAGTGTCATGCTTATGCATGCTCTTTGCTACAACGACCTGATCACAATGTTAGCAATGCCATATGGTGTCATCGTCTGTCATGTCCTCATACTAGGATACCAATGATGTTTTGTTTGTTTGTTTGTTGTTTAACGCCGCACTCAGCAATATTCCAGCTATATGACGGCGGTCTGTAAATAATCGAGTCTGGACCAGACAATCCAGTGATTGATATCATGAGCATCGACCGACGCAATTGGGATCGATGACATACATCAACCAAGTCAGCGAGCCTGACCAATGATGTAAATGTATATCAACAGTGACCAGTGATGTAAATGTATATCAACAGTGATGTGTTAATTCTCCCATCACTGTAATCGACGTTCTTAATGCTTACTCCTTACTCATGCATCACCAAACTGCCAATATATACCTGTGACTTATAGACTCTTTATGGCTAATCACCCAACCTCTCGCCGTGCCAAGAAGAATTGTAATGCCTATTGTACCATGGGCCACTGGCCTCCAAGTACCGAAATACAGTCTCATGTCTCTCATGTCCATACAACTTTGCAGGTGTTGATAGAGGAACTGACACAACAATGACTATGTGACTATTGGCCTTTGCTGTACTGTGACCAATGGGCTATTAATGATAAAGAACTTACCACAAAAGAATATATTCATATACACGATACTTATTCCATATCAATTGCATGCCGTATATGGATCAGATGAGGTGAGGAGAGGAAAGGTGAAATGGACTTTAACGTCGCGTCCAAGATTATTGCACTTATATAGAAAAGTGCATGCACGTGTGCGTGTGCGTGTGCGTGTGCGTGCGTGCGTTTTCTGCGCGTGTGTGTGTGCTTGTACTAGTACGGACTGATGCCGATTTTATAGTGCTATCCCACTGAGGAACAAGAATATCTATACTGACTCCGAGCCGACAAGTACTTGTTTAAGCGCATTAATGCCGAACGCTAGACAAGTAACAATTAGTACCATCTTTTGACGTCTTTTGGTATGACGCGTCCAGGGATCAAATCCCGGCTCTGCGGGAGGACGCTCTACCACTAGACCACGGAGGCGGTCTGCATCAGATGAGAGATAGGTTGTCATTTAAAATACTTAATTCAACTCTTGGAGGTGGACGCCAAGGATGCGACTGGTCTTGTAGGTGGACACCTACATTTCAACAATGCACATTTAGAACTCAAATGTCTCCTTGACGAAAAGTAATAGGCATGATTAGGTCCTGCAGGTTGCTAGTGATCTAAACAAGTTATTTAGTTTGATTTTAAGGTCATGGAATTTGCATGGGCAAACCGGTGACATGACAAATACAGCAGGGTCTGGGAAGACGCACACAATTGAAGTCCGGTAACAGAGGACTCACAGCACCCAGAGGTAGATTCAGAATCCTCCCCATGTGTGTTTACTTGTTCGAACTGTACGCAATTGGTTGAAAGATGCAAGATTGAAATGAGCATGGCGTCATAACATCGTCCCAACGTTCAGTGACGTATTGAGGATTATTTTCGACTGGTCGCAGTCGTGTTAGGGGACAAGCTCATGAAAGCTACCAGCAGCGTACTGGGTCATAGCACGACATTATGTGGTGGCTGCTCCCTAATGGTGTTCACTGGCACCACCTACAATTCGTTATCTGACGACCCGATTAGTCGTTAGTTTGAATTTCAACATAGTAGTGTGTTGTTTTATGGCAGTGCAATTTATTGTTAAACATGGTTGTAATTGTATAGCATTGTTTCTATTGAGATTCAATAAAAGTTCATTGCATTTTGACAATAAATAGTTGTCAGGAATGCACTACTATCTAATGTAAGCAGCGCTGTGGAGGTTACTATATTTAGATGCCAGCGTGATCTAGAAACTTCCGGAACAGCTAGACTCGCCCAGATTGTATAAAAACTTCTGGAATATAATTAGACCATACAAGAGGGACAAGCGTGTGTCTCTCTCATCTCACATTACCTCAAGACCAGCCGTTGTGTAAAGATGATTGTTTTTAACCCTGGCTATCCACCCAAGGCGTATTTTGGAAGCTTGACCACTGTTCCTGCGAGGTGAATATTATTACAATTGATATCATATTATATAGTGTTTATATATTGTACTTGTACCGCCATTCTACTGTGTTCTGCCATTGTACTTGATGTGCAGTAAATTGTATTTGTGAAGCTAGTTAATTTCATAAAAAAACCAATTGTTAGATGTATACCATTTCTTTTTTGTTTGTTGATTTCACATTGAATTCTGGTGTGTACAGATTTCTGGGTTAACTTATTGTTTCAATTTCGACACGTAACAGTATCAAAGGATGTTTGTGACGAATGATTACATCCGGGTACTATTTTGCTCAACTAAATGTCCTGGTCTCAAAACCATGAAACATCTAGTGGAATCACCTGGACGTCGCTGGCGCCAACGTCCTGTATCGCCTCATGCACAGTCTGCAAGAGAGAGAGAGAGAGAGAGAGAGAGAGAGAGAGAGAGAGAGAGAGAGAGAGATTATAACATTCAAAGCCTCAGTTAACCTTACAAAAATGATGTCCGATGCAATTCCCTATTTTGACTTGACCCATTGTTCAAGTGTTTTTTTTCAGATGCCTTGCCTTTGCATGTGTTTGTGACTGGTGCCATCGTTGGGGCAGGATACACTCACCTTTTCGCGAACACTATTTGATAGAGATTCTTACATGTTGCAAATGATATAGTCGGAATCGTACAATCGACTCTGCTTTTGGCTTTTTGAATATGAAAAGGGTTTTGTTGCTTATATTTACTGTACACCGAACCTTTTAGTAACTTGTCTCGGAAATAAAGGTTCTTTAAGATACAACAACCATTTTAATTAGGCCATTATTAACATATCATGCGCATGATAAACTATCCTTCATCAAACACACATCAACTAAATGAATCGGGTGGTCAGGATCGGTGACTTGGTTGATTGTCATCGTACCCCCACGGTGTGGATCAAATTTCTCATAACACCAATCACCGGATTGTCTTGTCAAAACTTCCAATATTTATATGCCCTCTCATAGCTGGAATATTTGATGAGTATGGCTTTAAACAACAACATGTATATATCGTCGTGTGACCCGTGAAGATCCGGGGTAGAATAGGTCTTCATCAACCCATGCTTGCCGTAAAAGGCGACTATGCTTGTCGTAAGAGGCGACTGACGGGATCAGGTGGTCAGGCTCACTGACTTGGTTGATGCATGTCATCTTGACCCAATTCTGTGGATCGATGCTCATGATGTCAATCACTGGACTGTCAGGTCTAGACTCGATTATTTACAGACCGCCGTAATATAGCTGGGATATTGCTAAGTGCGGCGTAAACAAAAAACGCTGGTACGTCCAGGGTCCGGGTCCACAAAGCGATATTAGCTCAAAGGTAATCGTAGCTCCCATTCTTTAACCTAGGTTTACGATATTCGTAACACTAAGATCCCTTCGTGGGATGGAGCCTAGGTCGGACATGACGTGGCCCGACATGCCAGGGTAGTGATCATGGAGTTCCAACTAGCCCCCACTCGTGGAATGTCCCAGTAGGAGAGTGGGTACACGTTCCCCACAACACAGATTGTTTTCTCCCCACTGATAAACAACAATGTCGACCTTATTATACGATCACGGCCCAGTGTTAGCTCCCCTGCCACTTATCGCCAGGTGTCTGTGGGTGAAGCACTTTGATTGAGTGTTACGTCGTAGTCGGACAAGTCAATGCGGATCACCTATACCTGATAAGAAATAGTTCATATTCAGAATATACATCGGCAGAGTTAGAGAGGTATCGGGTATTGGGTTTTACATTCTGTTTGTTACTGAGCTCGGACTTCCTGCTTCTACACAACAGTGCAGGGATTGTTTTTGGCCGTATGAGCTTATTGGAGAACCTCCCCACAGAGACAATAGAATGTTGACCTGTTTGTATGGAAAATAAAATGACGCACTCTTACCAACGTGGAGCCACTTTGACACGCTCTCTAGGCTCTAAGAAACATTGGATCCCACATACAACAATTGAACATTCACAATGCATTGGGTGAAGGTAACAGTATACCGTCAACTGGGGGCGGTTTAACGCGATTAGTGTACAGTATATCCACTTAGCGATATCATTTCTGTGCAGGAAACAACGGAGTCCCAGACATCCATGGATGGATTATCCTAATCTGGCGAGAGTGGTTGGTAATCCAGCGTCAGGATTATAGTACAGGTCGGTATCGACTGCCAGGCATATATCACGGTGACTGACTGAGTGACTGGCGACTTGGCGGAGGCGATTCGAAGTGTTCGTTTGTCAGTAGTGTACTAACAAGTCTGTATAAACAAAGGGCCTGTATTTCATGTTCTAACTGTGCGATAAAACCCCACTTAAGGACTTTGTCATTCTACTGCCCTATAGCTGTAGAACTCTCAATTGGATGGTCGATAGTCAGGTGAGTACAGACTTTTCTGTGACGCAGTTGGTTTAAACATGGCATATATTTCATTTGGATAAGTTTACTGCAAATACTTATGCTGTTTTACATGTTGTAACAAATGATCAATATCAGCTGACGGTGTGCCCGACAAATTTACATCTCAAAGATAAACACGTTAATAACAGTTTGAGGGACATCAAAAACCGTTATATATGCAGTTCTGCTGTCTAATGGATCACGACTCAGCTTACTCGTCACTCACCAATCTTTAACGGTCAAACTGTCTTTGTGTGAACACTATGTCAGTAGCGGAGCATGTTTAAAGGCATGTGTATACACCGGTCTGTTGACTCTAATTTCTGACTGTGTATAAACGTTAAGCTTAAAGTTAACAAAGAAACACTATTACGGAAAAAAGCCACACCTACACCGGCAGCCACCCATCAAACAAAGAAACAACATAAACATACAACAACATATGTAATTTAACCCGCTGGATTAAAAATAAAATCTTCTACACTTCGCTGTGTCCTGGGGGTGTTGAGTTCCGCTCCTAAGATCTTAAATACGTAAGCGCTTTTCAGCCAACGCGCTTTTCACAGAGGGACTTTATCAATGGTAGGTTGCTTTGTGAAGCCCTTTCATGGCTGGCCAGACGAACTATATTATGTCAAACACTGGGAAGAAAGGCTGTAGGCAAGGGGTTGAAATCTCAATATCGGATTAGGGTTAATTCCTTTGCCGTTTGTCAAGAGGTTTTTGTGCGAGTGCCATGTAAGAATCTATAGTTGAAAGTAGATGAATTAACCCATGTTCCGCTAACCGCAGTGAACTCATCTCACTGATTACAAGGGTTATATATAATTGTCGCCAGGCACGCGAATATTTCAATCAGATAAAAGATGTCTGAAATGAAAGCGAGCTCATCCAGTCACTGCTTGTCGACTAGTAAGTTACCAACACAAACCTAAGCTACATGAAGGGTTAATCGACAGCGATGATCGAGAGTTGTGTTTGTACCGCACATGCCATGTACACACCACACATATGTTGTGTATGAGAAGTTCCGTGGCATACTTGTATCGAGCTATTTATTAGTTTAATCAGTCTGTGTAAGTACGTTTGCATAAAACGTTTCTTTTTACTTATATATGATTGTTATATTTTAGATGAAATGTTCCATATCGTACCCGTTCTCTTAGTCTGTGGCACTGCTGATGAGGCAATCCATGATATTGGTCATATCTACCTGATAATTTTGCTCTTTTTCTTTATTGCAGAAAGCCATATGTTGAGATCCTCTCCCCACAAGCATATAACAAGATGTCCTTGATGAGGGGTTGACGAGGGGTGGTTCCTGATCATATCACCCTAGTGACCTATCAACCACCCATAATGCCGGTGGCCGTGGAGAAGAAGGTGATGTTCTCACCCGAGTGTCTGGAGAAGTCTCCAGACATCGACGCCAGTTCCGTCATATTCCAGACACTGGTGCCCCGACGCCGGAGAGACCGGTTCGGCCGTGACACAACAAGTCAGTCTGATTATTTGCTGTCTGCTACATTATTTCCCACCGGAGTCAGGGCGCCTGCCCTTGAGGAGCTGCAGCAAAAGTGTGGCCCCATCAGTCGAATTGAAAAGCCCAGACTTGTCCCCAGGGGGATAATAGCCTCGGAGTCTTGGCCTGGGTCAGGACCGAAAGTGCTCACCCTGCGGAAAGGGAAAGAGAGCCCGCCTGACAGCCACCGGTCATCGCAGAACAGGTCTGAAGCTTTGCACTGCAACTTCCGGTCATACCATTGGTCACAGATGATGAAGAAGAGAGATGTCCGAGATCCTATGTATATCAATACCTACTGTCCAGATGAAAGACCGCTTCGGTTTAAGGAAACGTCCTTCCCGCGGATTACCAAGGGCAGACCATGGTCGGTCGGGGAATCTAATCCTTCAAAACGATTTGTGAGGGTAAGGGATGAGAGAAAGAGTGCTGGCCAGCTGACGTGTAAAACCAGAGTTCAGGGGACGCCACTGCACCCGTCTAGGGAGGCGTTCCACGCAGTTGCTAACAAGGAGGACAGTGAACAGTATTTTGAAGTGAAGCGCGTGTCAGCTGATGAGAGAAGTCGACCCAGGGGGCAGGGGACGTGTCTGTACTCGCAGGTTCGTCAGTGTATAAGGCTAGCAAGGAATCATGACCCTAGACGGGGGAAAAAGATTGAGCGGCCGATGAAGTCTGAAATAGGCAAATACAGACCATTCTCAACAACCCGGATCCGCACCCCCTGTGTCTCCCCACAGCCGCATTCCTCCTACAAGGAACATGATTCGGCTGACACGTATCGAAGTTACGTCATTACGAAAGCTCTTCAGACCAAGATGAGCGGATCAAGGTCAGCGGGAACTATTGCTAGTGGGGTCGTGGCCCGCAACAACACCGCTGCATCTACGTACTTTGATGTCGAATCTCAGGTGGTTCAATCAGTGGCAGATAGCAACATGCCAGACAGTGACTGTAAAACATTAAGTGGGGTGTCTCACGACTCAGAGATGGGACCAGTGACCAGGCACCAACACGACCCCCTGATTATTGGGCTTGACATTCGGGGGTCCACCATCGTCCCACCGAAGTCGAGCAAATCAAAAGCATCAGATTCAGACTACAACGACAAACCCGTGGTTACTTTCAGTCCCAAGAAAGAAGCTATTACAACGAGATGCCGCAAAAGATCCAAGACGTCCACCAAGTCAGGACTGAGTGGTCATAGTGATGTGGGCATCCCGGCGGAGGAGCTAACCACCCCTCGCCAGGAGGAGGACATCCTTCCCGAACCCGTCCCCATCCAGTTGGACGAGAGTGGGAACCCCACCATTTGGCAACACAACCCCCTCCCACGGGACAGCCCGGACTCCAGCGTCATCAAGATCCCTGCTGCATTGTCCATGCTAAGTATAGAAGATACGGAGGACACGGACACCCACGACGAAGGCTTCTGATGTGATGACTCAGTTCCCGCTGTCAGACCCTTGGCACTCAATTGACCAACAGCACTTTAAGGTTGGATTAGCCATGTAGAGTAGAGACAATGACAACAATGTGCAGTATAGGGTGTTTTTGTGATATTATCTTTACAATTCATGCATATTTTGATTGAAAGCACACACACACACACACACACACACACACACACACACACACACACACACACACACACACACACACACACACACACACACACACACACAAACACACACACACACACAAACACACCACCACCACCACCCGCCACCCGACTCTTGTCTAGGTTATACAACGATACGTATGGCGTCGTGGAGCTGATATAGCTGGGGACGGGGCAAACCAAGGTAGACATGTTTCCACCGTCCACGACTCAGGAACTGTAACATAATATCAGTATACGGATACCGTACCGGATACTCAATCATATTTGATTCTCGTGAACATCCTTGCAATGGACACAATGTCATCTGTTTATATACATGGAATACAATGAAAAGGATCATCTGCATATTATTAAACTTGTAATACTATTTCATGATAGTTCATGGTTTTGCTATCATAAGTCAATATTGCCTTACAAGTGTTACCATGCACGAGTGTCTATAGACTAAGATATAATCTATGGGATTTTTTTAATTACACAATGCATTATTTCTTCTAAAATTAAAACAATAAATGTTCCTGATGCTGATTTCATGCTAGACTTGCTTTTATATACATCTAGATTGGTTTTGTGTTAAAAAATACATATAATACACAGCCATGATGCATGAGTAGAGTGTCTATTATTATTTTAAAGTCACCATCATCAAATCTAATCACACTTATGAGAATTTAACTTCAAACAAAGTGAAAAGATAGATATCTTGACCTCTCCGATATGAACACAACACAGGCTCAATACACGACGACGGCTGGTTGGCGGAAGCCCACACAGGACACGGCCATGCAGGAGGGAGTGAGATAGTTGGGATATGCGCCGCTTTGAATAGTATTTCACGGTGTGTCAGTTTAATGTGGAAGGAAAGGTATTATGTGGAGATTATTTTACGAGCATGTGTGTCATACTGATTTTACGAAACGAGTGTCAGAATTCTTGTATTTTCCGAGCGAGGGCGAGGGTAATACATGAATTCTTGCACGGGGTTCGTAAAATCAGTATGACACACATGCAAGTGTTTCACAACCGCCGTCCTCAGGCGGCTTCACACAGCCAAACATTAGTTTGCAAACAAAGGTTGGTAAATTCCAAAACGTTTGCCAACTTGAGTTTTCACATGACAAGTATGTGTTGTTCTTGCTGAGTTCAGCATGGCGTCACCGGTGAGCACTTTGTCCCAGTAGCATGTGAGAAAAATCACGGCGGCGGGGTTATTGATGTCTGTCTTCCTTCGGAGAAAGGATATGGGAGAAGGGAGATATGGGCACACCCCTATATTTCCAGAAATGTAACTTTGGGAGCCTATAAAACCATTATACAGGAACTGAGAAATGAAGGTGGACCTTCCTTTAGGAATTATCTGGGTATGGATGAAGCCTGTTTTGAAGTATTTATGTGTATAGTTTACATCAACTGGGCGGCATTGTTAACGTTATTCGAATCTTTCTCTCGCCCGGGAAATACAGGAATTCTGACACTCATTTCGTCAAATCAGTATAACACACATGCGAATGTAATAATTTCTGTATTACTCATTATTTCTTAATCCTTTTCAGGCCCCCGTTAGATAAACGCACTTATCATGACTACCATCTTAAAAAAACACAATTGTCGAATGACGTCAACAATCTTCAGCTATGACGTCGTTTCTAGTGTGACGTCATTTCGACCTTACGCCACAATAAGATTCGGATGACGGCAACAATGCAGTCCGGATGACGTGAACAATACACTGGATCTCGTGATGTGATATTGCACTAGTGCACATACGAGTTTTATTATCTCGATTACTTCGAAACCCATGGGTAATATTGTCACTAATCTTGAACACTTGAACTCAAGGTGAAACAGAAGCTGATGCACGGACCAGTCGTCAACACCGACATTCACTGGCTAGATTTTAGCATACTAGACTCTAGTAGTTGTGGGTTCAATTCCCCAATTCCCCTGATTATGATTCTTGGATAGTCAGCACCATCCCTTACTCGTCGGTTTCACCACTTTACAAGGCTGCGTGAAACTCAAGTCACTCACTTGTTTGTTTGTTTGTTGTTTAACGCCGCACTCAACAATATTTAAGCTGTGGGACAGCGGTCTCTAATAATTTAGCCTGGGCCAGACAATCCAATGGTTGACATCAAGAACATCGATCTACGCAAATGGGATACCATGACCGGCATCAACCAAATCAGCGAGCCTGACCATCCGATCCCGTTAGTCGCCTCTTATGACAAACATGGGTTGCTGAAGACCATTTCTAACCCGGCTCTTCGCGGGAGTATTTGGATGTACCCAAATGTGTCTTAGCAGTGAGTAGCTGTGTGTAACGCCAGCACAGAGTCCTGTATAATTAATGTACGTGTAGCTATTGGCATAGCCATTTGGAACGATTGCGAGTCATTCACCATAAACACCGTAGTGGAAGTAACCATCCATGTATTCGTAGTCTACCGCGCATGTCGCGAACGGTCATCCGTACTTCCTGGTCTGCATGTAGTCACCTGTGTATATAATGTGATGTCTAACCAGTTGTCCGGAAAACACTATACATATGCCTGCATGGCCACACAACCACAACTGTCGCTTGCTTTTGCATTAATAATCTTGAATGGGTATATATTTGAAGTCTTTGATAGGCGTTTAGAAGTTGGAGAATATGAATACATGACACTTTTATGGATAGCTACTTCTTTTATTCTTGGTCACGACGTTTCAGAGTTACGTCTTGTTCCTTCATCAGGTGAATGCCGGGTAAGTGCATAGAGTTAATAAATATATATAAATCATGATATGTTTACACAACACAAAGTGGGATGATTGTAACAACATTATTGTAGCAGGGCAGTGAATGAGGAATATACACACACACGCTACGGATGAGAGACGTTTTATTCCGCCAATGGATGTGTCATATATTTATCTACATCCTGAAACGTATTAAAGGAATTATAAATAATATTAACATTGTACATAATGCAGTCTTCAATCACATTAATACAAATCGTTTTACACTACAAACACATCTTATTCATATATTAGTTGTTATACAGTACAACAATCTGCTAACTGATGTAAGAACCAAATAGAATAATTATCCATATATTATATTATCTAAGTGTAAAGAGATTATAAATCTCTTTCAAAATACATACATATACGTGAATTTACGAGTGTGACACACTTATGTGTTACACAAATATAGAAACAGACTATACAAGTAATCATGTGCCTACCCTGTGGGTGAGACTGGGGTGTCTTTCCGACCACAGTGCCGCAACGTATTATTCCGGATATCTGAATAAAACATATACTTTTATAACAATGACTAGTACAACTGTACTATTTACATACATTGAAAATATTACTCCGGATCCCGTATAGCACAGACTGTATCTTATACAGAACTAATCACAAAAGCCTGTTCCGTAAAAGACCACATACACTCTCCCTCATACATACAGGAATAAAGAGACAGAAAAGTGAAATATTAGTAATTCCCAAAGCTTACAATTTATGTCTTGTTTACCACATTTACGTAAACAGGTTGTAACTGAGAATATGATAATATTAAACACGTTTAGTTAAGTTAAGTAATAAAGGTTTGATATATATATGATTTTAGATGATTTTACTTGCCAACATGTCTGTGTAAGAAGTGTGTGCAGACTGAGAACATGCAGTGAGACAAAGGGTCAACTTTGAGGCCAATCAGTTGAGCAAGTCATGGCTTGGGTTTGTTAAGGCTTACAACATGAAGGACACATCAACAACATCTTAACCAATGATTAAACATGAAAGTTGAACACTTAAAAGCAGACACTGAAGGTGAATAAAATAAATATGTACAATGTTGCATCCGTCACTTATGACAAAGCCAATGAAATAAGTTTAATGTACAAAGATAACAAAAGAATGACGTAGCCAGTGGGATCAACAGGAGATGATTAAATTAAGTACACAGGAGGTGTAGTGATGCTAACGTGAAAGCAATATGGTAATCACGATGTCCGGTCCATTGTCGTAGACCATGTGAATCATGAGCATCGATCAACGCAGTTGAGGTACGATGACATGCTTCAACCAAGTCAGCGAGCCTGACCACCCGATCCCGTTAGTCATCTCTTTCGACAAACATGGGTTGCTGAAGACCAATTCTAATCCGGAATCCTCACGGGACTGTCTCACGAGTGAGTCGTTTGTTTTCAGGACTAGTTGTCCAGTTGTTAGTATTTGCTTTATCATAACTTCATTACGTTTTTAAGATACTTTTGATGTTACACTCCAGGCTCATACACACGCTACCAAAATACTGAAACCGAAACATTCAACGAAAACAAGCCCCTTAACATAGAACATATCAATATGTTTAAAAAAAGAAGAAGAAAAGAAATATCAATTCACTTCATCTTCACAAATACCCCCAAATTCGCAGCGTGAACACATGTGGGAGTGTCATATTTAATGCTCAGTGTATTGTGTTAATGCAGTTGTAGATATATACATTGTATACACAGTTGAAACTCAGTGATGGACCTGATATTTCAGTCACTCTCAAACAGTCAAACAGTCGAGTCGTTTTACTCAGATTTCGAGTCCCTCTGATATTTGGAGATGGGCGCACGACTGCCTACTCCCAAGGTCAGTCTGAGATACTAATATATCATATCATATTAATGTATTTTCCCCGAACAAACGATTTTTAAGGAAGGCGGTTTATGTTTCACTGAGTATATCTGGGAGGACTTATTTTTTATATCCCATTTGCGACTGCTCCAGATGATATTTATCGTATCGGACGCCATTTCTGCAAGAAGCGTCGATCGTGACCCTCTCAGTGGACGTTATAAATTAGCATATGGAGCAAATCCCACATGGGATAAAAATAATCTATAAAAATGCATTGATATGAAGGGAATGAACACATTCAATTTCAATATGCAGATCATGCAAACTTTACTCTGAAGAAGGACCAGAAGAAGACCTTTCAGGGGCATTGCCTAAAAGTCGGGCCGGGCCGGGCCAAGACGGGCCAAAGTGTTATTGGCTAATTACTTCATTATCTGCGATCATACCTACATATTATTGATGTAACATACACACATGACACTACTGAACAATCGCCAATCCAAAACGTGCAGCATAATTAAGTAATTCGGAGTAAATCACTTGAAAACTAGAAAGTGGAGCTATGTGTTAGCGTCGCTGATCTAGGTAACATGTAAAAGAGCAATCGTTAAACGAAATAAGATTTGACACGTATCAAATACTTCTAGCTATCGTGATACGAATTTTCATCTGTCGGCATAGCGTTTATATTTATAGGATAGTACTATATCTAAGTCAAAAACACTTTATAACGTCACTGTTCATCGTATTTAAAGCAGACACGTTGGTTAAAGTAGACCTCTTCTCCCTATACTCTCGACAGTCACACAGTTCGCTCCGACTTGGCCCGGGCTGTCAAAATCAACTTAAACCTCACAGATGTAACATGAAATGGATTCACATCTATAGATTAGCATTATATCTACCTAAATACCACTTTATAATGTTCCAGTGTATCACATTTAAAGAAATCTGGGCCGTTAAGGTGAAGCATTTTTACTGTATTTTCTTAAGAAAATCCAAGTCAGAAATGTTGGGTCCGACTTGGCCCGGGCTGTCAAAATCAACTTAAACCTCACAGATATATCATCAAATGGATTCACATCTATCGATTAGTATTATATCTACCTAAATACTACTTTATAATGTCACAGATGTGAATCCATTTGATGATACATCTGTGAGGTTTAAGTTGGTTTTGACAGCCCGGGCCAAGTCGGATCCAACGCTTCTGATATATATCTTCTGAAGAAAATACAGTAAAAATCCTTCACTTAGAGCACCTTGTTTTCTTGAAATACGATGCACCGTGACATTATAAAGTGGTATATAGGTAGATTTAATACTAATCTATAGATGTAAACACATTTGAAGATACATCTGTGTGTTTATAGTTGATTTTGACCGCCCGGGCCAAGTCGGACCCAACACAAGCCAAACACTTCTGATAGAGACTATGTTGAGAATGTAGAGGGAAAAGGGCTTCACTTTGAGCACCTTGTTTTCTTTAAGTACAGCGATCTGTGACATTATAATAAGATTAAGATTATAATATTACTATTTAAATACTAACTTTTATCAAGTACTGCATTTGATAAGTTCAAAAAAAAGTCGTTACTTCTGAGAATATATTGACCTCCCTCCCTTTAGTGTGATCTGATGCATATTTATTTTATACGCTCAAGACGTACATCGTGGGGGGGGGGGGGGGGGGGGGGGTCTTAAAATATGAAGCACCCATAAAATATAAATTATGTTACAACTGGGTGTAGCCACACTGAATCACGATTCATATTTTGACATAACTGTTCTGGCATTGCAGGTATATTGGTCAGTGTGTTCACACCCGAACAGTTGTGACATTGCAGGTATATTGGCCACTGTGTTCACACCCGTAGAGTGGTGACATTGCAGGTAAATTTGTCAGTGTGTTCACACCCCAACTGTTGTGACATTGCAAGTATATTGGTCAGTGTGTTCACACCCGAACAGTTGTGACATTGCAGGTAATTTTGTCAGTGTGTTCACACCCCAACTGTTGTGACATTGCAAGTATATTGGTCAGTGTGTTCACACCCGAACAGTTGTGACATTGCAGGTATATTGGTCAGTGTGTTCACACCCGAACTGTTGTGACATTGCAGGTGAATTGGCCACTGTGTTCACACCCGAACAGTTGTGACATTGCAGGTCTATTGGTCAGTGTGTTCACACCCGAACAGTTGTGACATTGCAGGTATATTGGTCAGTGTGTTCACACCCGAACAGTTGTGACATTGCAGGTGTATTGGTCAGTGTGTTCACACTTGAACTGTTGTGACATTGCAGGTGAATTGGCCACTGTGTTCACACCCGAACAGTTGTGACATTGCAGGTATATTGGTCAGTGTGTTCACACCCGAACGGTTGTGACATTGCAGGTGAATTGGCCACTGTGTTCACACCCGAACAGTTGTGACATTGCAGGTATATTGGTCAGTGTGTTCACACCCGAACAGTTGTGACATTGCAGGTATATTGGTCAGTGTGTTCACACCCGAACAGTTGTGACATTGCAGGTATATTGGTCACTGTGTTCACACCCGAACAGTTGTGACATTGCAGGTGTATTGGTCAGTGTGTTCACACCCGAACTGTTGTGACATTGCAGGTGAATTGGCCACTGTGTTCACACCCGAACAGTTGTGACATTGCAGGTATATTGGTCAGTGTGTTCACACCCAAACAGTTGTGACATTGCAGGTAAATTGGTCGCTGTGTTCACACCCGAACTGTTGTGACATTGCAGGTAAATTGGTCAGTGTGTTCACACCCAAACAGTTGTGACATTGCAGGTATATTGGCCACTGTGTTCACACCCGAACTGTTGTGACATTGCAGGTATATTGGTCGCTGTGTTCACACCTGAAATGTTGTGGCATTGCAGGTATCTTGGTCACTGGTAACTGACACACTTACAAACGCCCTAAGCGATACTTAAGTAAAGGCATCCACAGTCCTAGCTAATTTAATTCCACTCTCTTATAATGTGCAACAGTTAATGATAACACTAATTACGAAGGGACATGTCTCAGTTTCATTATGTGCTTATTACAATATTTCTGTCTGTGGCAAAGTCCAGTTTTAAATAGGATTATAGTTACATTTGGCATTTCAGCGTAAACCCGTACTCAAGCTATTTAGTTCAGCCCATTTTAATGGGTTAATGTAAAATGTGACGAAAGCTCAAAGTGACGCAGATCGTATGAACCTAAAATCACTGACAAACCCTGTCCTTTAACATGGACTTGAGCTGATATGGCTGGTTTTGTCCAGTGGATGCATTGTGGCACTCATGCATACTTGTTTAATGCTGCACTCAGAAATATTTCATTTATATGGCAGGGCCTATAAATAAATGTCGATTTAGGAGTATTAAAGAAGTTGTTATCCATAAATTGTGTCTACTTTGTCATCCGTCAATCTTCTAAGTAATGCCTATCAAACAATTCATCTGTGGGCTTGACAACTGTATAAGGATCTATTCCGAAACGTTACCTATACAGTATTAAGAAGTTGTTATAGATGAATTGTGTCTACTTTGTAATCTGAGTATGGGCCAGACAAACCAGTTTTTGACATAATGAGATCAACTTTGTCAGTCTGACCACCCCATAAATGCTACAATTATTGGTTGCCGTTCAATAGTGGATCCCTGTGGGTTTGATCGCCTTGTGAGCCCTGTTGTTCTTATCATTTAGCGTATCCCTGTATACCGATGTTACTTTCAAGGTATATATGATATTGCGGCCCACTTGTATCACATGTGATATAGATGCTGGACTGCTGACTGCTGCAGCACATTCACTCTCACTTCATCCTTAAGACACGAGGACATAAGCCAGACCACATCACGGGAGGTGTCAAGATCTGGGCAGAATCTGATTAACTGATTAATTATGACTTCTGTCCTTGCAGTCCCCTAGCATGTAAACTTGCATCCTTCTACTTCTTTGGTTACAAAACATAGTATTGTAAATACAACAAATTAGAAACCAGTTGAATCTCATGGTTGATTAGATATGTTGTAGAAACTGTTGTTAGCCATCTTCCGAGACCCATGATAGATGGGCCTATCGTGTCACTTCTATGTGGAATATTTCCACAACAGTCTCATTGAGTTCAAACCGAGTTCAGCATGTTTATTGATGCAATATTTACAACTATACAAGTGTTGTAGAAATTCATCACACCACCATAGATCATTATATACAATAGGAATACATTCACAACTACAGATAGTTTAGCTTCACAAGTTCACTTGACATAATATCAAAGCTCTTTTCATCTAGAGAAACAAATCATAAAATAGCTGGATTATGTAAATTTTAAATTGTTTTTTAAGTTGTAAAGATCCTCAAATACAATAAATAGCCAGGACAGTTGTTCTTAAGTTAACAAACAAATGCATTCTCAGCTGTTCTGCCTTGCATATCTTACAAACTTCATTCTACAGGCTCTCTGAGAGAGTTCTCCTTTTTGGCTGACTGACAGAATCACATGCCCGAAGCAAATGTCAATAAGTCAAAGATTCTATTGTTATTCATACACCCACAACAAACTCCCCTCGGGAACAAACAATCACAGTTCTCACTAAAATCTGATAAAATCATACATCTTCCCAATCAGATCCATTTGCATTCAACTTTCACACAACGCCATGTTTGAACAGTGTTTAGAGTCCACAGATGAGCCATGCTGGAATACCGGATTTGCCTCCACCAGCTCCAGTCTCGGAGCTACCCAAGTGTGGTGTTATGACCCACAAGGCACTGCTGTCTGGTTGACAAGGGTATGAAAGTAAGTGTCACGTTTCTTCTGTAGCGTATGAAGGAATGTTTCTACTCTAGTCTGTCGCTCTGCTGTGTACTGATGAACACGACTCTGAGGCGTGATGCCGGCAGCATTACCCAGCGAGGACGGCTCCTGCACCATAGCCTGGTAGTCAGACTCCCGCAGGATGCGCTCCTGTTCCATGGCGTTGTTCAGCTTAGCATTCTGGTGACATTGATGGAATGTTTGTTAAATACAGCACGCTCAATTTATATATATTATAATGAAATGATTTACTGACCTTTTACTGTGTTGCTTTTAACCGGAATAGCTCTATTTCAGCAGAATAACTTAACCTCTTTGTTCAAGTCAGCTTACGCCTGATTCTTCTGGTTCACAATACTAACCAAGCACTCACTGTGTTATGCAAAAATCTTGTGTCTCTGTCTAAACCTAACTTTGCCCAATCCTAAACACCATTAAGAGATGCCAGTACCTATCGAAATATAAACATACTGTTCCACGAACTGTATACTGTGTTCTATTGTCGAGGTGTTTCTCACAGTCTTCATGCATGGTCTCTGCATTCACCACATTAAGCTGTATTAGTTGAACCCATTGCTTATGGAGCACCCACCTGTATTGCTTGATAACTTCTCTGGTAGTGGAGGACGGCGCCATACAGGTGCCAGATGCTGAACTCTGGCCACAATACCTTCACAAAGGCCAGGCAGCTGTAGGAGCTCTGTAACAGAGCAATGGCGGGGAGTGGAGGAATGTTTTTACATGACAATAATAATGTTCATAGACCAACTTGCTCTAAGGCAAAACTTCAAATAGCATACAAAGTGGATCTAAGGACCACTTCTTGTGTCACCATATTGGGTACCCATCTCAGTAACATACCAACAGATGAAGTTTTATAGACACAGTTTCATGTTCAAAGTGTAAGCAACTCACCTCCCACAGCAGGAAGTCACTGAGTCTGACTTCCCCTGAAGTACGGATGAGCAGATCCAGGTGTCGAGACCGGGACGTGTACAGGCACTTCCCCAGCAGATCTTCAGAGATGTCACTGAAACATTTGTCCTGCCGTGCAATACACTTTCATACATTCCACACAAGTAGGTGTTGAGTCTAATCAACACCAAACAAGGACATATTTAATAAACTTCAAAATGAAAAAAGGTAGGTGGTCACTGTAATGCAACTGTACAGCCCTTATGTTGGTTGGTTTGTTGTTTTACGCCCGCACTCAGCAATATTCCAGCTTTTTGACGGTGGTCCGTACATAATCAAGTCTGGACCAGACAATCCAGTGATTGACGTCATGAGCATCGATCCACGCAATTGGAATCGATGACATGCTTCAACAAAGTCAGCGAACCTGGCCACCCGATCCCGTTAGTTGACTCTTAATACGACAAGCATAGTCGCCTTTTAAGGCAAGCATGGGTTGCTGAAGACCTATTCTACCTCGGATCTTCACATATCACAGCCCTTATAAACTGACCTGTGTTTGAGCAAGCCTGTACTGACACCCTCCACCATCTCCCTCATGGCCGTGCACATATCATCACGTGCTGTGTATGCAAAACAAACATTCAGGATGGCTCTGAAACAAAGACATGTAAAGGACACTAGTAGCAGCAGAACCTACACTACACTCATGCCATGTACCACAGTCTGCTTCAGTCTTATAACTTTCTTGTCATCAACTGTGGGACATACTTGAAATACCGTGCAAATTCAGTCTTAATTGAATGAAACCATTATGTTGTATGGCTCGGGATGCATGGAGAGGAAGCACCAGCATACTGGGTATACAAAGAGGCAGTTTCATGAGGAAAGTCAATGTTTTCACAGTAAGGCTCCACAAACTAAAGGTTGGGTGTTCTTTTATCTTATATCCCAACCAACTCTTTGAATCAATAGATACAAGATGGCAGAGTGCACAACCTCATTCTAATCAAGCATATATCAACAACAAGCAATAGACATACCCAGTAACAGAATACCTGCACCTTCAGAGGTTGCCCCTACAAGCACTGGGTACTCATGGTACAAGGGATATACCCAGCAACAGAATACTCGTACCTTCAGAGGTTGCCCCTACAAGCACTGGGTACTCAGGGTACAAGGGATATACCCAGTAACAGAATACCTGCACCTTCAGAGGTTGCCCCTACAAGCACTGGGTACTCATGGTACACGGGATATACCCAGTAACAGAATACCCGTACCTTCAGAGGTTGCCCCTACAAGCACTGGGTACTCAGGGTACAAGGGATATACCCAGTAACAGAATACCCGTACCTTCAGAGGTTGCCCCTATAAGCACTGGGTACTCAGGGTACAAGGGATATACCCAGTAACAGAATACCCGTACCTTCAGAGGTTGCCCCTACAAGCACTGGGTACTCAGGGTACAAGGGATATACCCAGTAACAGAATACCCGTACCTTCAGAGGTTGCCCCTACAAGCACTGGGTACTCAGGGTACAAGGGATATAGCCAGTAACAGAATACCTGCACCTTCAGAGTTGGCCCCTACAAGCACTGGGTACTCAGGGTACAAGGGATATACCCAGTAACAGAATACCCGTACCTTCAGAGGTTGCCCCTACAAGCACTGGGTACTCAGGGTACAAGGGATATACCCAGTAACAGAATACCCGTACCTTCAGAGGTTGCCCCTACAAGCACTGGGTACTCAGGGTACAAGGGATATACCCAGTAACAGAATACCCGTACCTTCAGAGGTTGCCCCTACAAGCACTGGGTACTCAGGGTACAAGGGATATACCCAGTAACAGAATACCCGCACCTTCAGGGGTTGCCCCTACAAGCACTGGGTACTCAGGGTACAAGGGATATACCCAGTAACAGAATACCTGCACCTTCAGAGGTTGCCCCTACAAGCACTGGGTACTCATGGTACAAGGGATATACCCAGTAACAGAATACCTGCACCTTCAGAGGTTGCCCCTACAAGCACTGGGTACACAGGGTACAAGGGATATACCCAGTAACAGAATACCTGCACCTTCAGAGGTTGCCCCTACAAGCACTGGGTACTCAGGGTACAAGGGATTTACCCAGTAACAGAATACTCGTACCTTCAGAGGTTGCCCCTACAAGCACTGGGTACTCAGGGTACAAGGGATATACCCAGTAACAGAAAACCTGCACCTTCAGAAGTTGCCCCTACAAGCACTGGGTACTCATGGTACAAGGGATATACCCAGTAACAGAATACCCGTACCTTCACAGGTTGCCCCTTCAAACACGGGGTACTGACTGAATAAGTGACATACCCAGTAACAGAAAACCTGCACCTTCAGAAGTTGCCCCTACAAGCACTGGGTACTCATGGTACAAGGGATATACCCAGTAACAGAATACCCGTACCTTCACAGGTTGCCCCTTCAAACACGGGGTACTGACTGAATAAGTGACATACCCAGTAACAGAATACCTGCACCTTCAGAGGTTGCCCCTACAAGCACTGGGTACTGACGGTACAAGGGACATACTCAGTAACAGAATACCTAAGGTTTTCTAGGTACACCATATGCATGTCATGCATTGAAAACAAATGATCACTGATTAACATATTCAGCTTGACAAATCAAAAGTAAACAAGAAAACCGCATTACCACTATACTCTGCCATGGGCGTTACCACTTTCCCCAACTATGGGACACATTAGAATTTTGTGCCCAATAAAGACTTAGGAAGAGATAGGCACTTGGGTCGTTTCATATCATCAGAAAAAAATGATTAAATGTGAAATTAATACACACAAAAGGCCTCTTCTCTGAAAACAAGCGTCATCAGAAAGATGACATATCCCCCTGGCAGCTGTCTGCAAAGTAACCACTAGTAAATGTGCAATTCTGTATGTAATGAGTCAACAGTTGAATGTTCTTTAAGAAGCATACATTGTTTACCCACTGAATTGTTTTCGAATTCTGGCCCGGAAACGAACCCGTTCCCCAAAGAGTCTAGGTATGTAGAAGAGATAGGCACTTGGGATGTTTCATATCATCAGAAAAAAATGATTAAATGTGAAATTAATACACACAAAAGGCCTCTTCTCTGAAAACAAGAGTCATCAGAAAGATGACATATCCCCCTGGCAGCTGTCTGCAAAGTAACCACTAGTAAATGTGCAATTCTGTATGTAATGAGTCAACAGTTGAATGTTCTTTAAGAAGCATACATTGTTTACCCACTGAATTGTTTTCGAATTCTGCCCCCGAAACGAACCCCATCTCCAATTGAGTCTATGTCCAACTTCATTCCATAAAAAATAAAAAAAATAAAAATTAGAAAAATCCCAAAATTTCAAAAGGCACCACTTCAGTATGTGCCTGATAGCTTTGGCAAGTTTCGATCAAATACACTGAATGGTTTTCGAATTCTGCCCCGGAAAAGGAAATGATTACGGACGGACGGACAGACAGACGGACGGACAGACTGGCTGATCGCTATATCCCCCCGCATTATATGCCGGGGGGATAAAAAGAATAACCGAGTCCTGATAAGTATCTCTTACATAAGCTAACTTATGAACTTCAGTAGTTTCTGAGAAAACTTGTCCTCCTTGCACACGCTATGCACCAAGTAAAATAATGTGGATCAAGGGCCTAACTCTGTAAAAAGATAATTTACAGGACCAATTTTTGAATTCTTGAGAAGTATCTCTTAGATAAGCATGCAAACTTTTATTCATGTAACTTTAGCAGTTTCTGAAACATTTCACACACTATACACAAAATTGAAAAGCACGGAGCTAGGGACATAAACTGTTAAAAAAGAATTTACGGCACCAATTTTCAAACTTAGATCATGACCATTAAAATCTCTGACTCAAATAGTTTTGGAGAAAATTTGTCCCCTTTGAGGAGTGTAATAAGGACAGACAGGCAGACAAACTATGTTCCTTTTCCCTGCCTTACTTCGTGGTGGAGGATAATAATGTGATAGGCAATTTTCTTAGGTACTTGCATTTCAGATCTGAGAATTACCATGGCAACTGTCAAAGATATAAATCTGAGACTTATGTTGAGCTATGCACTGTTAAAAATCAATAATATCTCTGCAGTAAGAATCAGTTTACCACACCACTAGAGGCAAGGGAAAACACTGGGTGGGGCCTCCATATATATACTATTCAGAAGAAAACACAAAATGAAAATTAAATGGTAACAGATTCAGTTTCATGATATATCATTAGGGGGAAATCCTGACTAAGTGCACTATTGCCAATATCTCCATGAATCCATTACAAGGATTGTGATGCCCCTCCTCAACATCACTGGAGCTGTGCTATAAATAGCACCAGTGATAGCCTCAATGGCCGAGAGCAGCTGAATGGAGTGGCATCTCAACATGGCTAAACTTACCTCAAGCTGAACAAACAGTTCTTCGTCCTTGTTCTTGTTTACTTCATAACATGCCCATATCTACACTTTGGTTTGGATGCAAGTGTGAAAAGAAATATATCACTGACAAATTTAATATGCTGATCCCAATTCTTTACATTCAAATTGTTGAAACTATTGACCAGTGCAGTGAAGAAGAATGCAGCATAAATAGCAGCTACATACTCCCCACAGATGGAGGTCCGATGCCATTGGGTTCACTGCACCTGACTATGCTTGTGAACTTCTGATAAATAGACTAGGCTCTCAATGGTGTACCTTGACTTCCATTTTGGCAAATTAAGTTACTTAAAGTGTAAGCTATGATACGAAATCAGTGTTGACAACCAAGCATTCCTCTCGTAATCTTCATTCAAAAAGTAAAAGATTTCTATTTTTTGACACTTGTAAAACAACCCTGAGCTGCGCAAGAACTGCAATTACACAACACTTAGTCCTACTTTGATAGTGCTAATTGATGTCCAAGATTTAGTTTCGTATAACAAAAGATTTTTTTAAAAATCAGCTTCCAATAGCACATTGATAATTGATAACGTTTAGTCAAAAAGTACATTAAGGAAGTGACAATTAAATACTCAGGGTGTGGGGAAGTTGGGGGCTGGAATTTTTTTTGAGACTAAATAATTTTAATCTAGCCATTGCCTAAGACAAGACATTTATTTCTGTCAGCGCCTAGCAAAATCCATTTATTTCCTCTGAAAGGTGTGGAAGCCTTTTAGGGCCATTTGTTTTCTTTCTTTTTTTTCTTGAAATTTCAAGATATATACTGAGTGATATTTCACAATAATGATCTTGAAATTTCAAGATAATAAATTAAACATTTTTACAATTTTAACTTGAAATTTCAATGTATTTCAATCTTAAAATTTCAATATAGCATCTTGAAACTTCAACTTAATATCTTGAAATTCAAGAAAAAAACAAGTGGCCCTAAAAGGCTTCCGTAGAAGGAAGCCAGACAATTTCTTTTGGAAACACAACAGACTTTTTTTCAGAACATTTGGACGAGTTGATCTGTCCCAGCTTTTCATGAACAAAATTCTTTTTGATATCTGAACATGCTGGATGGAATAATGATTATTGCACAAATAAGTATGCGTGTGCATGTTCCTGGATGCTTGCACTAGTCCACACTCTTATAGTGCTAGCCCATGTTGGTAGGTTG